TTCTCTGCTAAACCTTAACTTTATATTTTATTATGTTAATTATACTTTGTTTATGCTAATATGCTTTTGCCTCAACAGCCAGACAATTTGTAAATTACAAAATACGAAAGATGGCACGAACATTACACACAAAGCACACACTATTAATGGTGTAAAGTAAATGAAAGCTAATAGCTACATAAGTAAATTCATACGAGAGTATGAGTATATGATTTAATACATTAAGTACATAAGATAAATATTGTGAAGAAAGTTGAGATTTATATGGAGATTAAGAGATGCAAGCTTGTGTAAAGGAAAATTGGGCTTACAATGTAGAAAAAATATGATTTTTAATATAAATTTTAGTAAACAAGGATATAAAACCGGAAAAGAAATTTTCACAATAAAATGTCAGTAGCAGAAAGAGAAAAAATGACAGTACATTCGAAAAATAAATTTTGCTTTGAAGATAATTAAAATGTTTTTACAATTTCGTTTCTTTGGTTTTCAACTTTAATTAACTAAAAATCATCTAAAGAATTTTTAGTTCTAAGTTTTGTCCTTTACATCAAATAGAAATTAAATATAAAAATATAATTTTAGTTGTTTTTAAGATCTTTTTTACTGATTTTATTTTATAAAAAAACACTTTAAAAAACTCTTTAAAGCCTTCTGAAGATTTCACAGATCTTTTTGTGGCTTTGAAAAAATCTCGTCTTTACTTTGATGTATTAATAACATAAAAAAAATATATTTTGATTCCTTTTACATATCTACCTCTATAAATACTGATGGTATTGAGAAACTTAAATCTTTTATTTTATTTAATGAATTATGAGACACACATGCTTGATTTACTCTAGCAGTGTAATGACTATGCACTTTTGCAGATATCAAATGTAACATATGTGCTCCAGTTTCGAATTCAATATCAATTTTTATGTATTTGAGTAAACAGAAAAACGATAAAAATTAAATTTAGACAAAGTATGTAAAGATGATTGATAAAATATAACATGAAAACGAGAAATATTTTCAATATTAAAAACTAGCAATAAAGGTCATTACCCGATATTTAGTTCAAGCGCAATAAAAATAGCTATCAAAGTGTAATTATCGAGGATATTTTTTCATTGAATAGATTTACTGAAATAATTTCCATGATGACAGTCTGGTGTTGTTCTATATTGACAACTGCGAAGATAAATCTTATCGCATAACAGTATGAGCTCGATAAAGCATTTGTTTAAGTCGACTTTGACAACCAATTATATCATCTACCCATTCTCTCATAAATATGTAGAGAGGAAGAGTAATATTTTATTTCTATAATTTCTTTATTGTTTAATTTTCTCTTTGATTTCTACACTCAGGATATTGGAATATCTCTTCAGAATTAATACGAGTAGTGTAACGAGTATTTTCTGTACTTGATATATACAATTTTGCTTCCTGTCTCATAGAAATATAGTCATTGTGCAGACGACTGGAATCCATTCATATTTAATCACTACTAGAATCCTATTGTAGTTTCATTATCTTTAACTCCTTTATTGACCACTATATTATTTTATTCCATTCTAGCTACAGGAGATATATATTTTTTTTCTTCCCTATAAAAATTTATTAGCAATTTCAATTATCTGATGTGATCAGATTGTTCAATGCGTCTCTTTTATAACCAAATGAAATTTATTCATAGAAATTGAATAATTGCTAATTAAAATTCACGTTATCGCACGTAACCTATTGCACTTCTTTGAATAATAGAAAAAAAAAATTTATAAAAATTTTTTGAAATAAAATAAAATAAAATAAAATTTCAGAGCTATAATTAATTATTAAAAAAAAAATCTAATAAAGAAGTTTCTAGGAAATTATTACTATTTTTCATGTGTGAAAGAATAGATTATTTTACAAAAATTAACAGACTCACTAAATGAAAGTTTTATGCAATAGCTAAGTAAACTTAAAAAAACTTGTTTGCATAGAGCTTCATTTACTCGTTATAAATAATGTATTACGCTTCCGTTCAAACCATCCAAGGCGAAGACTTGTCAGTTACCTTAAACCATTTAATACATTTATTTCCGTATACCAATATCCATTTACCCTGTAACAATAAAATTATAACGTTACTACAAATTAAATATTATCATTTTATTATTTCATATATCCTTATTCATATAAAAAAGAAAAAAAATGAAATGAAAATACTATGAAGCTAAAGAAATATTCATATTGAGATGTAGACGACAAGGTAGTATTTCCACCGGATATTAATCTCTACATATTAAAAAAGCCATTAAATTTTTCAAACTAGTGTAATACAACCTCTTTGAGAAGTAAAAAAAATAAAATTAAAAAAGTATTCCGCTAACTTGAGAAAATCTGTGCATTTTTCAGCTCATTTGTTTCATAACGATGAAATTATTAACAAAGAAAATGAAAAAATATAACGAAAATACGAGGCCGAGTACACTTTGAAAGTCAAGAGAATTATGAATAACAGCAAAAGTGCTCGACGGATTAAGCGATTAGTAAAATTAATGTAAATCACTGAGCCAAACGTGTCGTTTTCGTGCCTAATTACACTCTTATTTCACGTTATGTTCAGCTTATTTTACATTTTGTTATCATCTGAATATCTCCACCCCAGTCTACTGGGAAATGCATGTAGAATGCTTTGGGTATAGTTGGCTAAGCGCGATAATAAATTAATGCTGCCGCGGTTACACCGTGAAGTCGATTTGCCTCAAATCCTCGTACCATCTGCTGATTTACAATGGAAATATATCGAATTTGTCGCGTCATCCAAGCATTGATAATTCAAGAGAAGAAAAGACCATGTGAAATATCCTTAGTAGATTTATTTTTATCCTTTTATCTCCTTCTAAATTCTATAAATTCTTATATTTCCACTTTAGCAATAATTATAAAAGCATTATACCGTATTTTTTGATCTAATGAGTCGGAAATAGAATTTTATTATAAAAATCATCCTTCAAATGGTGATAATGGCTTGGAAGAGAATTTTGTGTAATAGTGATAAGTTTTATTTTTTTATGTGGAAAAAAATTTCATGAAAGTTTATTCAACATTTCTCGTAGCTTGTACAGACTGAGCAAAAAAATTTATTCTAACCAAAATAATTTGTTGAATAGACGCCAAGAAATATTTTTTTGTTACTGAATATTATTGGTAAACCCATTCTTTATGCTCACTTTGACAAATAAAAATACTAAAGAATGACCGAGCTCACTTTAGAGGAAAAAATTAAATTTGAATAATAAATGAAGCTAATCGACTGATGTCGATAGATCTTGTTTGTGGGTATGCATTACATCACAATGAATCGATTGAACCCCGAATAATTTTGATTGTGTCGTTTATACGCGAGAAAGCGGAATAACAAAGTCGGACCACATACTCTATCACTCACAAACATAGACACACGACCAAAGTTGACTTTAACAGCATAAACAGCTTTAGACAATCTTGAAGCATAAAGATGTCTTGAAAATTTAAACTCCAATGTACTATCAAGTTGGCAATGACTTCTTGAATAGAAAAGCCAGGAATATTTAAAAATATATTGCTAATAAATAATCTTTCATTTATATTAAAACTTTATGGCATAATTGATCTTTTATGAAGCATAGAAAAATAAATTTACTGTATCTCAACTTTTATTGTCTTCCTAAAAATGTCTTTTTTAGTAGTAATTCAATCGAAAGCATCAGCTATGATCAAATAAAAAACTCATAATTCTATCAAAAAGATTTTCCAGATCAATAAAAAGTAGAAAAACTGAAGTAACAAAATTTGGATGCTTTCATGTAGTAATTTAGACATTTATTTAACCACAATTTCGCATACTTAAAGTACGAGAATTTTGTGGGAACTATATTGATCGTTGAACAGTTGAAGTGCACTTTCTTGCTAAAATATTTCTGCTGTAGTAAAGTGTCGTAAGGAATAAAGAATCTTAAGTTTTTGTCACTAATTGACGTGTTGCAAGCTTATACTTTTAGAATTTTCATTCAGTTAGGAAAAAATATGCTGATATTAAAGAAACGAAAATAATTGATAAGCAGTGTACATGACGTACAGAAAGCAGTTTCCTATAAAGTAAAGTAAGGGAAAGAGAACCCCTCATCAAAAGTTAAAGTGTAGTTTTCAACGATCCTTAGAGATTAAAGCATTTGTACTTTTCTAGAATAAATTATTTCACTTTGAAATAAATAATCGGCAATAATTTAAATCATAAAATTTTTGATTTATAAAATCCTTCTTTTTTTTCTTTGATTTATAAACTTTATCATTCCAATGAAAGAATTCACCTAAATAATAAATAAAGGATAGAAAAAAATTGCAAAATAAAAAAGAAATATTCACTTTAATCTCTCATCATAACTAACAACTTACGAGATATTCAATTTTAAATTAAAAATAAAAAAAAATACTATCTACTAGCGTACACTTATAAACGAATGAGTGTAATTAATAAATGGTTTAATATTTTCCGCGTTTTTTAATCTTGTTTGTGAAACTTAAAGGATTATGAAAAAAATATTACGGTTAATGTCCCATTGGCAATACATAAATATATTTTGGTATATACTACATTTTTCTTCTTTTAGATGAATTTTTTTGCATAAATTCGGTAAAAAAAATTCTTTTAAAGATTAAAAAATTTTACAAGGAAATATAATCAAATACAACAAAAAGATACTTTTATAACCACATCTATCATGAGATTAATACTTTGAGCTTCTAATTGAAATGCAGAATATAATATTTTATAATTAAATAGCAGCTTAATATAAAACCGGAATAATAACGACAACAATCATAATAATAAGATTGTGAGATTCTAACAGTAATTCAAGTGCAGAATATAATAGAAAATAAAAACTGAAGATGAAAGTTACGTAAAAAGTTGATAAGTGAAGAGGAGAGGAAAGAAAGAAAAGAAAATAAGATAGATAAATTGATAAATAATTGTATCGTTCCAGGCTCCTGGACACAGAGGCATCTGGACAGTGACAGTAACATTTCTAGCAATTGGTACCTGGGTAGAGAGAATAGGACCGTGTCCAGCTGACGGTGAATCATTTTCGTTATCATCCGCCAGGGAACGTCTTCAAACAGTACGACAAGTTTTAACGGAAGTTCCACTGATTGACGGCCACAATGACCTGCCCTGGAACATCCGAAACTTCGTTCACAATCAGCTTAACGAGTTTGACTTTGACAAAGATCTCCGACAAGTTACACCATGGAGTAAAAGCGCTTGGAGTCAAACAGACCTATTTAGACTTCGTCAGGGGATGGTTGGCGGTCAGGTAAGGAAATGTTACTTTTTTCTTTAGCTCTAAATAAAATGTGAATGAAGAAAAAATTATTATTTCAAATATATTATAGGTACGTAACATCCGTTTGTGATTTCGTTTTGCTTATATTCTCCAATTCAAAATAGTTTATATGCAAAAGTTGGATGCATGCCACAGCTACCAACTTTTTTTTCGATTTCCGTTATATCCGTTTTTATCTGAGCTTGAGATCTGGAACATGTGTATAGTTCTGAATGCCATACATAATGCAACCTGTACTTCAATGGTGCTCATACACTCGGAGACACCATACAGATACAACCTTTGTGACTATAATAACGAATATGTATGAATATTGGTACGATAGATGTCAAACAAAACTCATAACAAAAATTTCAACACGTAATCATTTTATTTTATTCCACAAGCACAATCCCTTTGCTCAGATTTTTAGCATTCCAAAGACTATGAGCTTTCTTCATAATCTCATTAAGAATTTTTCGTATAAGTTGAGAAAAAAATTTAAATGAATACCAGACCCTTTTGTTCTGAACTTTTTTTTTTATTGTTTTTGTCCTTAATTTATATTTATAACAGCTTGAATAATATTTAATAAAGAGAAAAAGTGGTGCCAAAAAAAGAATATGACTTCATTTTATACCGATTTACATTCATTTCAAGGAATAAAGTTAAAATCAATTACTTTTACTTTTCTTTTAATTTAATAAATATGATTTAAATAAAAAAAAATTTAATTTAAAATTTAAACACTTTCGAAATTTTAATTTTATTGAATTTCTACAAATTTGATTTTTAAAATTAACAGCAAGATATATGAAATACAAATTCAATTTCATAGTTCTAATTGATTTCGATTTTTTATTGGCTTTTTATTTTTATGAGAAAAATTTAAAAGTAAGTTCATTTAATAGAAAATGAAATAATGGATTTAAAATAATGAATAAATTATAGAAACGTCGGTTAAAAAGTTTTTAATAATTGAATACAAAAATGTACTTTAATTGTCTGTGATATGAATATTCACGTTAAAAAATTAATATGATTAATTGACTTTTACAGTAAAGCAAAAGAAAAGTTCTGTCGAAATAAAATAAATACATAATGAAACCACGCGTATTCAACACAATCGCTACTATATCCAAAAAGCTGTAACATTTTTTCAGGCAATATTTTTAAAATTTTATTTGTTACGTAGCTCTCTACAAGCGAAAAAAACAAATTATTTATTGCTTCTACACAAGCTTCTCTAAAATTGTTATGAATTGAAAATTTAATTTACCCACAAACCATTCAAAGTACTCGAAAATCGTTTAATAAATAAAACAAAATATGATTTATATTTGTAAATTTAATTTCTATTATTAAAATATTGAATGTTATCAAAATATTTAAAACGAATGAAATAACCTCTATATTATATTTTTCAATAAACTTTAGACATAAGTAATGAATCAATTAATAGTAAAAATTGTTATTTTATTTGAAGTTTAAAAAAAAGTAGATTAAATACAAAATTTAATGTATCCGAATTTTCATTGAATAAACAACTTATCATTAGTGCTAAATTAATTAAACGAACATGGATTATTATCAGCAGCGGCTCGACCGTAATAATCCTCTTTAAATAAAAAATAAAATAAAAATAAACGATTTTGTAGTTCAAATATAAACCTCCATCAATTTATTTTTAGATTGCGCATTTTTTTTTGCCATTATTTTCATTTAATAAACATCGAGAAGAATAGTTTTTAATAATCTGAACAAATTTTGAAAGCAAACGCTATTATATACGAGACAATAAAAATACATGCAACAACATCCTATTTTTTACTGAGTTCTTGGAGAAAACCTTAATTAAAATTAATATCGACTTTCAAGTTTATTATTAAAATAGATAAAGTCTTCAGTAAACAATGATATTTTCTTAGGAATACTTTTTACGTGATACAGTCTAAAAGCTAACATAGCTATTACATGGTGAAATATGTATGAGTAATCTCTAAAATAGTACTATCGTTGTCAGAAGCAAGGATTTGCAATTAAGTAATAATTTAGGACAGTGCATTTAGTCAGCCACTCGAGATTTCATGCAGGAGCATGTCAAAGTTCACCTTTTGGTGAATCGATTGAACGTCTGGATCCTTTCCAGGGTCGCATCATAGAATGGATGAGCTTACATGTTCACATAAACATGCACTTGTCACATGTACTCGCATGCAGTAGTACTATAGAGCATGTAGGGAAAGAGGAAGGTCGACAAGAGAACGAGGGAGAGTAACACAAATCGATATAACCTGTCTCGCGCACAATAGCAGAACACAAGAGGGGTAATGGAAATGTGCACGTCAAGTGTAACCTCCTAAAAAAAAGTGCCAAATGCTTTGTCCTACTCATGTTCTTTTGGTTCTGCTACGTAGTCGACGTTCAACCGCAAACTCGTTTCATTTTCTCTAATTTGCATGGTCCAACCCACCTATTCTCCCTTTGACTTGGATGTTCGGTCGTTACACCACTAGCTCATCGCCTACTCGTTCCGCTCTTGGCACTTCTCTCATGCTCTCTATCCTCTGAGTAAACCCACGACTCGCGGCCCCACCGTGTGATATATTGCTACAAAGTCTGTAGTCACGTACTTGAATAACCGAGCCAAACGATCCTTGTTCCCTTACACTTACGTTAACTCTCGACAGTCGACCTATTGCACGAGTTTTACCCCTAAGAAACGTGTAAATTCGACATGGGAATTGAGAAAAGACACTATACTACCCCAATATATTTTTACACACACTGTAAATGAATGTCTTTATTTATTATTAATTCGTAGGGGAATTAAAGCCCAGTAGTAAATAAAGATGCTATTTTGTAACCGAGCAACGAGACACCAAGACCATTACGACCTTTCAATTTTTCAATGCTTGTCTTGGCCATAAAAATATTTACTTTATTTTCAATCCCGATTCACGGAAGAAAAGCCTAAGTGCTTTCTTTGATAAATATGCATATTGTTGAATAAAATATTTTTGCATTGCAAAATTGTTTTGCATTCAATTAAAAAGTTAGTCTGTGTTGAATAAACCATAGATTTCACATTATAAAATATTTTTTTAATTCACTTGAATGTAATCTCTATAGTTTTCTTCAATTAAACATTAATTGAATGACAAATTAATTGATCTCTTCACTTAATTGCAACTCTAGTGCAATAGATTAATATTTATTTTGACAGTTCTGGGCTGCCTACGTCCCTTGTGAATCTCAATATCTCAACGCCGTTCAGCTGACTCTTGAACAAGTGGACCTTATTAAAAGACTCATTGACAAGTACTCCCATCAGATGCAGTTCGCTGAGTCCTCTAGAGGTATTGCATTTTTAACATTGAATAGAAGTTTCTTTCTTCTTTATCCAACTTTTACTTCTTCCATGAACTTTTCAAGTTGTAAAAATTCTAGAACCTATTAATATTGCAGTAAACTCTGCAGTTGTTGGATAAATATTCATGCGAATGAAAATGGCACATTACTATATTTGTATAATTTAGGAACAATTTCCGTTCTATGAAGATTCTTTTAATTTCATTTTCCAAGACTTTAATTATTTCTATCAACCAGAGAATACTGATTTTCAATCCTGATGAATTTCATACTAATTATTTAATAAATTTCATTATTCATTTTAAACGTAATATAGATAAATTTTAACAAAAGAAAATATAACATATTTGGAATACTACTGTTAATTGGGAATTCTGTAGTTTCAACAGAAACTATTGGTCGCATTCAGTTTTGAACTTTACAAAATAATCAAGTTAGCAATCAGTTCACAAATCCATAATATACGTTCATTAATAACTATTCTTAGACAGCAAGAAGATAAACTAGTACAACTCCCTTGAGTAATAAATACATCATTTAATGATATCATTAAAAAACTAAAAAATTTTTTGTAGAAAAAATAATATACCACATCATGTAGCTGATATTTGTTTGTATCTTATTCATGGTTTTTATTTCTACCAAACAAAATAGTATTCCAAACATGCATCATTCTCTCTATTCAAAAAATACGTATTTACTACAGGACGAACTGATCAAATAAATGTCGAACATAAAAACTTGATCTCTACAATTCGTTTTTGTTCACAATAACACGTTATACAACTATTATTACATTCTCTCTATTAATTTTAGTCACAAAAATTATTTGTCATGCTTCATTGAATCTAAAATAAAAATTATCATTTGATTACCCATATTGTTTTAATTATCTTCTCTTTTATAACTGTATCAATATAATCATTTCAATTTCTGTAATATTATTTTTTTAGCAGCTGCTTTTTTTAATTAAAAGTAACATAAAACGTTAAAAACATTCTAGAAATACTGGAAGCACATACTAAAGGACGGATAGCATCACTGATTGGTGTAGAGGGTGGCCACAGTCTGGGAAGTAGTCTGGCTGTACTGAGAACTCTCTATCAGCTTGGTGTACGTTACCTTACACTGACCCACACATGCAACACACCATGGGCAAAAAGTTCGTCGGTGGAACAAGAAGATGACGGTGATGGTGCGCGACAAAACACCTATAAAGCTTTAAAGTAATTAACTCACACCAGGAGGTTGTAATAACTATAAAGAAATTTTCTAGGTGGCGGTCTTACAAGCTTTGGAAAAGCCGTCGTTCGTGAAATGAACAGGCTTGGTATGTTGATCGATCTTAGCCATACTGCAAGAGCTACTATGAGGGATGCTCTGAGAGTTAGTAAAGCACCTCTTATATTTTCTCACTCTTCTGCGTTTGCAATATGCAATTCTACTAGAAATGTGCCAGATGACATACTCAAACAACTGGTAAATTACATAAATATTCATTTTTCACTGTAGAATTTTGTAGTTATTTTTGCAAATTTACATACCGGATTTTTTTTTGTGATTCAATTTATTTGAAAAATTTTTTTTTGTATTTAACTTTTGATCTATGTTTAACTGTGTTTGAAATCATGATGTTACATTGTTACATTAACACCATTCTTTTATTTTTAATAAAATGATGAAGCTAAGACTACAATTTTTTAACTAATATATTTAGTATAAGGTTTTCGTTAAGAGTCTGTTTCAAGTACTCTCATGTTTACTTAAGTATTGGTTTCCATTCATCTGTTGATACTTTTATTACTTTCATGATGATTGTACCAGCACATGAGTCTCTGATCGACGCATAATCAGGACAAAGAAAGAGATGTTTGGTTTTCAATCAAAGATATCTTAAAGAAAATGAGTCAGTCTTTAAAAAAGTTCCAACGAGTGCACTGTGTCGTTTTGCTGTAATTAAATACATCTCTAGTGTGGTCAATCCAAATTGGAATTAAGCCTCTGATTTTCTCTTTCATTGTTGTTTGATCAATTACAATAAGTCATATTGCTGGATTCAATCTTCAACTAAGTTGTGAGTCAAGTTCATTATTGTTTGGATCAAGCCCAGCCTTGATTCTTCTTATGTTACTAGATCAATTGCGTATAAGTCACATTCTTGAGGAAGTTAAGATGGTCTTCCACGAAATTATACACGATTTCTGCTGACTTATACCTTGATCTATATCTACAATTGATTAAAAATGAGACATATCAACTACGTAAACAGCCACATTCTCAAGTGCTGAGATTTTCTCAAATCTCAATGATTTCCAGATAGGAACATCTGCTGGCTAAACTGGTTGATATGAAACATTCTAGAAGATCAAGTTTTGTTGTTGATTTTCAATTGGCAATCAAGTGAGTCTCTGATCACATGTTATTGGAAGATTCAGCATGAATCTTTACGAAGTTTATTTTACACTTCTGCTGACAGAACCACTTGATTCAATTCTAAGAAAGTTTGATTAAAAATGTTGATTCAATGTTGTGTCTAATTACGGGCATACGTGTCACTCTCTGAGAAAATACCAATTCATATTTTCTTTCAGGATTCAACAGCTTCAACCTCTTAATTATTGTTCAAACACTGGTCTGCGATCACCTCGACGTGTAACCAGCTCTCTACATTCTACGTTATTTTAGATCAGCTATTTTAATCTCAGTTATTAATGCCGAATTCAACTTTTGCTAATAAATAAGTTTAAATAATTAATTAAAATTTCTCTTATTCTTTTTTTTTCCCCATTTGATTAATTAACTTTCAAACATATTAATTCTCTTTTATTCATTTTATGTGGTCCTTCGAGCCGGATACGTCCGGCCAGTCATTTCGTTTTTTATCAATAGAGTCTTGTTTCTTTTAATATTAAGTGATAAAGTTTGTTTACAATTCCTTTCAAACATGAGAGCTGAACACGTCGAGCGTCGTTTAGATCAACAATTGTCGTACGCAGAACGCATTGAAAATGCGTACGAGCAGTTGATGAGTGTTGGACGCGGAGATGTCTCTCGTCATCGGATCGAGTCAAGGCTCCAGGCTCTCAGAGAGGAATGGGGAAATTTCAACGTCAACAATGACGCAATACTTATGTGTATCAGAAAAGTTGAATTTCCTCAGCGTACTGTGCTCGAACAGCATACTTATTTCATAAACAAAGTTTATAATAAGACGTACCAGACGTACTTGGACAACGTTGAAAGGATGTCGAATTTACTCGAAACAACATGTGAGACAGCGTCAACATCATCGGCCTCACAGCCTACTTCTGTTATCACTCATATAAATTCAAGATTACCACGCATAGATATACCAAAGTATGATGGAACATTTAACAATTGGTTGCCATTCAGAGATTTATTTACATCTATTGTGATCTCAAATGCATCAATTTCATTGGTCGAAAAATTACAATACCTCAAAACAAGTTTAACCGGTCCAGCAGCTCAATTCATCAAGAATATTTCATTGACTTCAGAAAATTTTCAAAAAGCATGGGATTCTCTTACTTCATTTTATGAAAACGATCGACTCTTAGTTCAATCTGCAGTTGCATCATTATTCGCAATTAAAGCGATGACTAAAGAATCAGCTTCTGAGTTAGAACAGTTATATTCATCTACATTACAAGCATATAGAACTTTAGAAACATTGAATCGTCCCATTCATTCATGGGATGACATATTGGTACATTTAACTGTCAATAGGCTAGATGCTAATCTAGTGAGATCTTGGGAAAACTACTTGGGCGCTTCAAAAAGACCACCTACATGGGATCAACTTGAGAGCTTCTTAAAAACCAAAATGGTTTCACTTCAATCCTTTGAAAAGATTCCTAAAAAATTATCAGGAACTAATAATTCAAGACAACATCATTTCAAGTCACATCATTCGACGAGTCAAGAAAGTATTGGAAATTCGTTCTCATCCAAACAACAGACATGTCCTTGTTGTTCAAAACCACATCCATTAACAAAGTGTTCTCAATATGCATCTAAAACCATTAAACAGCGTCAAGAATTTATCAAATCCAAGAAACTATGCTATAATTGTCTAAAATATCATTTTCGATCAAACTGTAATTCATCGCATCGGTGTTTAAAATGTGGGCGTAAACATCACACATCACTGCATCAATTTCAAGATTTCAATTCTTCGAACAAACAGGTTCAGTCATCAACACTGGTGAATCAGTCAAATTCAACACACACCGAAGAACCTTCAAAACAAGTCAATCATCTTCATAAGCCATTACAGCTTCAAGCGATTGTATTTTTAGCAACAGCTCAAGTCAAAATTCTACATGAAAATGGAACTTCTCTAGAAGTTCGAGCTCTTATTGATCCAGGTTCAGAAATCTCTCTGATATCAGAATATGTGGTTCAACAATTAAAGCTTCTGAGAAAATCAGCATCCATTCCTATCATCGGAGTTGGAGCTAAAAGAACTGGTTCAACTAGAGGATTAGTGAACCTGAAAATTAAACCTCATTATGAATCTGCAACTATTATAGCTTGTCAAGCTTATGTCCTACCTAAATTAACTTCAAGAATTCCTTCAAAGACATGTCATATACCTCAATGGGATCATTTGAAGAATTTATTATTAGCAGATCCTCATTATACCAAACCAGGAGCAATTGATTTAATATTGGGCTCTGACATTTATGGATCTCTATTAGAAGGATCAATTGTAAAAGGTCCAGATAACTCACCTACAGCTCAGCTTACGCAATTGGGTTGGATAATTTCTGGACCGTCAAGCATAAATTCTGATCAACGAGAGGTGACTTCAAATCATTGTTCATTGGATAAAGAGTTGTACTCTCTTTTAGAAAACTTTTGGCATCAAGAGGAAATCATTAGTTCTAAGAATAAAACCTTAGATCCAAAAGAACAAGAATGTGAAAACCATTTCATTGCTACTCATTCTCGTGATGACTCTGGTCGTTACATAGTAAGACTTCCATTCAGGACTCTAGTAAACCAAATAGGAGAGTCAAAGTTATCTGCTATTCGAATGTTAAATCATCTACAAAGAAAATTCTCTTCTAATCCTGATTTTTATCAAGCTTATTCTTCGTTTCTTAAAGAATATAAAATGTTGCATCATATGAATCAAGTAGCTGACGATGAGCCTGAACCAAAGGTTAGTTTTTATCTACCTCATCACGGAGTCATCCGTGAATCCAGTATCACAACGAAATTGAGAGTAGTCTTTAATGGCTCATGTCAAGTAACAAATGGAATTCCTCTAAATGAAGCATTACATGCTGGTCCAAAGCTTCAAATCAATCTTTTCGATATTTTAATATGGGTACGGCAATTCAAATTTTTATTTTCTGCTGACATTGAGAAAATGTACCGCCAAGTTCAAGTACATAAAGATGATTGGCCGTTTCAACGAATTCTTTGGAAAGAAGAGGGTAAAATTATCAAGTTTGAGCTGACAACAGTTCCTTACGGATTAGTGTGTGCTCCTTACTTGGCTTTACGTGCTGTACTTCAATTGATTAAAGATGAGGGTCATCAATTTCCTTTAGCAGCTGAAATATTGCTCAAAGGACGTTACGTTGATGATGTATTTGGAGGAGCTGATACAATTGAAGAAGCTCAACTTAAAGCTAAACAAACATATGATCTCTGCATGGCGGGCGGTTTTCCTTTAAGAAAATGGATAAGTAATGAACCAGAAGTTCTAAAGCTCATCGACTCTAATTATGTAATCAATACACAATCCATTTCACTTAAAGAGCAAGTTGTTCACACTCTTGGCCTGTCTTGGAAGCCTGCATTAGATACTTTTCAGTTTAAACTATTGGATGCATCTGTTACAAAATTCACCAAACGTTCGGTATTATCAAAAATAGCACAGTTTTTTGATCCACTTGGTTTATTGTCGCCAATTTTTATTAAAGCTAAAATTTTTATGCAAGAGTTATGGGTAATCAAAACTGGTTGGGATGATCCTCTCAATGATTCTCAGGTAAAATCTTGGAAGACTTTTATTGATTCATTGGATGAGCTGAATCACATTGAAATACCTCGATGGACTGGTATGATGAAGAATTTATCTATTGAAATACATGGATTCAGTGATGCTTCTCAATTGGCAATTGCAGCAGTAGTTTATATTAAGACATATGGATTAAATACAACCCAAGTTACACTGTTGTGTTCAAAAACTAGAGTTGCACCAATTAAAAGAATGACAATTCCCAGACTGGAGTTATCAGCAGCAGTATTATTAACCAAACTCGTCGCTCAGTGTCGACAAGTATTAAATCTGAACCAAGCTCCATGCTACCTTTGGACAGACTCTGCTATTGTTCATATTTGGCTCAATAATCATCCTTCTAGATGGAAAGAATTTGTTCATAATAGAGTATGTTTAATTCAAGATTTAATTCCGCAAGCGAAATGGGAATTCGTACCAGGAACAATGAATCCAGCAGATTGTGCATCAAGGGGTTTAACTGCAAAAGAACTTAAAGATTATGTACTATGGTGGAAAGGCCCTTCCTGGTTAGTTGATGATTCGTCAATGTGGCCTACGCTACCTTTACCTAATAAGTCTACAAAGGATTTAGAAGAACGAAGTAAAATATTACCTAAAGTTGTTCATCTCTGTATTAAAAATCAAATCTGGGATCTTCAAAATCGATTTTCAAATTTGACCAAGCTTTTAAGAGTAACAGCAACATGCAAACGAGCAATTAAATGTTTTAGAAATCAATCTAAATCTCTCGCAATTTGTCCACTTTCTCCAGCTGAAATCAATGAAGCACGACTGTTCTGGATTAAGTTAATTCAACACCAGTATTTTAGCAAAGAAATTTCTTGTTTACAACAGAAACAAGAGATTCCAAACTCAAGTTCTTTGCTTAAACTTACTCCATTCATAGATCGTCAAGGCTTGTTACGAGTTGGAGGTCGATTAAATCACTCGTCATTGTCAACTGATACCAAACATCCATATATTCTTCCAAAGGATGTGCACTTTTCAATTTTGATCATCGACGAAGCTCATAAGCGGGTATTTCATGGCTCTACTCAAGATACTCTTATGTATATTAGAAATCAGTATTGGATTTTAGGTGGACGAAATCCAATTCGTTCGTTCATTCTCAAATGTGTCAGATGCACTCGGTATCGGCGACTTCAAGCAAGTCAATTAATGGGACAATTACCTTATTCCAGAGTAAATCCAAATAGAGCTTTTTTACATACTGGCCTAGATTATGCAGGACCTTATGTGATTAAAACTTGGAAAGGTAGGAATCCTAAGACTTATAAAGCTTGGGTTTCCTTGTTCATCTGTTTAACTACTTCAGCAGTACACTTAGAATTGGTTACTGATTACACAACAGAAGCATTTATAGCTGCCTACAAACGATTCGTATCAAGAAGAGGTATTTGTTCGGATTTATACAGTGATTGTGGCACAAATTTCAAAGGCGCTGAAAAGGAATTAAAGGATTTATTCACGAAAAACAGTCAACAACTTGGTGAAATGGCTGCTTTGGTTGCTAATGATGGTACTTCTTGGCATTTCAACCCGCCTGCAACTCCTCATTTCGGAGGCAAATGGGAAGCAGCTATTAAATCAATGAAACATCATTTGAGACGTGTTGCAGGCGACATACACTTCACTTATGAAGAATTTACTACTTTGTTAATCCAAGTTGAAGCAATCCTTAACTCAAGACCGTTAATGCCATTGACTGATGATCCAGATGATCTTGATGTCTTAACTCCAGGGCATTTTTTAATTGGCCACTCTCTAACGATAATTCCAGAACCAAATTTGGAAACTATAAAGTCATCAAGGCTTTCTCGATGGCAGCTTATCAGCCAGATGACACAAAGTTTTTGGACTAAATGGTCTCGGGAATATCTTCAACGATTTCAAGCTATTTACAAATGGAACAAGCTTACTCCATCTCTTAAACCAGGTAATATTGTTCTGATTATCGATGAACGATATCCACCTGGTAAGTGGCCTATGGGCAAAATTATTCAAGTACATCCAGGCAAGGATGGTTTAGTTCGAGTTGTCACTCTTAAAACGAGTACAACAACAATGACTCGACCAATTACAAAGCTCTGCCCTCTTGTGATTGATTCAACTTCTGAGAGTTCGTCGCTGAAGTCGACGAAGGCGGGCGGAAATGTTTGAAATCATGATGTTACATTGTTACATTAACACCATTCTTTTATTTTTAATAAAATGATGAAGCTAAGACTACAATTTTTTAACTAATATATTTAGTATAAGGTTTTCGTTAAGAGTCTGTTTCAAGTACTCTCATGTTTACTTAAGTATTGGTTTCCATTCATCTGTTGATACTTTTATTACTTTCATGATGATTGTACCAGCACATGAGTCTCTGATCGACGCATAATCAGGACAAAGAAAGAGATGTTTGGTTTTCAATCAAAGATATCTTAAAGAAAATGAGTCAGTCTTTAAAAAAGTTCCAACGAGTGCACTGTGTCGTTTTGCTGTAATTAAATACATCTCTAGTGTGGTCAATCCAAATTGGAATTAAGCCTCTGATTTTCTCTTTCATTGTTGTTTGATCAATTACAATAAGTCATATTGCTGGATTCAATCTTCAACTAAGTTGTGAGTCAAGTTCATTATTGTTTGGATCAAGCCCAGCCTTGATTCTTCTTATGTTACTAGATCAATTGCGTATAAGTCACATTCTTGAGGAAGTTAAGATGGTCTTCCACGAAATTATACACGATTTCTGCTGACTTATACCTTGATCTATATCTACAATTGATTAAAAATGAGACATATCAACTACGTAAACAGCCACATTCTCAAGTGCTGAGATTTTCTCAAATCTCAATGATTTCCAGATAGGAACATCTGCTGGCTAAACTGGTTGATATGAAACATTCTAGAAGATCAAGTTTTGTTGTTGATTTTCAATTGGCAATCAAGTGAGTCTCTGATCACATGTTATTGGAAGATTCAGCATGAATCTTCACGAAGTTTATTTTACACTTCTGCTGACAGAACCACTTGATTCAATTCTAAGAAAGTTTGATTAAAAATGTTGATTCAATGTTGTGTCTAATTACGGGCATACGTGTCACTCTCTGAGAAAATACCAATTCATATTTTCTTTCAGGATTCAACAGCTTCAACCTCTTAATTATTGTTCAAACACTGGTCTGCGATCACCTCGACGTGTAACCAGCTCTCTACATTCTACGTTATTTTAGATCAGCTATTTTAATCTCAGTTATTAATGCCGAATTCAACTTTTGCTAATAAATAAGTTTAAATAATTAATTAAAATTTCTCTTATTCTTTTTTTTTCCCATTTGATTAATTAACTTTCAAACATATTAATTCTCTTTTATTCATTTTATGTGGTCCTTCGAGCCGGATGTATTATTATTTATTGATGCTAAAGTACTTATTTACTTATTTACTTATTTATACTTCTATATTGAATTAAGTAAATAAGTATTTATTAATTAATGTAATAAAATAAATAAGTTTAAATAATTAATTAAAATTTCTCTTATTCTTTTTTTTTTCCCATTTGATTAATTAACTTTCAAACATATTAATTCTCTTTTATTCAAACTGTTTGATGAAGTGTTAAAGGTTTTTAATGTGGAAATGAAAAACATTTTTTGTTTTTTAAATATTAATTTTTTTTGAGAGAAAATTCGTCAACCATTCATCAAAGTTTATAATGCATACTAAAAAAAAGTTTATGGAATAATTACACATAGAAAACTTTTGAATTATTTAAAATTAAAGCTTTGAGCTTTGAGTTTGTTGAATACGATTTATGAAAGCGTTCAGCCATCAATGAAATCACTTACTTAAAAACATAAAACGTACAACAATTAAATAAAAAGTTGAATTTATCTGACTATTTGAAACAATTAAGATATTTTGACTCGACATAAACTTAATAAAGTTTCATTCTTTAAAGCTTTTAATATTTTAGCTATGAATAAAACTGTAACTAAATTACTCAGATACATCATCAAAATGGTAAGAAATAAAATAAAAATGAACTGAAAAAAAAAGTTTTATCAATTAATATTTTCGACTAATAAGTCTAGTTAATATAAAAATGTTACTTGGATTTTCAATAAATTCCCAGACTCTTCGTCTTTAAGCAGCATTCTGGCTGTTTACTTAAAGTTAAAAATACTAACAAATGTAAATAGGTAGATAAAAAAATTACAAAAAATAAGAACCGAAAGAAAATTGCATCTCAAGACGCAGACATGGTATTTCTTTGCACTTGGCATTTTTCCTTGTAACAATTTTTTTTCTAAATCCCTCGATATTTCATCTTCAAACGCGAACCCGAAGCATTTACTTGAACTCGTTGAGAGTAACAAAGATGAATAAATCGAAAAGAAAAATTTTCTTAGTTGAAATAACAAATAAAAGTGAGATGCCTAAGAAAGCAGCATTGATAATTTTAAGATATTGAACTGATATTTTTTTAGATATAAACTCGTCTTTTCTAAAAATATTTCCTTTTTAAATCTCGACATATCCCCGTTCAAATAGACTTCAAACTATTCATGAAACAGAGATAGGTCACATAAGTCTTGTTGAGGTCACATATAAGTCTCGTAGGTTACATTGGTGGCATTACTATACATTTCAAATCGTTACTTTGAATTTTATATAACCGTTAGAAGAAAACGCTAACTTGGCGAAATACATACGCGAAGTTATTTATTAAAAGTTAAGCTCAAGTCTGTAGAGGAAGTAATAACTTTGCTCTTTTAAAACTACATTGGCTTATTGCAAAAGTCTTTAAAATATCGATAAAGATGTTTTTCATACAGACGACAGATTATTATATTCTTAGTAACGTAATAAAGTTGAATACTCTCAACAAAAGTAATCATATTTAAATCACCAATGTTCGATAGTTAAACATTTTGGGCTTTTTTGTATTTAATATCATAATCTGCAGAAACTTCTATAGAAATCTGAAACCCTTGATCAAAGTCATTTAATTGAATAATATAAAATTATCAATATTATTTCATTCATTGTAATATTCAGTATGATGAATTGCTTTATTTCAAGAGAATATTGAATTGAATGAATTCATTCTTAATTAACATCAATCATCGACTCTGAGAAAGGTATTTGGGAAAATATTTGTAATCCCTTATAAGAGTACATAAAGTAAACTAAAGGAAAATTGATCAAGTGCCACTTTCTTTAATTTATATTTCCCAATTATTTTTACTTATTTTCTGTTTATCGGTAAAGTTGAAAACACTCTTCATAAAATAAAGTTTATATAAAGCTTTTGATGTTTATTTTCTTACCTCGAACGAAATAGAAAAGTACAGATCCGTTTTCTTTGTACACTTACAGGCTGCCAATGGTGGATTAGTAATGGTCACTTTCTACAACTACTTTGTCAAGTGTGGCCCAGATGCAAGTGTTTCTGACGTTGCTGAACACATTTATCACATTCGCAATCTCATAGGAGTTGATTATATTGGTGTTGGGGGAGATTTTGATGGAATTAACAAGTATGCTCCCTATATTGAATTACTATTTTGATGAAGTACATTCAAACTGCGCCATAAACTGCGTAAACTTCTATAAACTCCTCACTTCCAGCTCTGTTTCACCTGTTTAATCAATAAACGTAAAATTAATCATCATAATCCAATAATGCATGTAATAAACTAATATAATAATAACATCAGAAGATTCAAATGATTTTTTAATTAAATCGCAACGTCATACTAATACTATTAAAATGGTGTTGAAAAATTTTGATGAACACCTTCTAGCTTTGTGGATTAGACAATCTGCATTATAAAAGCTATTCTACAAGTATTACAGAACATTTTTATGGTTTCATCATAAAAACTATATAACCTCATTATTTCCTTGCATTTGATTGTTCAATTTTTTTTTGCTTTTTATTAATAATTTATTAATATACTATTAACCTGATTAAGAAATTGATTAATATTTGTTGTCAAAAGTTTGTGAAACAGTAAGAGGATAATGCTACTGATAATAATTAATATTTTAATCAACATAATTCAATATTAGTTGATTGAATAATCATTAGGTTTTATTAATTATTTGATAAATGTTTAATTAGAGGTTATCAATAATTATTAACCACTATATTAATAAAAAATTCTGTAATAAATTCATTATCGGATGACTGTAAGGCTTTAATGAAAATTCATTAGTTAAAGTTAGTTACATTAAAAAAATTGTGATATAATAATTTATATAATTATGTTGTTTAAAAAATGCAATCATGATGATAAAGCTGATCCTTACAATTTTTCAACTTCCAGAACACCCAGAGGATTAGAAGACGTTTCGAGATATCCAGAACTCTTTGCTGAATTGTTGAGGAGTGGAAAATGGGACGTTTTAGATCTGAAAAAAGTTGCAGGACTGAACTTACTCAGGGTTCTTAGACAGGTTTCTAGACTTTTTTTCAATCAAGACAGATTTATTTTCTTCGACTTGATAACTTTTAATCCTCTGAGCGCTTAGAACGATGTTTTTCATTGTTTTTTAATATGTTTTTTAGGTAGAAAAAGTTCGCGATGAAATGAGAACAGCCGGCGTCAAGCCATCTGAAGAATTCCTTGAATCACCCGACACTACTGGCAATTGCGCATTAGACATCAGCGCAGTGCAAAGAGTTACGGAAATTTGACCACTTACCAACTGTCGTGTCATCTTTTTCCCTAATTCACACATACACACAAATGTGTTGAATACTTTTCATACATACACATTCCTCAACACTTGATGGATCTTTATGGTAAACAACAAATGAACAAAATCGTGTTAAGTGTACGATTTATACGTTAGTTACTTCTCTTTTCTGACTGAAACTTTTATTATAAAAAATAAAATAAAAAAACACAAGCACGTACCTGTTGTCGGAAAAGAAGAATGGATCATTTATCACGTGGTTCATTTTTCAAAAAATTAGAAAAAAAAATAACATAAGTGTAAGGTATTTCGAGAATTAATGGCTCAAAAAATATCTTAAAAAGTAATAAAATAAGCCATAAATGATATTTTAATTTAACTTTATAGTTTTAATATAAACTGTATCTTATTTTGAATCATCTTTATGCAATAGAAAATTTGTTTATACTATTATACTCTGATGCAAGTATTATGGAAATTTTTTTACTTTTTAAACTATTTTTTTAAATGTCCGAAATGCCTTAAATCCCAATCACCAAAGTCTTATCCATGTCACTCAAGGGACTGATGAAAATTCGTGTGTATAAAAAATGAACTTGAAAAAAAAGAAAAAAAAATCATGAGAACAAATAAGACTATAAAAAGCTCTTTATCGTAAATCTCACGAATTTTCTTCCACTTAAACCTTGACAATCTACCTGTCTGTGTTTCGTGTGCACTTATTTCAGAGTCTATACATCGGGAAATCCCAATGAATTATAAGAGCAAAACTCTTACCTGTGAGGGGTGATCCCACGCAGACTGTACCTTATCTCTTATTTATAGGGATGGGGTAAAAGTATACAGAATCAAAAAACCGTTGTATCTCAATAACGGATTCTATAAATAAATGTTTCTATTATAAAAATCATTATCTATAATTGAATCTTTTTTCACCTATCCCATATGATAGAAATCTTTTAAACCTTTATATTCTTTCATACTTTTATAAAAGGATTTCATTTAAATATCTTGTTAATACCTGAAACATATTATTTTTTGATAAAATGAAACTATGTAATTAAATTTATGGAAACAATAAAAAATAGTATTCAACGAACCGTATTGGGATTTAATTTTGATCAGATTGAAAGCAACCTGGCTATATGAGTTACACACCAAACTTCCCGAATTCAATAGAAAATATGCATATGATATTTATTTTACTTTATTATTTATAATGAAATAGTTTCAAAAATTTCAAAGTTTTTTCTCAATATATTTGTAATCCTTTTAAAGTTATTATCACAAACTAAAAATAGATTCAACAACTTCAAATGATTTTAAAATATTCAAGTATAAAAAATCATGGTTTCGATCTTTAAAATCACTAAAAGAATTTTCTTTATCAAAAATTTAAAGACTGTAAACAAATTTATTATGAGATCAATTCATTAGACGATTCATTAAACACGCTCAATAAATATTCAAGAATTAAAGTCGTTTATCTCTGTTTCTATACAAATATAATTTATTATTTACATCAAAAAAAAAAAATATTGAGCCAGTAAATAATTACTTCAGCATTCAATGTTTTCTTTTAGACTTGTGCTTTTTTTTCTCTTTCTGCTTGTGCTTGTGTTTTTTCTTTTCTTTTTTCGATTTTTTAGCTTTGCTTTTCTCCACCCATTTCATAATTTCTGGGTTATTTAACTTCGGTACAACGACACTCTTGAATATTGGTTTCTGGATATCAGTAGAGTCATTAGAATTGTTGTGTGTCGATGGTTTACTCGGAAGAACAGGCCCATATACATCCGGTAAGACTTCAGCGTCAGCATCAGCAGTATTAGAAGCTTCGTTTAATGCTTCAGTTTCAACTGTTTGAGTTGGTTTCTCATCAGGAATACTTTTATTTAGATGAGCTACAGCTAATTTTTCAGTTGTTCCTTTTTGCTTATCTTGCAACTGAATAAGATTCTCATTACTCTTCTCTGTTATTTTACCAGGTACCAAAATATCATCAAGATCTAATTTTGCAAAGATCCCTCGCGGTGGAGATGTATTCCTTTGAACATTTAATTCGCCCACAGGTTTTCCAATTAGAAGTGACTTTACGGTGTTGCTATCTACATCCTCATTCGTTTCGTTCTCTGATTCCGATTCATCACTGCTGCTTAAGAATATCGCTTTAAAAAGATCCTTTTTTTCCTCAGTATTTTCTTTAGATTGAATTACTGATGAAATTTCACCTGTTTCCATATCTTCTTTTTCTTTATTAGATTTTTTATCATTCAAACTTTCAAATGACGATTTTAAATTGATTGCTGGGACACCTGTTTCATTTAAATTATTCATTCCAAATACTTTTTCATATGATGCTTTGAAGTTTTCAGTACTTTTACTTGATTTAGTAGAATTCACATCACTATTCAAATGGTTAGAGGCCTCTTCAGAATTTTTAACATCACTATCATCACTTCTAACACTCTTATCAGCTATTTTATATGGTATATACGGTTCTTTATAGCTTCCAGCCGTTTCAACAGCCTTTTGAAATTTATTTCCATCCCCCAAAATATCGAGAGACTCAAAAACAGAATACTTTTTATTCTTTTGAAGCTTTGGTTGCATACATCCACTTTTAGGTTCTGGAATATTAAATCTTTTGCAGACAATACTCGCAGGCTGCCAAGTATCAACTGTTCTAGTAAGTTTTCCAAACATGTTCATTTTTGCTGCACTCACCGCCGGTTCTACAGAAGAACTTAAACAACTGTTCGAAGTAGTTTCCTTTGCAAATTTACTTAAACTTTCTGAAGCGTTTTTCTTTTCAAATAACCGTACCGCTTCTTCAAATTCTTCATGTTCATGGTTTTGTTCCCATTCGGTCACTTTTAAAGATCCTAGACTCTTTAATTTATCTTCACCGCCATTTTTTAAAATATCAAAATACTTTAGAAACCGTTTTTGTTTATCTACATCGGTCGTGAACGATTTTATAAATTCCAAATCGTCACAATCTTCTTTATTTTCTTCATTCGTTCTTACTTTTGTTTCTACAAGCGAACAGGTGGATTGAAAGTCCTTTAACTGCTTCAAACTTCCGGAAGAATTCGGATTAGTTCCTTCAACACCACCACAAACAAAATTTGTTAGATTCAATTTATCGAGCCACGTTTTCGATGTTTCGAACTTTTGATCCTTCAACTGTGTTCGCATTTCCTGTTGTTCTCTTCCATTGAGATTCAGCGTTCTTGTAATAATATTAGATGCTGTAGAACTCTTGGTTTGAATTTTTTGACCCATTACCGATATTTCTTGCTTGCTGCCAGTTAACGGAGTACGTGTGGATTCTCCTAATATTATCCCTCTCTCTTCAGCATTTAATTGAGGTCTGCTTAATTTTTGCTGATTAATGTTACTAGTTGATTCATCGGGACAATCAAACCGACTTTTCCTGGTTAGATGAATTGGCTTGAAGTCTTTCGGTAACACGGGTGGTTCATAAGGTTTTTTTCTCTCTAAATTGTTTTTACCTGGTACAAATCCTGGAATACACTTCGATTGTGAGCATGCTGCTTTTTCTTCTTTCGACCATCGATTCTTTTTCTTTACCTCTGGACCAAGAGTAAAATCATAGCGAGACATGTCGTCCACAGCGTAGATATCTTCATCATCCGCCTCAAATGCTCCTACTCCAAAAGCTTGACCACGAATTGAAAGCTTTTTATTTTTTTCCTGTAACTGAAATGCGGGCGTGTCGAAAAGATTTACGTGACCTGATAGCACTGGTCGACGATCTAATCCGCTGTAGCCAAGTCCAAAATAATTATCCTTGGGATTACATCTGTAATGATCGAAAAATTAGCTATTAATTGAAGTCTTTATCAATCGGACTAAAATAAAAAATAAATATTTTTCCATGTATTTTAAAAATATAAGTTGAAAAAAATCAATACTACACAATAAAATACCATTTTTCTGTTGTAGTAATTTTTTAGAAAGAAATATTGATATGATGATAAAAACGTTTTCATAGAAAAAAATTTCATTTTGTTTCACTAAAAAAATTACATAATGATAGCAACAAATATGTTCAAACTATCTTACCTGAAAGGTTCATAGTCATCAGGAGCAAATAAAATAGCTTGACCATTATCATCTTCTTGTTCATCATCAGAATTTTCCGAATCACTTTTCGAAGTAACAAACTCTTGACCAGGTAACGAACATCCATAAACTTTCTTCTTCGCATTTTTTTCACGAATTCTTTTTTTCTCCCTTTTTGTAAGTCTCAAGCCAATACCTTGACCCGGTTTCCATCCCATTCTTTTTAATAAAGTTACACCCACAGTATCACTAGGAATAACAAAAAAAAAATGAAATCAAATTAAAAAATATTTCAACTTAAGAGACTGTAAATAATTTTATTGACAAAATTAAAAAAATAAAAAAATAAATTTACAGCATTGGTTTTATTGATTATACTCAATAGTTAAGAAGTAACTGATTCAATAGAAAAAAAAATTTTTTCAAACTTTGCGGTTGAGTTTTTTACCGGATTAAACTTTTAATCAGTGTCCCTAATAGACTGTAATAAATTTAAAACTTACGTGACTGGCTTAAGTAACTCCTTTAATACAGGAACACCAGGAATAGGTTCTTGATTATAACTTTGTCCTCTACGTCTTTTCTTCTCATTCTTATTTTGATCTGCGAAATCACTTGTAGCTCGAATACCAGATGGTGCGATTCCAAATTCTCCAGTGTCCTCTTCATCCATAAAATCTTCAGGACGTTGAGAGATAGATCCCGCTTTACTACTGCGGGAGGATTTAAATTGTTGTGGTCTCCATCCATCTCGAGTATCTACGCTATTAAAATATCCAGCTGAGAATCCTCCAGTGAATGCTCCATGAAATCTACGTCTTCCTTGATCATCCAATGCATACTGATCTTCTATTGTTTGTGCTTTCTTTCTTGGTAAATTATCTAAGTCAAAAAATAAATTGTATTTTTAACAAGTAAAAGAGTTTAAGTTTTTTTGACAACCTCGGCGGAAGTCTAATCTGATATTGAATTAATACGACACAATTTTTATGCATTAATACTTCATAATAAAATAATTTATACCATCTTTTAAACAATTTGATTATGTTGAAAAAGGCATAAAAAATTTAAGAAAGGGTAAAAATATCAATATTTAAAGTTAAATAATAAATATAAATGAATAATAATTGAGATTAATATTCGTATAGAGTTAATAGATTTTGTTGTAATTGTTCAATTACATTCTTTTAATAAAATATTATTAATAAATAAAAGGATAAAAATATCAATAGACATTTACCTTCATCTAATGGCTCCAAAGGCTCGCCATAAGTTACAAAACACTCATCATCGGAATCACCCATATTTACAATAACTTTTAATATCACAATTATAAATACAATTCTTCCATTATATAATATTAATGTTTGATAATTATTATATTTGTAAAACCTATAATATCAATTATTTTTGACACCACGTTCAAGGATCAAAAAGACAAGACTCCGTATTTCATTGACTTATCAATGCAAGAAATTTAGGTTATAACACCAAGTGATAATAATACAGAAATTCATTGAATTATAGTCGTTAAATTACCATCAAAAAAGCGCTGTAGTATTATTTCAGTTTTTTATCGACTGAAAATTACCACCATTTTTATGAATCCGACATTTTACTGTTCTAAAATAATTCCTGTCAGTTATTTTACACGATTTTTTTCAGTTTATTATAAAGCAATTACATTACTTGAAGCTTTATGTATTTTTTGCGTTAATTATTTAAAAAAAATTGTAATCAGTTAAAGATTTGTGCTGCGTTTATTTGAATATATATACAATAATAATTATTTGCATCACTCTTTTCTTTTTAAATTTTAACGTAGAATGTGATAGAATGTTTACGAGTGTCGCTGCAGTCGTTGACGACAGATGACATTTGTCAAGTTTTGTAGTAGAACATTCATTTGATCATTTGACATGAATAAGCTTTGATTCATATAAAAGAAACACAAAGGCAATAAATATTTCTCATTATAAGGAAGCATTAAAAGATTGGAGTAGATTGTGAAAACTTTGATTGTTACAAATCTTTAACTACTGAAAATTGAACAAATTGTAAGTAGTTTTTGGTTCTACATTCATTATTGGAGACTTCAAGGAATAACAATATTTTGAATGATGTATTTTTTATTAAATATTCATTTCTATCATGAAGAATGATTATGGTTTATAAAAGACAACGATCTAAAAATGTCAACAATGTCTCCATCAGAAGTAAGTAAATATTTGTATGACTTCCATTATGATGTTTTTTTTAGTGGTTATCCATTCGAGTTTACGTACTTTCTCTATCATAATCACAAAGGTTTAGATGAAACTTATGATCATCGATGCGTTATAAACCAACACCATTATCAAACATTTATGATACGATATCATTAAAACTTCTAATGCACTATTTTACATCATCGAAGGTGATAAGATTTCATTAGTTCAATGGTTCGCTATAGGAAGCCAGATAATTTAATAATAACCATTTATTGCTGACTTAATAATATGTGATAATAATAATTCAATATAATGGGAGTGCATTGAATTATTTATTTAAAGTTCATTGGCTTGATCGCAACTAAATAAAAACTCCAAAACAATCTACTCCATTAAATGAGTTTTTCTGTTTTACAAAATTAATTCATTGGAATTAAAAAAGTAAAGTAATCATGATTAACTAAAACTTAAATCATTAAATGAATAAAAACTCAGTTTTTAAAATATTTAATCATTTTATTTAGCAATATGTACTATTCAAAGTTCACTACGTGAATTTTAGCTATACATTATCTTGAAATATCCATTCATGAATCTACAAGTCAGTAAATATTGCGTCATTAACAGATATAAACAGAATTTATTTTAGAACTATATATGTCTATATCAACAAAGGAAGAGATCGAGATAGTGTCAGCTATAAAAATTATTAACACTATAAATCTGAATAATTCACTTAGTCATATTATTATCTCATTACTATTTTTATCACGTAAATTAGCATTGTATCATTTTTTATTGTTATCATCCTGCAAAATTAAACTTTATATAATATATAATTTCTTAAAACAATCAATTAATATGTAGTTAAGTATTTTATAGTTCCAACTTTGATCTTTGTTTATCGATTACTCCAAACAGCATGATGTTTAAAAAAAGTATTACATTATCATTACACTTTTTTTCATTTTCAGCTCTATTTAATCATCCACAATTTTTTAGTTATCATGACGACACAAACAATTTTCATCACTACATTAATACCTATGTATTTCAAATAGCTATAATTGCATGTCGGTTATTAAAAATTTTCAAAAGTCAAATAGATGACACAACTTCAAAATAAGTAGATGAAAATATAAAATTAACGTTTTACTGAATATATATTAATATTTAAGAAAATTAACAGACATTTATTCCTATTTCTCTTTGTATTATGCAGCGTCGACTTCAAAAAGAGCTTATATCTCTAATACGGGAGCCACCACCCGGTGTTCAAATTGATGAAGATTTAGTTGGCCAGAATCTCACTGAATGGATTGTAAACATGGAAGGTGCAAAGGGAACTCTTTACGAAGGTGAACGCTTCCAGTTGCAGTTCAAGTTTAGCTCAAAGTATCCTTTCGACTCACCTCAAGTCACTTTCATCGGAGGAAACATTCCTATTCATCCACACGTTTACAGTAATGGGCACATTTGCTTATCAATCCTAACGGATGATTGGTCCCCAGCTCTCTCTGTTCAAAGTGTTTGCCTTAGTATCGTATCAATGTTGAGTTCTTGCAAAGAAAAGGTAAATAGAATTATGTGAAAAAATCTTTAATTAATCCTGATTAACTTGAAAGCTTTCAACAGATATGATTTTAGTTTCAATTGATTAATTAAAATGTTTCAATATTTTTTCTTATAGAAAAGACCCCCGGACAATTCATTTTACGTAAAAACTTGTCATACAAATCCAAAGAAGACAAAATGGTGGTATCATGGTAAAATGAATTCATTTTTTAATTATTGAGTTATTTAGAAAATAATATGAAATAAAAAAAAAATTGTACTTTTTACTTACAGATGATAGTGTATAAAAACGAAACAGATTTTATAATATGATAATTTCTGCGGAACCACGAGTAATAGATAAAAATTATTAAAAATAGTAATACGAAAATATGAGACTTAAATTCATTATAAACAATCAATTTAAGGATAAGACGACAAAACCGATAAAATAACAATGAAAAAGAAGATGAGAAACAATTATTTTATGTGTTTAAAGCTACGCTGATTATACTAATAAATAAATATGTATTTATAGACAGAAAAATGTTATTAAAACTTATTATCATGATAGATTAAGTCTTTACTGACAGTTGAACGAAAAGCAATGTGTAGTAATTATTGAGAAGTATAATACATTTTTCAGAAATTGAATTATAATCAATATATAAATTGGAGCAAATAAAAATTACAAATTTTATTATTAGAAATGGAGCATTAAGTATCTTTTAGTTTTTCTCTCTAAACATGAAATTTATTCAATGATTATTTATTCCAATTTAACATAATTATAAATATTATAATTTAATTTTCCAGCTTTTGTTACTAGTTTTTAGTAGTTTATAAAAATTACAATGAAGATTAAACTAATTTTTAAATTATGAAAGCATAAATACTATATGTTATTCAATAAATAATACATTAGCTAACATCATATGCTTTGAATATGTTATATCTTATCATGTTAATATCAATAAAATTAATATTTTATTTAATTAAGTCGAAAATAATTGAGACAAATAATGTGTTTGAAAGTTATCTATTAGGTCTTATATTAAAAGGTTTAATTGAAATAAAATATAAGATTATACAAAATTATTATACCCTAAATCAACAGAAATAGTACAATTTATATAAAAAGTTTTTCATCTTAAACACTTTACAGACATTTTTAAATTCAGAATTACATTTCATACATATATGTATATTGAAAAAATATATCTCTTGAGTTCAGTGATGACTTCACAACTGGTAATTGGTTTGATACAAGAGTGCGAATATTATTTCAGTTGGGTATTGACATTTTTAAGAATAGGAAATGTCAAAATCAATTAACTGTTCATATTCTTGACTTTTTTCAAGTTTATTGGTTTGACTATTACTTCAAGGCCATACTATCTCTTCCATATTGGTTTAATGGCTCTAGCCTGTAGGTGTTTATTTACTAGGTTCATCAGTATTAACCGATGTCACTAGCGAATAATTACCTTCTAATAATTACTACTATAAATACATTTTTTAACTGTAATTTTTTGAGTTGTAAGTTGGAATGTATTACGATATTTATCGATTGTACTTTCTTCAGTACATATATTTAAATGGTTCTGTCGAATTTCTTCGTGTAATTAGTGGTTCATTACAGATTTCATAAATGTTGACAGAGTACATCCTTGAATTAAAGTACCGTAGTTGTAAATTATTGATTACATTGCAAATGTAATATTGACAAAATAATTAGACTTTTAAGAAAAATTTTTTTTATTTAAAAAAACATGAAAATTAGTTTTATAAATAAAATACGTTGAATTTATGAAAATAATCAGTATTCTATGAAAATTTTTTATATTAAAGAGCAATTATTAATTATTTCTTGTAATTAATGAAAACAGACAGACGTCACAAATCAATATAGAATTGAAATTTAAATAAAAAGTGTATTAGAGAATCTCTTGTTTAAATTCCGCGCTAAGAACAAAAACGCTGCTCCACTCCATGTCAGTTTATAAATTATGAGCTGCTTCTGTTATTGGAGTTTGCTTTCTAACGTGTATTTGTGGATTCTTTTTTGACAAATTGAGCTATGTATAGATTACCGAAACACTTGTTTCTTAGCAACCACGAATGACAACTAAAAGAGTAACCGGTTGAAATAATAATGTATACACTCATTAATATAAAAAATATTTTAGATTTTGTACTATACAATGGAATTAAGTTTATCTGTGAAAAATAAATGACATTTTCTCTTGTTATTCAGAAGTGGTTAACTTATTTTCATATCAATTTAATTTTATGCATATCAAATTAGTTTCATCTATTTTTAAGTATTTAAAAGTACAAGGTACTCTAAAAAGATATTATTTTGGAGTTAATCATAATCCTTCACGTCAAATTTTTTATGTAAAACTCGACAATAAGGGTAACATTTACATAACTTTTAATTATTATAATTACCTATACCATTGAAATTGACAATCATAATCATATTAATTTTTTTTAGAAAGTGCAACCTTGTGGTATAAAAAATATGACAATATTTTAGATATGCGTGCAATATATGTTCCTAAGAAATTTGAGAATCGAGGTATAGCAAGATTATTAACGGAGGTAATTACCATTCCTCAATCAACATTGATATCATTTAATTAGAATCAAAAAACAATATTTCAGGCGGCCTTTACGTATGCTATCATTAACGATTACTACTTAATACTCACGTGTGGATATGTTCAGAATTTATATATTATGATAAAAACTCCAGATCTTCAAGCACGAGTTGTTGGACCACCCAAAGTTTTGGAAAAGTCTTGAAATTAACAATAATAAAATGGATAATTTAAATGAATCTGACATTCAAGCAGTCATTATTTGGCACTGCCAACAATATTACTACAATGCGATGCTTCATCATGCAAAACAAGCATCTCAAAATTTCCCATCTAATGAAAATATTAAAATTTTACTTACTGTAGCTTATACCCTAACTCATCGCTTTCAAGAAGCATTACAAGAAATATCTGAGCTCACTACCAATGAAGATACAGCAATACCAGCTCTCTTGATTGAAACTTTGGTACATCGATTAAATGGAAATAAAGATCGAGGACGTGTAACTCAAATTGAATCTAAAATTCGTGAAGATCGGCGTACAGCTTCTTCGACAGCTCTAATACGAGCTGCACTTGTTTTATATTTATTCAAAAAATTTGATAAAGCCAAAGACTATGCTGAACGAGCATATAAAGTTAAAGCTAATGATCCAGAGATATTAATTATGAGTGGATGGATCGATTTACATTTTCATAAAGGTGCAAATGTTAACTATTTTGGTTTAGTTCCCAAAGACAGTAGTAGAAAATTAAATGTCTTACTTGGAACAGCCAAAATGCATGAGTTAAAAGAATCTCATGAACAAGCAATTTTAATTTTGAATGCTCTAATCGTCCGATATCCTAAGCTTTATTTACCCCTTGTGGAGAAAATGATAAATCAGTTAGCTACAAAAGATTGGGATCAAGCATTAGAAACTGCAAATAGGATTTTATCGATTGATACAAATAATATTGATGCAATGAAAGCTAAAGCTGTTGTTACTTTATGTCGTGATGGAGATTACGTTACAGGCTCCAAAAATATACAGTCTTATTTTCGTAATCTCTTACTTGCTGAACAAAAAAATGTTCAGGTTTTTGTCAATGACATTCAATTATTTTCTCGAATTACTAATCGAGATTCTGAGCCTTTAAATGAACTTGCAAAAATTGCAGAGAAATTCGTTCAACAAAATTCAAGTGTCTCTGAACCGATGATAGAGCTTGGAAATATTTTTTTATATATGAATAAACTCATAGAGGCTGAGCATTGGTATAGAAGTGCAATACGAATTGATGAATCATCTTTTGCTGCTTTGATGGGCTTAGCTCACTGCCAGGTTCTTGATACTTCTCCTGATGCACTAGAATTAGCACGTCAACAAGTTGATTTTTTGATAGAAAATCAGCCTAATGTAAATGATTCTAGACTTTTTTTCATGTCAGCTAAAATTTGTCGACATGACGCTGCAAAAGCTCTAGGTTATTTAAATAGTGCAGTTAAAATAATCCTAGATAAATGCAAAAATATTTCTTATAGCTATACATATATTAAAGAATTAAATCCCGACTTCTGTTTGGAAATTGTCAATGAACTTATTCTTCATTTACCAACAACAGAAGGAAACAATGACACTAACCTCAGACTGGAGAGTGAAAAACAGGTTTTAACATTGTTAAAAAAAGTAGTTGATGCATGTCCAGGATTTGGAGAAGCTTATTTGTTACTTGGAAGAGCTAGCATGCAGATTGGTGATTATGAAGAAGCGTTAGCTGCTTTAAAAAAATTATTGGATGCTGTAGACCCAACGAATGCCAGTGCACATTTATTAATGGCTCAGATTTTTACTCGTCAAGGTAACTACCAATCAGCATCTCAAAGTCTAGAGGTAGGATTGAGTTACAACTTCAAGGTTCGAGATGATCCATTATATCACTTAATATCTGGTATCGTTGAAAAAAATACTGGTAATTTACAAGCTTGTATAGAAAGTCTACGTACGGCGATGAAATTAATGGACATGAAGACATCAAAAGGTTCATCAGTACCTACTCTTTCATCTTCAGATAAAACAACACTCTATCTAGAGCTCATATCAGCTTATAGTAAGTTGAAACAATTCGATGAAGCAGCAGCATTGATGAGCGAGGCTAAAATGCAATTTGTAAATACAGTTGAAGAAGGAAGAGTAATTATAGCCAATGCTGATCTCTGTTTAGATATAGGAGATATTGAAAAGGCAATTAATTATTTAAATGATGTACAACCTGGTGAACCTTACTATCTTCAAGCTCACACCAAACTTGCAAATATTCATTTGCATAGAAGAAAAGATAGACAAGCATTTGCCAAGAGCTTCAGAGAATTGGTTGAACACTGTCCAGGTCCAATGACATATAGTATGCTAGGAGATGCTTATATGGCAATTCAAGAACCTGATAGAGCAATTGAAGCCTACGAACAGTCATTGAAAAATAATCCCAGTGATATAATTCTTGCTAACAAGATGGGCAAAGCGCTCGTTAAAACTCATCAGTATGAAAGAGCGATAAATTATTATAAAGAAATAATCAAAAATAAAGGATGTGCAGAGTTAAAATTAGATCTAGCAGCATTATTTATGCGAATGAAACAGCATGAAAAAGCTGAAAATATTTTATTACAAGAATTACAAGAAGGCAGAACTGCAACTGATTTATCAGGTTTAGAATTAAGAGGAAAACAACTCTTATTACTTGCTAAAGTAAGAGAACGAGCTGGAAATATTCCATCAGCAATATCTACTTTAAAAGAAGCAAAAGAAAATCAAATTAGGTGCATTCAAAGAGCTACAATCGGACCTGGAGTTACAAACCAAAAACAAGTATTGGTGGACATTTGCCTAACAATGGCAGATCATTCAACTGCGCTGAGAGATTTTGATAGTGCTATTTCTCATTACAAAGATGCTCTTCAACACAAACCTTCAGATATTAAAACACTCTTGACGCTTGCAAAACTTTATATGCAGGTGAACGATCTAGATAAATGTGCTCAGAGTTGTACAGCATTATTGAATGCAGATCCTGATAATGAAGCAGCTACTGTAATGATGGCAGATCTAGCTTTTAGAAAGGTAGACTTTGAAACTGCAGCATTCCATTTTCGACAATTATTGTTGAAGAGACCAACTTATTGGACAGCTTTAGCACGATTGATTGAAGTTTCCCGTCGCACTGGTAAATTTATTTATTTATTTATTTATTTATTGATGATAACAATAATTAAGCAACTTTGAAATTATAGGTAATATTAGTGATCTGGACGAATGGTTATCAAGAGCAGAATCCGCAACGGAAAGTTCAAATCGTGATGCTGGATATTATTATTGTTCTGGTTTGAGAGATTGGCGAACTGGTAGATTAAATTCAGCCTTACGAAATTTCAACGCAGCAAGGCGAGATCCTGAGTGGGGTCAACAAGCGATTTACAATATGATAGAAATTTGCTTGAACCCTGACGATGACTCCGCGCTATCCAGTGATGCTTTCACTGAAGAGGATGCTGAATATCAAGATTCAAGAACAATGGCCTTAACAACTGCTCAGAGATTACTACAGGTATTTGCTTTACATAAATATCTATAATATAAAAATATTTTAATTTTGTTAAATCTTCTTATTGTAAATATAGGAATTAAATCCAAAGGGAAGCCCTCATGAGATACTGACTCATCGATTGTTGAGTAACTTTTTGCTACTCGCAACAAAAATAAAATCTAATATTGAACGAGCATTACAAGACTGCACAACTCTGGCAAGTCAAGACACTCTTCGAGATCATGTAGGTCCAGCTTTAGGTCTTGCTACAGCTCATATCCTACTTAAACAAACTCCTCGTGCAAGAAATCATCTTAAACGTGTTTCAAAGAATGTTTGGACATTTGAAGATGCTGAATATCTTGAGAGATGTTGGCTTTTATTAGCTGATATTTACGTTCAATCAAATAAATACGACCTTGCTAATGAATTATTAAGACGAGTTTTGCAACATAACGCGACATGCGTCCGAGCTCATGAATTATCCGGACACATTGCTGAACGCGAGCAAAACTACAAAGAAGCTGCAACTCGATATGCTCAAGCATGGAAATTTGGTGGTAAAACAAAGCTCTCGTTAGGATATAAACTAGCCTATTGTTGTTTGAAGAGTAAAAGATATGCTGATGCTATACAAGCATGTACTGAAGTATTGAAACAAAATCCAAATTTTCCAAGAATAAAAAAAGAAATTCTTGAAAAATCTGTCAATTATATTCGTACTTGAAATAAATTTAATATTTATAAAAATTATAATTTTGAAGTATTTCAAACAAATAAATGTTCAAATGTTGTCTTAATTGTAGCTTTATTTGATTTTTTTTCTTTACATACTCGTTAATTGATTTTTAATAGTATTTACATTAAGATAATTATAATAGTTATTTTTATTTTTGTGCTTTACGAGTACCATTGAGATTTATTTTTCAATTAATTTTTGAACACTCCTGAAACTATGGTTAGTAATTAGCTAATACTGCTGTTTGGTTTACTTTTACTTTTATCACACTGATAATGAAAGATTTTTAAATAATTTACAGAAACAAATGTTCACACTTAAAGATCCAAATACATAATTTGAGTTGCTGAGAGTGCTCCGCAAGCAGCGAGTATACTGGCAACGCAAACAACTGCTGTCGTCGTTCCCGAAAGGCTAACAATCGTGCCAAGACAACATGATAGTAGAAATTGTGCAAGGAAAACCATAGATGATACAATTGCTACATCAGTACCCAATCCTCGCACTCCACCACTATCTATTGCCTCGCCTTCAGCAGAAACAGCAAACTATAAAAAATCATCAACTCTTAGAGACACCTTTTCGAATTACATCATAATTTGGTAAGATTTTTGATCCATACCGTCGATGAAGCATGATAATGTGCGATCAATAAATATGGTATTGTGAATAAAGTTGAATACATCACTCCAGCAGTCCAAGAAAATATTATAACTCCCACTGGGTGCTTTGTTAAAGCCATCATCATCATCCCAAGGCTATAAAATAACAACCCGTAGACGTAGACCCTCCGAGCTCTGCAAAATATAATCAATATCGAGGTAAATTATGTTATTTATTTTTTTTTTTTTTTTAGTACAACGAAATCACATAAGATATTGTTTTCAATTTGTTTCAATAAAGTTTTACTTTTATTTCAGCTTTTTTATGTAAAATAAATAAGAACATTAGGCAATTTATTGTTAAAAAATTAAAAAAATTTACTTGTATCGTTGAATTAATTTCTCTATAATTAACGAATAGCAAGAGCAGGATAAAGAATACATTGACATCCCCCAGCAGCCAAATCGAACTCCAGTCTCATATAACTCTCTTTCTTTAGAGCCATCAGGTGCCTTGGGATTTCCTCCATAAACTGACTCGCCAACAAAGTCAGTAAAATGAAGGGAGTAACAAACGTGAGCCATCCAACAAAATAAATTTGTTAAGCAAACCATGCGTACGCTATGAGGCATGTAGACAATTGAAAGTAAATATTCTGTTAAAGTAGCTTTAGGGTCAACTTGATCAATTTCGGAAGAATAATTATCATAATTTTCTATGATTTCTGGTACCATTGGTACCGAGCCATGTCTTTTAGGATGTTCCACTGGGAGAGGCTTTAATGCAAATTCCTATGAATAGAATTTTTAAAAAATAAATAATTAGCCTTGTCAATTAGTGAAATTTAGATTAAATGACCTATTTTTAAATAATACCTCATGTTGTTCTGTTGAAGAATCCGTTGTACTTCCGAGAGTTCCATAAGTAGCACCATCATTAAGAGCTATCTTTTCACTTTCATTTCCACTTTGATTCTCTGTCTTTGATTCATAAAAAAATTAGTTTTTAGTCTCTTGAAAATTATTATTGATGTTCAGATCTACTACCAACCTGTTGAGCCTGCATGGCAGCTCGATGTTGCTCTTGTTCAAGTAAATAAAGTGGTATTTCTTTGAAACTTGTAATCGTGAAAGTCACGCAAATAATAAAAATAATAGTTATGAGAGTAAACGTTGCATGAACATGTCCTCCCAAAGCCACTCCAATCCTTGTTGCGTCCCAATTTATTCCACCCAATCCATACCCCATAAAACCTCCTAAACCAGCCATTATTGTAAATGTGCTTAAACCTCGTGCATGATCCTCTGTATTTTATATTATGAGTTTTAGTAAAATGCGTAGCTTGCTGAATATTAGCTATCCATGCAAAATTTTAAAAATAATTTAACCTGGAATTGTAACGTCTAATAGATAAGCTCGGGCTGGACTCTGACAAGCATCGGCATCAAAATCAAGTAAAACAGTTCCTAAAATTGTAAAAAATATTCCCCAAGAGTGAGATGTAGGTGGAGTCTCTGGCAATGTTATGTTATCCGTTTTAGCTGATAATCTATGCCCTAAAGGTATTGTATGATTCGTTAAAGGTAGTGGATCACCAAATTTATACCCCATTGATTCGCCATTTGGTACCAATAGAAGTCCTAATAAAAATTATTCCAATTACTATTATCGTATCTATTTACAATGGTTATTATGATTAAAAATTTATCAATTAATTTTAAAAATTATTCGGAATTAAATTTCAAAACATTCTTTAAGTGAGAGCTTAATACAGAAAAAACTTCATCGTTCAATTTCAGAAGACTCAATTAAAATAATGAACATAATGATGATGGATTAGTTGATTAAGAATACTATTATTTATTTTAATTGAATCAATACGGAGTATTAAGAAAATTACTTTACCCAGAAAAACACCAATAGCAAGGAAAATAATAAAAATTCTTCTTCTGCCAAACTTAGATTTGCAGCGATCGCTAAGACTTCCTAAAACTGGTGTTACGAAAAAGCCTACAAGAGGACTCAAAGCCCAAACTAATGTCATGTGTTGATGGTCCACACCGATTTTTAATAAAGTTGGTGTAACAAAGGCAGTTTCGGCTGCATAAGAAAATTCAATTCCCATCACAGCTGCTGATATTCGTACTAATTCCCAACGTGTTTTTGGCCTTGAAGAATAAGAAGAAGGAGTAGAAAAAATGACAGAAAGAAATGCAATTTATTCTTTTCGAAATACCTGTACACATGTGAGTAATCTTCTATAGTACGTTCTAACTTGGGTGGTTGTCGAAAATGGTTGATAACACCACCGATTCCTTGATTAGTAGGAATTTCATTTTTCCATTCTTTCAACCCAGACCACTTCTCACTAATTTTATCACGAAATCCATGGACTCGTCCCGTAAGACCTTGATAATCATGCAACTTATCTACCATAATTAAGGACGATTTTAAATCTAGATTCCAATTTAGAAGACTTCCGCAATTATTTTTGCTATTTCCACATTTATATAGTCATCAAACATTTTCTTTTTCTAATCGTGATAGTTATTTCTAGAGTTTTGACAGAGTTTTCAGCAAAACTTTGATTCTAATTATTTCAAACAAAGGTAAGTTAGTCAGGTAATTAGATATAACTTCAAGTGTAAAATCACAGTTGTTTTGAATAGGAGATGTCACTTCTATTTAGAATAGCAAAGGTACACCATTTTATAGTTATCAACTTACTTTAATGAATTTTAGTATTCATCATTTACTCATTTTTTCAGTATTTATTTGTTAAGAAGGCTTGACAATATTATCTAAAGAATTGATTACTATATGGGAAATAAAACTGACACTGCTCAGTGAACGTCCAGCGCTTAACTGAGAGCATCCCTTCAACTACCTTACTGTATAGGGGATGAAAGCTCTGTACGTCAGACCTATTGTAGAATCACGCCGACTCCAACATTTGAACAGTTTTTAAACTGATGAAGGATAATAAAATTTTCATTTATTAACGTATAAAGTAGTCTTTTTTTGTCATTTTTCTATCTAGAGAGATGTTATTTATTTTATTGATTGAGAGTCAATAACATGATCAAAATATTCACATCATGGATATCAGCGTCAGAGCAAATATTTAATCATTTTATATAAGCGAAATATAGCTAGAACAAAAAGGGTAAAATTCTTCATTTAACACAATAAATTTATTTGTTCAGAAAATTGAATTTATTTCTATAATAAAATTGATTATATATATGCATGTATCGTTAGTACGTAACAGAGATAGAGTATGATGTTCAAACCATCAATGATATAACTAATGTAATTTCCGGGAATAACAGCTGAAATCGATATTATGTCATTTTCTCGAATGTGAAATTTTTTCATTATTTTCTTGTTGATAAAATAAACAACTCCGCAATAATGGAACTTGTGTTTTCTTTCTTTTTTATTATGTTTTAGTATCTATCCTGGAGAATGCTTCCTTAATTACTTAGAAAAAGTGTATCAATTTTTCTTTTTTTTTCTTTTCTTTAAAATCAACTACTCTTCTGTTGAATATTTTTTAGTAAGAATATTTCAATGTTTGAATATTTAAAATATTAGTTGTAAAAAAATTAAATAAAAATAATGAACACTTATTGCAATAGAATATCACTTTATAATAAATAGTAAATAAGAAAAAATAGAAATCCCCACAGATGAAGTAATAAATCCGATTTTAAAGCTCATCACAATGCTTTTTGCATTGTAAATGACGTCAGCAGCTTTCTTTCAGATTTTACGACAGGAAATAAATAAAGGTTTATTAGTTTTCAATATAATTTTTTTCCTCAAATTTGAAACTATGTTAAATACAAAATAATTTCTGCATCTTAATAATAATAATAATAATAATAATAATAATAATAATAATAATAATAATAATAATAATAATAATAATAATAATAATAATTTTTCTGGTATTTTTTACATGTAAATGGCCTACTTTTTAACGAGATGAAACCTTAACTCACAGCTATCAATCGTTGAACAGGGTGAACTCAAGGCTAATTCTAAGTCGCTTGTATCAGCGCAACTTATTCTCAATTTACACCCCTAGACTACTTTTCCAATCACACTATCAAGGGTAACTTTGTCACGAACAGGCTCATAGCTATTCATTGAATTCTAAATTTGCTTTGATATCCAGATATCTTCAGTCAGAAACTTCTGATTTTAATAGCAATAAAAATTGATCAATATTGGTTATTGTAGCTTTATTTGCTTCAAAAGGAATGTTTTGTATCAAAACATACAATCAAATGGTTTTTTAAAAAGATACAATGTCGATAAAATGTTCAGTAGTTATCTAAAAAAGTTGAAAAAATAAAAGTTCAAAGTGGAAAATAACAGGAAACCGAAGGAAATCATTCCATCAACTTTATTTCAGCACCCAAGGAAAAGAAACGATAAAGTTGACACTTTCATTGTCGTTTTATTGCAAAGACTGGAGAAAACATGCTCAATAAATAAGTTTAAAAAAATGTAGACAATAAAGTATTGTACAAAACTAATGAAACGAAAGAAACGTAACAGGTACGAAGCAGGTTTCAGATTTGTGGAAGCTTAAAGCCGGAGCTTCTTAAGAAATGTGCACTTGACATAAATCCAAGACAAAAATAGTTCTTGTATCGCATTGCCAAATGAATTTGCCAAGATCATTCGTGTATTTCAAGTCCAAGCTTCATCAAGAATTGCTCTATGAAAGGAAAATATTCAAATAAAAGGTTCAATACACTGAGCAAAAAGCAAGGTGTATTATCTCCAAGTATAATGAACATGTTATAAAATCAAGTAGTCAGATGATTTAATTAAATCAATTCGTTATTTCAGTTGAATTAATATAAATTTTTTTAGAAAGACATATAAATTATTATGATCTTTATTGCAAGCAATATTTTCTTGATCTGACAAATTCTCAGTTAAGTGAGAAATGTGTTCAAATGTACTGCTAATTGTTATTATACTTCATTCGTTTCTCTTGTACTAATTTCACTTCTTAAAGAAATAATTAAAGTTTTTATTACATAAAAATTGAAGAACCATAAAAATTATCACGCGTACAGCATTAAAAACAGTTGATAAAGAGACCAATTGTCGTAAATGCGTGTTTATTGACTTCAACAATAAATAGTCATCTTCACATGATTGATACAGGCTGGCCTGAAATTATTGTTACTTATGATCCAGAATCGTTTCGCTGGAAATTTAATTCAGATCAGTTACTTGAATGATCATATAACTCTTGAAGCATGGAAACAGATAACGAATAAGTTCCAGTGGTTGATTTTTAATCTTGGCTTACTAGGTAAGAATATCCACCCTTTCTTAAAGTTAAACATTCAGGTAAATTAATTAATATATTTAATTATTAATAAAGAATATCTATATACCTATTATTGAAGTTATAAAATACTCTTTACAATGAAATGACTCCAAGTATTTTTAGAATTTATTGCATCTTTTGTTGATTTTATTTATACTTTTAATGATTATATCAATGATTGTATTTAACAGACATTATCTCGATAAAACAGGAAATATTTAAAATCCCTGGTCAATGTTACCCTTGCGATCTAGACTCTAGAGTATTCGAGTTGACTTTATTAAACATCATTGATAAGAACTTTATTATGCATATTCATTCTACTTATCAGCAAGTAAAGAAACGTTCAACGTTTCTGTTTCTGCTATGGTTTGTTTGATCAATCAAAGGAAATCTTATTAAACCTACTGATCATTGAAATGCAAGATAAATTGATTAATATTGAATTAATTCATTTTTAGAATAGAATTCAATGACCCTTTTCAAAAGTTATTAACATTCTACTTGATTTTCATGCAAACATAATGTCTGAAATAAATGATCATCAGTCTCGTTTGATCATCACATATGTTAGTATGGATGATCACCTCTGTATCAATGATATAACTACTATGGTTAATTGTTGCTGCAGTTTGTTCTATATAGCCAGCATGCTATCTGACTCGACTGAATGATATGAAAACAGCACTCATCAGTTCAAGTATCGACTTCATGTTAATAATGCCAATGAATTCATAGTATCGGTAAATCATCAGTGCTCAGATAATACTGTTGAAAAAGAAAACATTTACAATGACATTCAATACATTTCTTACTTCTACAGATGCATCTTTTTATTTACATGCTCAATTTTTCTGTTAGATTTAAGCAATCATTTGGTAGATTTGAATGAAAATTAATTATTATTAAAGAAAAATTAAAGATATTTATATTATCTAATTAACTTCAGACTTTTTTCAACTTATCTTAATCAAAAATAAATTTACAATTTTTTTTTATTTCATCCAATGATACCTCATTGTAAAAATGATTTTCTATGACTAAAAGTATACAATTAAAGCTCTAGTAATTTATGTACATTCGGTTAGTAGGGAATTAAAAACATCAATGCTTACCTAGTAAACATGACACGACGTCAGACATAAAAGTATGAAAAGTTAATCCTGAAGTACAACATAAAGTTTTTATTTATAATGACTTATCACATGTGATTAATGTCTGACAAGCTAAAATCTTTTGTAGCATTTTTTTGTGCTTATTCAAGTATTTATCACATATCAAACTGAGTGTGTCTTATATAAGAAAAAACAAAGAATACAATATTAATGACATTTCTCAAATAAATAAAGTGATTCATATTGACTAATTTTCAATCATTCTTATCATTTCGCATACTAAACATTTTTTGGTGAGATAATACCCAATTTGTAATCTTAGTTATTACATGTCAACTTTTGACAAATCATACACAGTCGCTAAATGATCATTAGAGTTATAGAAAATAGTTGTAGAAAATAGGTCTCGCAGGTGCTCACTTATGCTGATTGGCTAGATATATGAGTTCAGACAAAGTAGCCAAAATTAGAATAACTTGCCCTGACACTTGCTGACGTGCTACAACATCTCGTTTGCTCTTTTCCTCTTGGCAATTATAGTTGTTCTTACCCTTGGCTTGTGTTCTAATTAAAGTCGTTCTGTCTCCATAGTTCCGTAATAATTTCCTTTTTCGTCAAGTATCCAATCGTTTTCTTTAATACATCTTATTCTCTTCACCTATTTTATCGCAACAGGTAATTTTTTGGCAACTTTTTACCCAATATACTTAAAGTTTTACTAAAAAGGCAGTGATAATTATGTTTGAGTAATAACTGACAGTTATCTAGAATTGAAATAATAATATCGATCAAATAAAAATCTGTGACAACAGCTGTAAGGATCATTTACATATTTTTCATAGATTAATTGGGTTTTGAAAGTCATGTCGAAATAGGAATACTGCTCTTAAATGAATTTTAGAATAAATTTCAAAGTGATAATCGTTATTATAACGTTGATTAAGTAAAGCTAAAATTTTTTAATAAGAAATATTTCAAGTTCAAATGTGTCATTTATGACAAGGAAATAAGATAGAAGTGCAGTGTTGTTGTCAGTGATAAAGTTGAGATAAATTTGTTTTAATAAGTGAATGAAATCAAATATGACTGTGATTACAGATTATAAAATTTATAAGATGTAGGTAATATGACGTAAGATATAGTTTTGTTGTTCCAATTGTTATTCATCTAATTTCCGGCATTTGTAGACTGTGTCATTATCCGAAAAAAAGTACCAATTTTTAATTTATAAAAGAAAATAAACTTATCAGGTTGTTATCAAGGAAAAACAGAATATTAAGATTCTGATGGTGTTACATAATGTATCGACGTTGTATTTTATTAGCCTACCGGGCGCAATAAAAGAAAGATTTGGTTAAGATAAAATTAAATTGCTGATTCTCTAAATGTTTATTGTTAATAAACAAATAAATCATTATTTACCGAGTTAGTGATCACTGATAAAAGATTGATATGCAATTGTAAATTACCGATTTAACATACTAATTTCAAGCCATTTCCAAGTGTAATTTATAGGTGGATTAATTCAAGATTTAAATGATTGACAGTTTTATAGCTTTATTATCAATGATCGATCAATAACCTCTGTCTATGATATCCATTGTAGCAATCGATTGGATATTTTTAGCTAAATGATCAGTATCACACTTAGCCAAAAAATATTTGTAGATCTAAGATTAATTTTACACATCAGGTATTTTTATAAAGTAGCTATAATCGTAATCAAATAATTTCAAGGAAAATGATAAAAATGTCTCTTTCAATATTAAATTTTTTCTTCATTGAAATTGAAGTAGTATGAATAATAAAGTTTATTAAAAACCCATATATTTAAATAAGGATTTAAACAATCGGTATCATTGTTTTCATATCGGGTTGAGAAGATTTGCAACGTATTTACACCTTATTTCGTCACACGTCTTATGACTAACACCTTGTTGACAATTTCGAGGATCTCTTTGTGATGACGATTCATGTAGCAAGTTGTTTTTCTAATAATCAATGAGCATTATAGTAACTAAAACCAAAATGAGGACAGATTTTTGATTACTAAAACAATAAAATTTCCATCATTACAAGCTTATCAATAAATTGACGAATTTTCTCGAAATGTTTACAGAATTGAGTTAGAAACTTCTCATTAAAGCCGGATAAATCTTGATAAACCAGAATTTGTTTATTCGAATGATCATGCTCTTATATAGTACTCTACGAATATACGGCCCTTATACACATATTTACTAAATTAGAGTGGTAAAGCTGACTCAAGGTTTTCTTTGTTTTGTTCAGTTTTGAGTTTCAGATAGAACCTTTTTCTTCAGTGTCTCGTGACATTTGGTAATATATCCAATAAAAAATTATTGTTAGTGACTGATTGTCAGTGGAGAGAGTAATTTTGCCGCGTGATAAAATCCACAATCAGATATCAGCTGCTCACCAATGAGTGAGGGGAGCAGTGCTTGGCAAAGACAAAACCGTGGAACACGAGCAACAAACCGACATTGTTTTACCTCATCTGGAAGGTACCTGCCAGTCTTACCTTGGACCCCAATTTCCTACGAATCATCGATCACGGAGCACTTTAGAATCGCAGGATTCAGCCATGGGTTAGTGTTCAATCATCATTTATTTATTATTATTATCATCATCAATAGTGGTGTACTAGTTTTAATCATTTTATTTTATTTATTGTGCTACTAGGGCTCGACTTCCTGGCAGACGGAGGTGCAGACTTCGAGCATGCCATCACCGTTACAGGTATATATCAAAAATATTCTTAATATCTGTGTACTAAAGTGATTCGATAACTACATCCAACATGAAGAAGATAAGTTTAAAAGTGAAGGCGGATCTTTGTAAAGATGATAGTATGAAATTTTTGATAAATTGTGATTAAAAAAAAACATGTTATGTCAAATATAAACTTGGCCCAATCTCGTCATCAATTGTCACCACTTAAACAAGCTTATAAAATATCTGTTTTATCAGCACTTTAATTAAACAATTAAATTCTTAAAAGTATTCATTCAAGACAGAAGTTGTGGAGTTTAAATTTTTTTATTAACTAAATTATTGTGCTAAAAAATTTTATAGTTCATTAAACACTTCTATATACGTGGATAATACCTGAAATAACCAAATGAAATTTCTATCAGAAATAATCGAGTGATAATTGACTTTATAAACAATATCTAAATTTTTTTTTTTGCTATGAAAAGAACAGTTTATTGTAACGACGTAAATAAATTTAGAGAGTGATAATTCGTGGAATAAAAAAAAAACATTCTGAGTAAATATAAAGATTACGAGTATCTTAATTGTAATGAAGTATAATCAAGTGAGCTAAAAACAAATCCACAAGTCATACAAAATAAGATTAAAAATTCTTTCTATTATTCATCGATTATTTAATAACTACTCATGTCTAGGTTTCGGCAAATTCCACTACATGCTGCTAGCCATTTGCGGTCTGATTTATATGGACACTGCAATTGGAGTGACAATTCTATCATTTGTTCTCCCGGCAGCACAATGCGACCTTCAAATGGATTCAACGTCCAAGGGTTGGCTCACCGCATCACCCATGCTAGGTAAAATGCATTTCCTTTTTAGTACATAAATTGAATTAATTACTTAACATTAAAGTAAACAAAATATTTTTCTTTTTTCATTAAAAATAATTCTTTTAATTCTTCATCATAATAATTTAATCAGGCAATCTTTTACAGGTGATGATTGGCAAAAATTTTTATTTACAATAACAATGTAAATTCTTTTTTCATTAAGTAATTATTTTGCGTAATATTTAAATGGTAAATGTTAGCAGCTGCTCTTATCATTAAAAAATACCAAAAAAGGAACAAATGCATTAAATTTAAAGTTAAATAAACATAAATTGTATCAATAATTATCAAAAAATATGTCAATATTTATTTTAATGAATTTTAAAGAAGCTGAAATAATTTATAATAAGTTTTTATTTTAACTTCAGTTAAATTATCTAACAATCGTTTTTTAATATTAAAAAAAATAAAAGTCAAGTAATTTTGATTAGTTGGATATTTAATCTAAATTAAATTAAGTAGAAACCATTTACGTTTTATTAGTTATTCAAGTTTTAATGCTTAGTTAATTAATTTAATGTAATATCTAGTAAAGAAGCTAATCAAAAATGATCTTAATAAAGATAATCAAAGGTTTTTAATAAAATTGTATTTATCATCATTGTTAAAAATAGTCAAAAATTATTTGGACTCTTCGAAATAAGAACTCAATGTTAATTTAAAATAAACTCGACCGAGAAAATGTAGAGCATCGATTATAGTACTCTGAAGCCCTAAAAATGAGTTATAAAATTCATCGGCTTCTTGAAGTGTTTACAACACGATTGCATTTCATGAAACAAATATTTTAACAAAACAATGCCATTTTGGTATAGGGATGGTGATAGGATCCTATTTTTGGGGGTGCCTGGCTGATACAAAGGGCCGCAAAATTGTTCTGATTGCCACATTAATGATGGACGGAATAGTAGGAGTAATTTCCTCTTTTGTTCAACACTTTTGGGTTTTCCTGATCCTCAGGTTTTTCAACGGGTTTGCGTAAGTATAATGATTCATACTTATATCACGACTTGATGATATAATTTTAACTTCATTTATACGTGCAGGGTAACTGGAGCAATGGGAATATGCTTCCCATATTTGGGTGAATTTCAACCAACGAAATATCGTGAAAAAATTCTCTGCTGGATGGAAATGTTCTGGACAATTGGAGTCATAGCTTTACCACTTATTGCATGGATAATTGTACCACTTGATCTTCCCCCTACTTCTATTGACTTTAAATTTAAGTCTTGGAATCTCTTTGTAGCCTTATGTGCTTTTCCTTCTCTCATTTTATCACTTTGGCTCTTTGCTTTCCCTGAAAGCCCAAAATTTCTTCTTGAATGCGGAGAGACTGATAAAGCTTTGAAAGTGTTCAAGTGGATCTATGCACAAAATACTGGAAGTGACCCTGATTCATATCCTGTAAGAATTTTTATTATTTATTTTCTTAATTAAATTAATCTAATATTGTTTTGAATTATTTGTAGTAAATATCTATAATTTATATTTTCTTTCAGATTAAATCTCTCCAAGAAAAAAAGACCAATCCAAAAGACAAGAGCACACGATCTTTAAGGCTGCATAAACGTAAAGATCTTAAGGTTCTTTGCTCGGAAGTCTGGGAACTGACAAAATCTCTTTGCAAACCTCCTTATCTTCGTAATACAGTTCTAGCATGTGCAATACAATTTGGACTAACTAGCAGTTATTATACTTTAATGGTATGGTTTCCTGAATTATTTACAAGGTGAGAACAATGTAACATATTTCAATAATTGGATTTGATTTATCAACTTTAAGATGTTAATAACAAAAATGTTTAATTTGCTTATTTAGATTTGACGAATTTGAAAAAGAACATCCAGGTGAAACTACATCAGTGTGTATCGTTTCTGCATTGTCACCTAATGACACTAATACTGACCCTTATGGCTGTCATACAATCATTACTCCTGATGTCTATCTACATACTGTTTATATCGGTCTTGCTTGTTTGCCAGGCTCAATCATACTTCCTATCTTCATTCATAAAGTTGGAGCCAAAGTTTTTCTCAGTAAGAATTGCTAATGACTACATTTTAAGATAATTATCAATGCTATCCCAAATATAATTGACAATTATTAATATGATATTATTTTTGTACCTTTTCTTGTAGTCGTGTCATTGATAATTTCTGGTGCGGTGACCATTGGATTTTACTACGTCGTCAATGCCGATCAAAATCTCATTCTTTCATGTATTTTTGAAGCTTTGACGTCTTTAGGAATTTCTCTAGTCTACTGTGTGATTGTAGATATGTTCCCAACAAATCTCAGGTAAGAAATAAAAATAGATTTTTTAAATAATAGTGTAATTTAATAAATGAGACTTTGAGTTAAAAAATAATATATTTTTTTAGGGTAATGGCAGCAGCGTTGTCATTGACCATGGGAAGATTGGGAGCTCTTGTTGGAAATCTAATTTTTGGATATCTCATTGATCTTGCTTGTGTGGTACCTGTTGCCCTATTTGCATCATTCTTATTTAGTAAGTAGATAATTACCGAAAGATTATTACTTTTATAATCTAATTAATTAAAACATAAACTAAATTTTTGTTTTCATTACAGTGTGTGGATTACTCTCCGTCTTATTACCAAGAACTGGTAAAGATACTCTCGACTGATTGAGAAAAAAATTCATTCAATAAATAAGCACCAACTTCTCAGGTGAAAGAGAAAATTAGATTAATAAAATGCTCACAAGTTACATGTAGCTCAAAATACCAAAGGGAGTTTCTAGTTTTTCAGATTCTTTACATAGATCTTTGTCCGTTATTGGACAATGCTCAACGATTTATTCTGAATGATCCTATTAGTTTTAGATTGATTCTTGTTAATAATTATGTAAATTATACATCTAATGTGTAAGTAGGGAAAAATAATTAACTGAAAGTTCATCATTATTTTTTATAAGATGAAACTATTTTCGTAAAAGTATTTATTTATACGTATTAATCCTACATTTATTGTTTAATCTTTTTACCTTAACTTTCATTATTTAGATCAAATTAATGTTGTTATTTAAATATTAATATTCATAAACCCTGTAAAAAGTTTAGTTTTAATTATTATTAAATAACTACTGTGTAAAAATTGTTAAAGACATTCCAAAAGTTTTTGGTGTATCTTTTTCTATGGAAATCGTTGAGTATTAAATTCATCAAGTGCGAATATTTTAGCATAATTTTTTTTGTTATAGTTTTATCTAGCTTTACTAATAAGTGTTTATAAATTGTAACGATATGTAAAATATTAAAAATAATCATAGATTATATTTAATAACAATGTATTTTTTATTATATTTTATAACATCATTCATTCTTAAAAAAAACCCAGTAGCATTTTAAGCAACCATTTTCTTACAAATACAATTTTGAAAATCAGTTGTTCAAAGAAAATAAATTTTAGTTATTCATAGATTTCTTACATCAATGATAACACTTTTTATGATCTTTACAATTTTATTTTCAAGAAAAATTATAAAAAAAAAATTTTGTTCTTTTCACAGACAGACGTATGATTAGATAATAAGCGTTTATCAGTTTTTTGAATTATGTCTATTCTATGTCTATTTATTAAAAAACAATGTATTTTTACCAGTTAATGCCGTGCTCTTACGCTCTCTAATTAATCATACAACTCAAGGGCTATTGAAGATATCGAGATTGATCGAAAAGAAGATAATATTTCAATTGATTGAGTAGTTTATTTTAGCGCCGTGATAAAATTAATTCTACAAGTAGTGAACTTGACAAATGACATTAAAAAAAATGGTTAAAACTAAAAAGTTTGATTGCATCATCAGCTAAAATATCTAACTTAAAATAAATCCATAGAAAATTTTTAAAAATTTAAATAATTTTTAGATTTCAGATTAAACTATTTTGTAATTATTAGGATAATTACAATAATATCCCTTTAGAATCAAAAAGTCAACAAAATTAATCATTATTCAAACACATCATATCTATAAGTTCCATGAATACACAATGCTATCGAAACTACTTAGTTCACTGTTCTAAAGTTTTTGATTAAATAATAATTTAAACCACCATCTAATTTAAAAATAAACTTTCCTATTTTTTTCTACTTATTTCATACATATAAAAGGGTTAATGACCGTTAAATAATTATTACTTTCAATATTTAATTAATCTTTAATTTCCACCTGATTGTATTCTGTAATTAGATTCATGTACTAATCTATTTTTAAATTAATTAAGAATTATAACGAATCAATTATAATAATTAAGATAAAAGTTTTTATTGGTTTTCAATTACTTGTAAAATTCTTTTTACATTCCAGTTAAATATTCTCAACTGCAATCAACTAGTCACTATTGAGCAACTAATCAAAACTTTTCTGATAAAAACATAAATAAATTTGTTTAACAATATATACTGATAGTTGAAAAAGTAGTTTTAAAATAATTGAAAATAATTTCGATGACTAAAACTTTTGAAAGTAAATTTTAAATATTTTTTTATGTAAATTACATTTTTAACGTTAGCAAAAAATAATATAAAGTATTGCGTTGAGACCGTCATTTTTTTAATAATTATGACCGAGATATATGTGTACTGTTTGTGGTTTACTATAATTTTTCTTATCACACTGCCTCTACATTTAAAACATTTGTGAGCAAAAGAGTGGGAACTGATAATAGACCAAGGTATTGGGTCATTTCTATCACTGATGTACGTGGCTGAGAGGTCTTAATTTATACAGTTCGATTAAATTGATTGAATTGCTAACATCAGTCCCAACTGAATCGTCTGGAAAGCACTCGTCGACTCCTAACGGAGGTTTGCGTTCAGTCGACGTAAAGTCATTCGTGTATTAAATCATTTCTTATTTTGATTTAAACATGACTATTAAAGTAATTTCGACTGATTCTCAATCACCTGAACGTGATGCAGAAATTGCAGTAGAATTGGCTGGTTTTGGAAAATTTAATATCAAAGTAGTGATCGTTTGTGGTCTTATTTTCATGAATACAGGATTCAGTATAAGTAGTGTAGGTTTGGTTCTTCCATCTGCAGCATGTGATTTTAATTTAACGACCATTGATAAAGGACGTATTAGTGCTGCTCCAATGCTTGGTAATTTTTTCTATAAACCATTTATCATTTATTAGATATTCAAGCAAGATGATTGGCATCATATCAACAGAAAATTCAATTAATAATCATGTTATTCTGTAGGAATGTTCGTTGGAGCGTACTTCTGGGGTTGTTTAGCAGATATTGAAGGACGAAAAGTAGCACTAGTAGTAGCATTATTCTGCCATGGAATCATTGAATTCATATCATCTGTAATTCCTAACTTTTGGGGATACTTAGCTTTAAAATTTCTCAGTGGTGTTGCGTAAGTAACGGTTATGAGTATTTTATTATTTTACCAATAAAAGAATAATTATTAAATATCAAAATGATTATAGGATAAATGGCCAAACTAATATTCTCTTCACTTATCTTGGGGAATTCCAATCTGCAAAAATGAGGGAAAGGATTCTCTGTTGGATGGAGATGGCTTGGTCTCTTGGATTAATTGTTTTGCCATGTAAGTAATGTTTTTTAGTATTAACCGACTACATTTTTTCTGCATTAAATAAAAGAATTTGAAAAAAATTGATCTAGTGGTTGGATGGGTCATCATTCCTCTAAAAATCGATTTCGTGAGTGGCGTTTTCTTTTTCCGATCATGGAATCTTTTTGTGGCAATTTGTTCTATTCCATCTATTATGATAGGATTATGGCTTCTTACTTTTCCCGAAACTCCTAAATATCTTGCAGAAGTTGGAAAAGATACCAGATTTTCTAGTGCATTGGAACGAATGTATAAAGAAAATTCAGGAAAATCGTTTGAGGATTATCTGGTATGTATTATTGATTAATTTATTACATTCCATATTCATTTTAATCAATCAATTGATTGAACATGTTTTTTTTTTTGATAGGAAAAAGTGGCAAAAAGCGGCTGTGAAAGTCTGAACACTCGATTAAAATCAGTACAAACAGCTACAAACGAGGGTCGACGCATTACAAGAACTGACCAATCAGTCGCTATAGTTAAAGGCATTTATTCACAGTCATTGACATTAATCAAACCTCCTTATTTATTAAAGACGTCAATTACATGTTCTTTAATGTTCTGTATTGCTTCTTCATATTATGCACTCATGCTCTGGTTTCCCGAACTTTTTCAAAGGTTTGCTCGCTTTGAAAATGATTATCCTGGAGAATCTACTAGTGTTTGCAAAATTTCACAATATCAGTTAACAACTAATGCTACGGTAAGATAATCAATCGGATCAAGTCTCATTTCATGAATAATTAAACTTTTATATTTTACAGATTCCAGAAAGTACTGAATGCGTGTCAGAGATTCCAACAGAAGTTTATGTGCATACATTAATTCTAGGAGTAGCATGTGTACCTTTAAGCATGATTTTGCCATTGTTTGTCAACAAACTTGGTTACAAATTTTATTTAGTTATATCATGTTTCCTAGCTTCAGGAGCAACCGTTGGATTATTTTTTGTTAAAAATTCTTTACAAAATCTTATCCTTTCATGTATATTCGAAGCTTTCTCATCTGTAGGATTGAGTATTGTGCTTTGTATAGTGGTAGATCTCTACCCAACGAACTTAAGGTAACAGAGGAATTCAGAAAATTAATGGTATGGAGCTTTTCATCCATTTACAACTAATTTTATTTCAACAGGTCAATGGCAGCTGCACTTTGTAGCGCATTTGCACGCTTAGGTGGATTAATTGGCAATTCGTTATTTGGATATTTAATTGATGCAAATTGTATGACATTAATTATCATGATTGCAGTACAATTATTGAGTAAGTCCGAAAAATCATTCAACAGCTCTTTTAATGATATAAAAAAATATAATTTTAAATACTTGTTGCAGTTTGTGGTATCCTAGGCTTATTGGTTCCACTAAAAAAGAAAACGAGGAATGTAATGAAATCTTCAATTGCATCATAGGTACCAAATTCATTATTTCACTCATCTTATCATTTCCATTCATTACTAAATATAAGACTAGTGTTATAAAATACTTCTAGAGAATTATCTTATATGTTTAAGCAACTATAGACATACATTGACAATGTGACAATAAGTTTTTTTTATAATAAAAGACATTATTTTTTTGTACAACTTTTTATCTACAACTAATATTTATTAAATACCGTTGTAGAACTCAACATATTTTTTATTTGTAATAAAACATTTGTTCATAGAACATACATTTTGAATTACTATAAATACTGCTTATATAAAGCAAATAATTTTCCTACAACATTAAATGAAAATATTTGTATCAATGGAGAATTACAAGGTGCCAATATGATGATCATATAAAGAAAAAATAAAAATTAATAACGTTTTAGCTTGGATAATTAATTAATTGTACATAAATTTTTTATTTAATTACGAAGTATATGCACTTTAAATACATATCTCTAAATGAAAAATAAATTTTCCCAACTTGTCAGAATAAATCATATTTCTTGATTTCATATTTTTCTTGTCTTCATAATAATAGAAAAGCTGAATGCTACCAGAATAAATTAACTTCTTTTTTTGATATAATTCTGAATTTCATCAAATAAATTTAATCTATGAAAAATACACCATAATAATGAAGCCTAAATAAAAACACCAGATATTTATTTATTATTGTTAGACAAAAATAGATAAATGACCTTCTTTTATCGATTGCTTATTCACTAATATAAACAATAAAAAAAATTTAAATTGCTTTTTTGTTTTTATTTGATATTTTAATATTTCAATACAAATTTTTTAATTTCATATACAATTAATGTTTATTCAAATGATAAGTTACTTAATATTCTTACATTCTTAACTTCGAGAGTATCTGAATAAACTATGATATTTTTCTAATCATAACTTATTAAATCTAATTTCCATTTTGTCATAATGGAAGAATATGTATAATTAATAATGTTTTTTTCGCTCAATGTTAATTTTTTAATAATTTACTGATATATTTAATATTTAAACAAAACGTAAATATCAATGGCCCTGTTAAATTCAGTCTACGTGAGTAAAGCAACGAATAGATAACATAATCAAACATATGTGTAGAATATGTTACTGGCGCCAATTCAATATTTGCCTTGTATTGATCACGAATATGATTACCAATCTTAAGCAATTCTATCAGTTGGTGGCATGGCTTGATTACTGGGCAACGTTGAAGACACGGGATCTTCAGTCAAAACTGTATTTAACATCAAGGGCGATGTGTAATAAGGTAACAATGAATACTGAGTTGATGGAAAATAGGCAGATGAAAGGAGACCTTGACGTTGAGCAATTTTCAGTCTAGACGTCAATTGTTTCTTCCATTTGGTTCTTCGATTTTGAAACCATGTTTTTATTTGAACTTCCGTCAAGTTCAAAGTCTTCGACAACTCCATACGTTTACTGACACTCAAATATTTATCGACCTGAAAATTATATAAATAGTTGAAAAATGTTATTTTAAATGATTTTTATTATGTACATAATAAGAAAATATTCCATAGGATTTTAATAACAATATTATAAAAATAGATAACAAACAATTGACAAAAAAAACTAAGAAAGGTTTTGTTACTAAATTTTTATATATAAATTCACTCTTTTTCTAGGAAAGTTGCATTGATACTATGATAGGTGACTTAATCAATGGGAACATATCATTGAGAAATAAGATTGGCTCCGATTAAAAAGACTTCTATTAATATCTTTACACTCAATTCTGAGAAAAAATTGATAACGAATAAAATTTATTACAGCTTATCATTTTATTAGAAATTCATTTGAATTCCTGTTGCTCATCTGTTTTTTATTGTAGTTTTTATGCTACATTTTGGCTTTTTTACTTTAAGTATCAATTAGATTTAGCAAATTATTTACATTCAAAAATAATCTTAGAAGTCTTACACATTAGGTAATAGTAGTTAATCTTACTTTGAATTCAGCTTCTAATTTTTCCAGTTGTTTCGCACTGTAAGCTTGTCTAGGTTTTCGATCAATCCCAGGTTTCCTGGACCTTCTTCCACTAGGTTTGGGTGCTAAAATAGTAGAATATGAATTGTACAGACACGACTTTTAATGTAAACAAATAATATTTTAAGTGTCATATTTCTGCTGAACAAATACTGAATCTTAACAATGGGTGAAGATCAATTATCACCTGAACAAAGTTCCTATAACATATAGAAGGTATTTTTATTCAAATATTTAAGGATAAATAGCGTCCTAATGCGATCTGGTCTCTTGGCAGAAAGTCAAGAAAATGCATAAACAGTTTATGATGAGGTATGTTTGACAACGATTATCGTCTAAGTGTGAAAATAAGTAATAATATTATATTTCCGTGCAGAAAAGTCCTGAATACTATAGCTAAGCTATCAGTTGTTTCACAAAAGATATAAGATGTTGAATATTATTGATTTTTATACCTCATGTAAATTTTTCGGTTTAATGAGATATAAAATTTGATAAATACATAGACAATTACATCATGAATTATTTGCTTAGGATTTTTAACATCTTTAGCAGGATTTTTAACGATTTTAAAGTAATAGAAGTGGAAACGGCCACTCAACATGACTGTCCATGTGTTATTTACACCAATAATTATCTGACAAGTGCTCACACAATCAGTCAATAATTGAATGTCGCATGTTTGGCCGAGACCTTAAGTATTTTTATGTAATTCTGCTAAAGATACAGTCAATGTAGATGAGTATATACATTTTACGACTTTTTTGTTGGAAGGGTAGGCATTTAAGAAGAATTGTTAGAAAATTCATTCATATTTTACGGTAAAATCTACTCAGAAATTTATATAATAAATTTTTATCATACATAGACCGTCAATATTAAAGGATGATGTAAAACTTGAACTGAGAAAGTTAACGACTGACTTAAAAAATCAGATTTTACAGAGAAATTTGAAAATTCTTTTTTATTATTGAAAAAATATTTTTGAAAATTAATTTACCTTGAAGTCCAAATAATTGATTAGCTTTAGATTGAGTAAACCAGTTCCCATATAAGAATGGTGCTGAAGTCAATGATGTTGGATATTCTGTTGGAGCTCTAAAGTTGTCAGCAAAAGTCAAATCAGAAGGAAAATAACTTCTATTCATACCTAAGAAAGGTATTACATAATTTTTATTGATGATCTATAAATTAAAAATAAAAAAATATATTTCACTCACTATTTTCATAATATAAATTTCCAGGTACAGCTGGTATCGCGGTCGGCTTCACGAAATGTCCTCGATCTTCTTTAAATTCTTTATGAATTTCTTTATCACTGTTATCATGTTGAAGTCTATCTTGAACTTCAACTTCAAAATCACTCTTTTGAACATCTTTTTTACCGAGAATACTGTCTATAGAAAATGCACTTTGCACTGATGATGATGAAGATATTTTTCTTGATGAAACATTTCTTCTTGAGTTATTCACCACACTATCTCCACTAGAATCTGATGCATAATCCATAGGTTCATTTAATTGATGAAAATATTCTGAATTACTATCTCTCATTTTTTTAATGATAAGACCTATAAATCACTTCACAAAATTTTTATGCTTAGAATAAAACTTGATATTTTAAAAACTCATCAGAAATTTATAAATAATTATTATTTATTAAATTTCTTGTAAATAACAATTTACATTTTATTTGGAATATTCTTTAATATTTTGTGGAATTTAGATCAAATTTTTAGAAATGAGAAATTCAAAATGTTTTCCTAATGTTCAAGAGTGATCTCACATCATCGACTAATCTTCCACTAATCCTCTATCTGTCAGTAGAAAAGGTGGTATCACCTAATAGATGACAGGTGGCACGTGTTGTGGTCCAGCAAGCAAACTACCCTACGTATTATCCCCACCTTTTCTCTGTTGAGAGGTCGGATCTTCGCCCTCGCAAGCTGGAGAACGCTGACACTTCCAATCTCTCCCACCATTAAATCATTTTTTTTTTTACTCATAACTCTTACCTCAGACATTTAAAAAAAATTTATTTATAATGAAATAAGAGCAAAGGTTCCAGCAACGTATTATTGAATAACTAGTTTTTGTTCCTAAAAAAAGGTACTGCTCTAAACAATTTTTTTCTTTCTTGAGCCTTTTTAATAAATTTTTTGAATAATTAAACAAATTGATTGTATCTTAAAACATTTAAGACGAAATAAAAAATTTGTAGAAAGTCATGGATTATCACAATGCCAAAATTTAGGATTGGTTGATACGTGCGCATGCTTTAGTAAAGATAACCGCCCTCTAAATATCACTGGTAGCTACAGGAAATAAAAGATACTGGATAAATATATTGGTGTAAGTAAACTAATGGCCACTCCATCAAAAAAATCTTAGCAATAAATAGAAGCTATGAATGTTTTCAGAAAAGAAACATGATAATAATAAACAAAAGTAAAATATTCTATAGGCTCTTATAAAAATGATCAGTAGATAAATGTAATAAAAATGATAAATCATGAGTGAATTTTTTCTTCAATTTTATATTAAATAAAATAATTGATAAACCCACTCATATGAAAAATAGTTTAGTTATTCGTTTATCTATACTACTTGTTTTATGACATCCATCTGTATTTCCTGTTCTACGAAATTGGTTCTAAAAATTATCAAATGCGATGAGAAATTGTGAGAAAAATAGCACGTCTTTGCCAAAAGTAATCCTAATAAATGAAGTATAAAATTCCTAGAAACATAAAAATTTTAAACATTCTTTTACATGATCTTCAGCACCAACTGTTCGTAAATCTTACATAATTAGATAAAATATATTCAGCAATTAATTAAATTTAAGTGTGCTTTTTATTTATTTTAACTATATCATTTATCTCAAATAATAACTATAAGAATCCTAAAATTGCGTATTTACGAATAAAATTCAATATAATATAATTGAGCCAATCAATCAAATGAAATAAAAAAACAAGTATTTTTTTATGATATCTATAAAAAAATTTCTCACATTAAAACACGTGAGAACTATCAATACAGAAATAAAATTCTATTATCAAAATATCCATTGGACACGTTATGGTTTAAGAAATTCTTTTATTTCCATTGTTTGTAGGTGATGGAAAAACAAGGTGAAAAACCGGAACGTGAAAAGTGGGCGATTAATGTTGTAAGCTGGAATGGAAGCTGTTATAGAGTAGCACGAACATCACTAGAAAGGAGGAATATTGCCACTCTCGCTAGATATTAGACAGGTGAGCGAGTTCCCAAGGGAACAAAAGGTCCCATCACCTCAACCAGACATCCCCTAAAATCATACTGATTCACTACGATGTAAAACATTTATAAGAGCTCCGTAAGTGGTTTTTAATAAATATATATTTAATCATGAGTGTCAGATTACATTTAAAATCGATCGGTCTTTAAAAATATAGGGGATTACTTAAAGTTTGTTTATATGAGGTTTAGTCATGACATGTTTTCTTTAGATCATTTTCACTAATTTGAATACGTTTATGATAGAACGAGATTTTTTAAAAAATAATTTAAATGATACATATTCAAGTTATGGTGACTTAATACTTTTTAATAATCACTTTATTTGTTATCATTTAAAATGATTTTCGACTTGCTAAATTCCTATGATGTTAAACTCAATTTTTTTCTCTTAATAATTTCAATTCTCAGCAGTGTAATAATTTTTTGTTTCTATATTTGATACATTTGAGTTATTTATTTAGTTCAATCTGAAATGTTACTGCTCCAATTATCACTTAAAGATCTATTACTATATTTCAGGAAGTTTTAGCTTTGTATCAGTCAAACATAAACTAGTTTCTGAATCATCGAAAAACCTACATTGATAATTACTCCGATAATTTAATGGAATAAATTCTATTTAGCAAGTCAACATAACTTTATTAAGAAAATATATGCAAGTCTAAATGATACCAACGATTTTTATGAAAAAGCAACAACGTCACGGTCAAAGCAATTACATCTAGCGGTCCAAATAATTATTGCACACAACAGTGTGTCTTTTAATCTACGATAGTTCATTTTAACGTTGATGTTTGTGAAGACAAAGTTGCTATACAATATTTTTTGAGTAAATGTAATTTTTATTCAATAAATCATCATGAAAATTAAATCTAAAATCATTTTATTGATACCATTTGTACTAATAAGTTCAACTTTAACATCGGAAGAGTGTTATTACGATGGAGATGACTTTTGTGTTTCTCAGGAAGATATTTTGTCAGCAGATTTATTGCCCGGTACATTTTTTCTAAGTGATCCTTTTAAAGAATCAAATAAAAAAAAGGCTCGAGTGAAAGTGAATAACAATGGAACTTTTGAAGAAGCTTTAAATAAGATGGATTATCACAGGTACATAATTTAAATTTACTAAAAATTTTGTTCCAATCAAATGTTTTTGAAAAAACTATTTAATATAATTCTAAATTCTCAGGAAAAGAATGAATGAATACTTATGCCATGGCTTCATGGCTGAAGAAATATTTAGAGACATGAGATCTATACGCGTAAAGCGACGTCATGATGAAAGCAGTTCAATGAACTCAATGCCAGATTTTTTAGGAGATACTAATGTCACTGTACATGATAAACTACTTTCTGATGAAGGTAGTAGTAAATATAAAGAATGGCTTCAAAGGTATACATCGAATAAAACTTTTGCATAGTTTGAAAGAAAATTCTTAATGCTCAGTTATTATTTAGAACAACAACTCTAGACGATATTTATCGTCACTACAAATACAACGCCGCTAAATCAATGGCACATAAAAAAATGGGACCAAGTTCATTAGAAGCTATTGAAGAATTCGATGGTGAAGTCACTGGATATGCTATTCCTGCTCCACTATCTCATGAAAAAACAGAGCATTATTATGAAAGCGATGAAGGTAATACTTTTAATAGTTACAATAATAAAAATGTCCAAACAAATTTATTTGAAAATTTTTTTGTAATCTAGAAGCTTCTCCAACTGGTTATCACTATAGTCATCATCCTCCACCACCTCCCCATCATCATCACCATCCACCACCTCATCATTATCCAACACATGATGAAGTAATACCAGTAGTCCATGAAGAATATCATTATCATGCACCTCTTCCACATGAAGAAGAATATGAAGAACATAGACCGCCTCCTATCCATCATAAGAAAAATGAATTGTCAATCAAGGATTTCTTTGAAATAGCTTTAACAGCTTTAGCTTTCTTAGCCTTTGGATGTTTTATTATTCAATTACTCATGGCTATGACGGTAAAGATTAGATTAGAAATTTTACTAATTGGTTAATTATTGAATTATCATTATATTCAATAGTATCCACCAACTGCATCAGTTGCAACAGAAATAGCAAGACATCAACGAGCGGCAACGTATCGAGATGTTTCTGAAATAAATGAACTATCTCATCGAGTTTTACAATCTATCGAGGCTATAATAGTAGCAGAGAATGATTCTGGACGTTGTTTGGAGTGGGTCTTATGTCGAGACAATCAGTTTTCTACTCAAATTACTAGTTCTCAAAGAATTTGGATACCTATGTGGAGGTAATGTTCAAATCAACAATCCTTTAAAAAGTAAATAATTGATAACATAAAATTATTATTTAATAGTTTGGGTATGAGCTGGCTATCTTCCCGAATGATACAGAAAGATTCCTGGTCTGCTATGTTCAGATCTATCAAAGCCACTGTTCTTGGATTGGGAGGTGCGAACTGTGCTGCAATTTATTCTGATTGTGATTTGGTGAGCGAAAGAGCTAAACGGCGTCGACGTCGAAAAAAATAATATTATTTATAATTACTTATAAGATCATGTATATTTGTATCAACCAAATATAAAAATTATTAATCTTGAATAATCGGGAGTAATGAAGCATGTGTAGACCCTGAAGGATTTACAAAAAAAACTTCTACATGTTTTCCATCTTTCAATGATTTGCAATTATTTAATATTGATTTAAACCGCACACTTTTTAGTTTACGGAACTCAGCTATCTAGATAATTTTTTTTGACGTAATTTTAGTTACTTTAAGTAAACTAGTCGGTTTATAATTTATCAGGTGAATTAATGTAGTTAACTTACTTGATCGATCGATATCCCAATTGGTCTCCTGCTAACAAGCCACAAAACTTGAGATTCATCATTTTTCTCCGTGAGTAAGCCATTGTAGAAAAAATAATTTTGTGAAAATGGTCGAAGAATTTTACTGATAGGTTCTGCAGCTATTCGTGTTGAAGTATTTGGTCTTTTTAAGGTAGGAAGAGACTTGATAATGTTATTTAATATTTCATTTGCTTGTGACTGCAACTACAAAACATAAAATAGTTTTTATATCATGATCAAAGTAAAAAATCATTAGTTTTGCGTGTTTAAAAGTAACAATTACAATAAAAAAATAAACAGCAATTACTACTCCATTTTTTTTCTGTCGGGCAATTTCAAGACTAGTAATTCTATCATCGAAATGAACTGCATGGAGTTCCATTGGATATCTATGGAATACGTAGTATCAACGATATAAATTTTATTTAATGAAGTGAATATTACAAGTTGAATTACTTTCAAATCAAATCTAAAATATTTCATTTTTATACGTAATAAAAATTGCGTGATTGTGAAAAATAAACATTTAAAACGTTTTACCTAGCACTATCCACATAATGTTCGCTTCCAACCATTTCATTAGGTCCCCAATGAAAATGAAATTGAGAGAAGATATAATTATTAGATAATGGTCCACCAGTCAAGAGAGGATGGTGGTTTTCTTGCCACTTGCCATTAACAATAACTACGCAATAAAACAAAAAATATTGATATAATTACTATTAAATAGATTAGAGGTCATAGTAGACAAAATCATTTTCCTCTTACATACTTGTTCTTCCTGTGTTCATAGCTTTCAATTTTTCTGGAGATTTATCATAATTGTGCCAGATTAAAGGTTCCAAGTTAATTATAGTCATTTTACTAATAGTTAAATTAATGGGTGATTCTGATTTAACATTTACATCGTCTTCTTCAATGTCTTTCGATAGTTTATCGTTTTCAGAATTGTTCATTCTAATTAATCGTAAAATGTTTCATGGATAATACAAATATCTGATAATTCCAAGTGAATAAAGCGTTTATAAATCATATTAGTACACAAGATATTTTTCATCTAATATTTAATGTAATCGTATAAATATGTGTGTTCATGATAAAATGTAAATCAAAACGATCAAAACACAAAACAACCAACATTCATGCGCACATATGGTACCGCCCTCACCAGTCTGTTTTTTCAACCGGTATGCCTGTCTTTGTTTGTTAGAACGAAATATCTACTTTAATTTGAAGATAATAATAAGTTGACAATTGATAATTATTGTAAAGTAATTTATATAATAAAATACAGAAAAAATATCATGATATCAATAATAAAAACTATTTCAGAAATTTATAGTAAGTAACTTTTCTAAATAATTTACATAACCTCACGCTTGACATTAATTCGCTCAATTTATTTGTATAAATTATAAATCAATTTATTTTAGAATTTCCCGTTAAAATTTCATATCGCCTTGTTCATAATACAACTAATAGTAAACAAGCTGAACCAGCTGCTCAGGAAAATGAAGTCGATGATAACCTTGTAAGTATTAAATGATCCTAACTTTTGAATAAAATTATTTATATGGAAATTATTTTTTAGCCAATAACATTAAAATCTAATCCATTTGAACGAGAACGAAAAAAATGTATCTTATGTCGTTTAAACATTCGACCTGATTACAAAAATTGGAGATTATTATCTCAGTTCCAGAGTACATTTACAGGAAAAGTTTATGGAAGACACATAACAGGTTTATGTAAACATAAACAAGAAGCTGTTGAAATAGAAATTTGGAGAGCACAACAGAGTGGTTTTATGCCAACATACCATAAACATGCTCCATTTATACATGATCCTAAATTATTTGACCCTGACAATCCATTCAGACCCCACAAATATTAATTTTTTATGTAGCAAAATGTACGTTTTTATTTCTATTCAATATAATAAATATATTATACATTACTTTGACTCTTTAATATTAGTTAAATCAAATGATAACATTTTTAGTAGAAAATGAAAAAATAACTCTCTTTATAATAAAAATTTTAGATTTCTTAACTTATATAGATTATTCTTAATCTTTAGGAAACTTTACAATATCTTCAGGAATACCTAAATTTAACAGAATATCAGATATTTCAATAGATGTTTCACTTTGATTATTCTCTGAACAATCTACTTGGTATTGAATTAAGGCTTTATGGCAAGCCTGTCTCCATTTATCAATATCAGCTCTCAAATCTTCCTTTTTGTGCTAAACAGAAAATAATTAGAATTAGATCATAATTATAGACTTCGGTTAGTTAAAAAAATTACCTTTCTTCTATAAGCAAGTTTAACTTTTAAACTTTCAACTTCTTGTCGTAAATTTCTGACTCGTTTTTTTAATTCAAGTAAATCCCTTTTATTCACATTGAATTTTTTTTCAACCTTCTCAGTAGAATCAGTATTTTGTGGACTATTTTCTGGATCTTCAAGTTCAATGCGTCTCCGTTTAATTAGATGTTCTGGAGACAAGGATATACTATAAGAACAAAAAAATGGAACATAGAATAATTATATTTTCAATAAATTTATCTTCAATGCGAAATTGTTTTTCTTACTGTATTGGCGAGGACAACAGTCTTTTTGCATTATTTTTTATCGGTGTAGTATCACATTTAAAAGGTGAACAAAATGGTTTGTTAGCCAAATTGCTATTTCTCAATGGAGTACGCATTATATTGGTAATTTTTTTATCATCCATTTTTATGGGTTGATAGAAATAACTGGAAAGTTTAAGGATTACATCCTTTGTTAATAAGTACTAAATTGAAGTAACATTGCAAAGGTATTTATTTTGTTATGTTTCAAACTTTTTATTCACAAGTTTTTAACATAGATATATTGTTTTACAAGAATTTCAAAAAATTCAATACATCGTAAACAAAAACATAAAATTATGAATCTAATTCTTATATTATTATAATTATTATAAAGTAATTTCCAGTGAATTAGGCAATGTTTATTGATATTTTTTAACACTTTTTTTGGTTATGATATAGCCCTCTATCGGCTTTATACGTAGGAAAAATAAAAATAAGAAATGGCGGGTATTTAAAATAATTAATTACAAAATTGCCACTTTTTGTGAAATACAACAATATTCAATAAAATAATCAAACTATAAATTAAATATTGAAAAAAAATACTTATTTCTTTTTAGAGAACGTTGAAGAACGAAGTGGATTAAAATCATACATTGATGTAGAATCTAATGATTTGTTATCTTCATTAATATTGTGCGAAAGATTTATTTTATGTAATATTTTTTTACTCCCTGTGTTTGAGTTTTGAATATTTCTATTTTCTTTACCATAACTGAATGCTTCTTTTAATGTTGTTTGATAAAAACTTTTTTTAGGAACTCCAACTCCCTTACTATTATTTGTAGCTTTCACATTTTTCAAACTTAACGCACTGTTTGAAGATTTTTTTGATAATGCCCTAAAAAAATATCAATAAGTTGTAAATAAAAATAAAGTAAATAATTTTTTTCAAAGTAAATCACTTACTTTACTCGTTGTTTGGAATTCAAGGATTCATGCGAACCATTAAATTTATTTGAATCATTGTTCTCTATAGTAATAGGTAACTTTGAAAATCGACTCTGATTAAGACAATCAAATTGAATATCATACCCAACAATTTTTGGTGCAGGTGGAATCTTCATTGATGTTTTATTGTTAGATTCTTTTACATTCATAGCTTTTCCAATATCATTTAAATAAGTGCTGTATATTTTTAAAAATAGTTGATTGATTGTAATTTATGAATAGAAAAAAATAATCTTCTGTATGAAAATAAAACAAAAATAATATTTGTTCTACAATTTTACCTCAATTCATATAAATCATTAGCTAAATCAGCTAAATATTTATCTCGATTAAATTTAGTAGATATCATTGCATTAACATTTGGTTTTGAGACATCTTTGCTTTTCTTTGCTATCTTAAAATTGCTACCGATATCATCAAAATTAAGTTTTCTCTTGCATTTGGAAGCAGGCGTAATTGTTGCTTCTCTAACTGCATTATCAATCTGCTCAAGCTCCATTCCAGATGGGAACTCTGGATCCCACATTGGTTCATTTTCTTTGTTTGTACTTTCTACTTCAGTTTGAACTTCTTGATCACAGAAAAATATTTTCCTTGAGTTATCATTTATGTTCTCAAAAATATTACTTGTAGCATTATCATCATAATTTTGAGAAGCTAAATTTTTTTCTCCCACTTCTATGTTGTGCAGTTCATCATCATGATCATTATAAAGAGAAACATCATTTTCCTCATCAATATTTTTATATTCATTAGCATTTATTTCATTTGATAAAAGGTTATCTTCTCCTAGATGAGTTGGATTATTGGATTGATTTTCTTCTTTCTCAATAGGATAACTCAAACTAATTTGTGATAATGACTGAGTAGCTTGTAATAATTCTTCATTGTCATTAAGAGCTTCCGCAAATAATTCATTAATTAATTTTTCAGAATCTGAACAATTTTTATCAATATCTTCTGGATTCTGATGTTCGTCAGCAGCAGCTTTATTTTTACATTTGGAACAGACAATTTTTTCATGAAAAAATTTCATCAAAATTCCTCCATTCTGAGTCTCATCAGTAACAACTTCGCTTCTACATGAAGAACAAAAGCTTTTATTGTTTGGCGTATCTTCATCCTGGTTTTGATCTATTTCAGCTATTTGAGCCATTTCATTTTTGCATTCAGAACAAAAGCTTTCCTGAATTTCTAAGCTATTAGAATAAGAATCGTTCTCGGTTTTTTTATTTTCATTTGTCATTTTTATTGGAAAAAATTCTAAAAATATAAATTTATAACTGACTAAACTAATTTTCAATCGATTGCGAATGACAATAACTTTCTGTATATACTCCAATAATAATTAAAATTATCAACAATCGATCTAAGTTTATCACACACAAATTCGCGCCAACTTCAAATAACGTTTGCGCAATTAAATTGATTAAGCAGCTTACACATGGCGGCGATAGCGAGGTCGCGTTTGATGTGTAAGCACCTTTATAGATTTTTATTAGAGGTTGAGTATTTTTGTGTTTATTTGTTTGATAGTAATTATATTTAATTATTATCATAGTATTTATTAATTGTCATTAAATTAGACATAGAGATCATGACAGATGAACGTAATTTTCGTTCTTCTTACTATGAAAAAGTGAGTACTTTGATTTATATAAAAAATAGTCAATGTTCTAAAATATTGCATCGAGAGGTTAGATGTGATTTTTATTTATGACAATTTGATTTTATTTGATAGGTAGGCTTTCGAAGTGTTGAAGAAAAAAAATCATTAGAAATATTATTAAAAGAACGACCATTTGACAAGGCGAAATTAAAACAATTTTGTCTTCGATTTACTGTACCTGCAATACATAGAAATTTTTTATGGAAGATATTACTTGGAATAACTCCAATTTATCCAGAAAGTCATGAATTTGTTACTAAGCAAAGAAAAAAAGAGTTTAACGATTTAAAAAATGCACTAAAAGTTACAAGAATTATTGATGAAAATGCAAAATCGCATCAAATTTTATTAACAATGTGGTTATTAAGAACACGTCGAGTTAAGATGGATATTAATGCTCAATTGGATACACCTCTATTGAGGTAAAAGAAATATTTTAAATAATCATTTTCTATTGTAAGCTTAATTATTATTCAACACTGTCATTAAGTTATTATTAATAAAAAAATTTTCAGAGCAATGAGCAGGATGTCTGAAAGTCTTTGGCATATCATGGAGGGCGATGGCGAATATGAAAATATGATAGATATTTATTGGTTACTTGATGGATTTTTGGATCACGTAGAAAAATTTCATAATGATGGAAGGTTAATAGAATGTACTTCCACACTTCTTGAGAAAGAAGATCCTTGTCTTTATAAACATTTATTAAAATTTGAAACTTTCAATCACATTCCGTTTGATCGATGGTTTGGATCGTGTTTTGCTGGAACGATAAGTGATAGATCTCTCCCAAAGTATGTCAAAAATTACTTAAAAATAAACGAATCCTGTTTTTAATCTAAATCTTTGTTTTTCAGAATTTGGGATAAAATTGCAGTTGGAGCTTACAAAATTTTGGCGTTTATTGCTGCCGTTATTTTCATGACTCTTAGGAGACTGCTTTTAAATTGTGACAACATAAATCGTGTTTTAGAAACTATTTCAAATGTAAATCACCTATGAGATTGACTTTACTTTTAATCCATTGTAGACGATTAATTTTAACTATCAAATTACAGATAAACGAAGAAACATCTGAAGTAATAGTCAATAAAGCAATTGAATTATGGCAACAAAGCGGATCAGGACTTGTGACAATGTCACCTAATACAATTTGCACTTTAAATACGTGACTGAGTTTAAAATCAAGTTTCCATAGCTAATAATTCAGGGTTCAAATAATTTTTATACTAATTGAATTTGTAAATAAATAAGATAATTATAAGGATGAAAAATGACTAATAAGATTTTGCATATTTCCTTTATCTTAAAAATAATTTTTATTGATGCAGTCATATAACGTACATGTACAGATTACTCGACAGTCAATCGAGTTCTAAATCTTAAACTAGGCATTATATTTACTTATTTTTATATCAAGTGTCAATCTTTCCATTTTTTCATACTGATTTGATATTTTTTCTAGATTTTTACATTCCGCACATAATTTTATAACTGCGTGTTGTTTACGTACAAACATAAATTAATGGCTTAAATATGATCTAGAGAAATTTTATGTAACAGAAAATATACGCTAATAGCTTGTACACATCTCAGTACTCATCTCAAAGATCTCTCTCTGTGTGCAGTAAATATAAATTTTATTTAAAACGTACATCATTGAACTCACCAGGAGTTGGAGGATGTTAACAGGAGAGCTCCTTGAGTGAACTATTAATTAATCCACATTCAAATTGACACGTTTTATTTTTTTATAAACAAATCATCTGCCAAGGCAATGTATGTTATTCAGGGATTTTTAGTCCAATGGATCTGACAAATGTGTTAAGGATCTTTGGCTTCGATGAAGAACTTACAACTTTCTCGCTTGCTGACTGACGATAAAAGAGAGAATAAATAAAGGTAGTAGTTAATGTAATATATAAAAAAATGAACGAATAGATCAATTTTTTATAAACAAACTATGATGTGTAGACTGTGATTGTCTCAAAATTATTGAGCACGATTATCTTACAAAATCGATTATTTTGTAAATTGTGACCATAATGTGCTTATAAAAAAGGTAATTCATTTTTTATAATAAAAAATTGATATTTTTGTCATACAATTAGATGACTGAATCAGTTTAAGGATAAATATCTTACACACATTGTTTAGAGTTTCATTAAGTTAATGAATATTCGTAAAGGCCGATAAAATCCTTTTTTTCTCGCGGTTATGATTCACAATTAATCATAGGATACTATTAAACTCGATTCTTTATTATTATCTTTATAACTCACAATCTGATGAAAAAATCATACGAAAGTTTAATCTATAGAAAGGACGGCAAAAGAATGGAGAGCATGTAATAAAAATTTTATGTGCTTAAATCAACTTAATTCTTATAAATAAATAAATAAAAAGCTCAATGAACAATGAAAGAAATTTTTCATTATTAAGTTCAATTTATCATTTACAAAAAAAATAACTGTAAAAATAAGGATACTGTTTTTTGCTCTCTCTTTCGTCAATGCCAAGTCGCGAGATAAAAAGGACACGACACCGAAAGCTCACAATTCTACAGAGTTTGTAGAACTGATTGTTTTTATGGTATTGTAGTGGAATTACTGTCTACGATTACTTTAAATCGTTCACACTAAAGTTCTCGTCGTTTGTGCTCTCGGCAGAAATCAATCGTCTGTGCAGGAAAATGCTAGGACGATCGAGCTATTTTCAGTCAATAGAAAACATTAAAATTATTCTTTCTGTAAATAGTCTTCGCGTTTATAATCACAAAATCTCATGTAAATAAACATGAGCTAATTCATAATTTACACAATACTAATTGTAACACTGTTCTGTAATTTATACTAGACAACCTGACAATGTATTTTGGTTTTGATTCATAAATACGCGAAAGACAATAAATATTTCCATATTATATCATCCTGTCACAGAGTAGACTTTAGTAAGTCTAGCGAAAGTAATGCCGTCGATTAATAGGCAAAATAAGTTTCTTCTCTGTGTTTGATAACAGCTTGCCGGAATTCCGGGAAAAATGGTTAAAGTGCAGCAGAATTACAGTTGTCGACTAGAGGTGACAACGGTCCAACTTTACCTCGATTACTACCAATTCTATCTTGTTCGTAATGAACGTCTAAAGACAGACCTGAAAATTAAAATTATTTCATATAAAATTATTTTGCATTGTATTTTTAAGTATGTTAAATTGCAGAAAGCTATGATATGAAGAAATGCCGATAAATTTATGTATTAAATAAATTAAATGATACTCTAACATGCACGAGAAGTTTTTGTGATACTTTATAAGTGAAATGTCAACATCTATGTCATCAGTATTTTTAATTCCTATTCTAAAATTACTTTGAACAATTATCAACACGGTTCTAGTTTCTACGTTAAAAAATATTTAAAAAATAAATAAATTTTTTTATCCTTATAATTTTTTATTACAAATATTCCACAGATTTTATATTTCTTAATTGTGAAAATTAATGCAAAAAATCTCATAAAATGACATTTGAAACGAAAATTATAAAAGTCAAACATTTATAAGTAGATTATGCTACAGAGGTTATTCGAGATGAGATGAAAGCGAGTTTAATTGTTAAATATACAAGTTAGTTCATGAACAACAAACATTTTAAATTTATTAATTTTATTTAGACGTGTAATGAAGCATCTTTCATCTCATCATTATCGACCTCGATCTACGTAAGTCTCGTGTTTATTTAAATAAACCCACGTGTGAAAAACCCACCACCGGAAGCATCAGTATCCTCTAGGATGGGAAACCTGTAACGTACATTTTTGATATGCGTATTTACCAGATGGCCTGCGAGAAGTGGAAGAATGATGTAGTGGACCCGTTGCCATTGGACTTGACTCAGGAATAAACGCAGCAACAAGCAGCGCACATATCACCAATAATGCACCAAAAACGAACGGTGGTCCAGGCACCAACTGAAATTCATTCTTTATTTACTAATAGCAATCATAAATAAAAAAAACGGTCTGGGTGCGACCCAAGAGGTCTACACGACTAATTTCTCAGCAGGAAGTAAAAAAACATAGAAAGCTTAGAACATGGGCGTCAAATATCATCATTTGTTCTCAAGATGCGTGGAAATCTTCCTAAAAACGATAGCGTTCGACTTAGGGTCTTCAAAACGTGAATAAAATATAATATTAGAAAACTTTGAATTAAAATGTTGGAATAGAAAAGACCTTTTATATTGTTCAGCATGCAATTTAACAGCATTTATAATTTTTCTGATTTCAGAGACTGATTAAAAAAAAAATAAAAATTAAACAGGTAAATATTTTTTACAAATAAAAAAATTTTTGTTTACCATGATTAAATTTCATTTGCACGCGATTTTTTAAATTCTATTCTTGTTATAAGCTTGAACACGTACAGATCGAAAGTTTATTCCATTTTTGTCCAACTATTTGCAGAGGATCAAAACTCTTCAACCCGCATTGTTGTTAGGAATATGATATTTGTGTTCTTTCAATTTATCAGAACTATATTTACTCAAAAAATATGACAACAAAAAATTACGATTTTTTCTATTGCAAGCACATTTTTTTCAATAAAATGAATGTCCATCTTACCTGGGGAACCATATCAATATGTGTCACAGTTCCCGTCCGATTACTGTTTTCTAAAAGAGGAGGTTTAAGAGGTAGTGACGGTGTTTCGTCGTTGAGATCGACGTGAAATAAATAAAATATAACTCCAAACATGGCAGGGCCGAGACCATTACAAAGTCCTCGCATCCCTGTTACCATTCCTTGCACTAATCCTTGCTTATCTGCATCTGAATGCATTGATACAAATGCTGATATTGCTGGATAAGTAATACTCGAAATTGAAGCCAATATTCCAGCTGCCCACATCATCCTAGAAAAAAATTTTTTTTTTATTAATTATCTGATGTCAATGATCATTTTGCATAAACTACGTCATTAAATATTTGTATTGATTATTGAAGGTATAATATAGTTCATTACACAGACCATTGCAGAGCATACTGCTTGGATTTTAATAAAACTCACGCGTGCAAGATATAAATAGGATTCTATCTTCGATTATAAATATCGAAGGTTTCTAGAGTATTGAATATACACATAATATTAGTTATGTATTTAATAGTAGAAACAATCAAGTATTATCATTTAAATTAGTTGTCATTTTCTTAGAAATTTCATTATTGGTAGCGATATATAATCGTACTGCTTTAACCAACTATCTTTGAAATTACAATTTTATGTGGAAAAAAAATTTTTAATTGGCGAAATTTTAATTGAAACGTTAAATTTACAACAATCGAAAATTATCCAGAGATTATGCAGCAAAAATATTTACTAACCATCAAATTTGATTGCTGAATTTAATGAATTTATGCTTGAATTACTAGCTATAATTGATGGAATTTTTATTTACATTCGCAGGCTAACTGAAAAAAATTATCCGCTCGTTCATATTTTACAAGAAAATAATAATCATGATAAATAATTCTATAAAAAAAGTTTCAAGTTTCATAAACATAATACTCTGATATGTTATAGACATTAAAAGAAATCAATAACATTGCTGAGTAAACTAAACAAAGCCACGTAAGCTTCAAGGATGTATCGAACGAGATATAAGTACTCGTTTACCGCAGTTATTAGTGGCAATTGATTTTAACCAGCTCGTAATTGTCGTTCATAGTTTGTTACCCATTTTCTCATACAAAATTTGCGTGAGATTAAATGCAGCACGACAAATATAAATTCATTCTCGGATTTCTCATATTTAATTGTTGTAAGATTGATTACTAGATCGTTAGAATGTGGTGAGGTAACTAAAATCCCTCAGAGGGGATATACAACTAAAATCGTATATAATATAGCACTAATAGATCTCACGATACAATTATTAGGTAGAAGACTTTGAACATATATATATACATATTGAATTAAGATTTAATTACCAGGTTTGAGATCCAAAACCATACCACATGAGTTGAAGCATTTCAAATAATAAGCCAAGCATAATTGAATGTTTACTTCCTAGTGTCCTCATTAAAGGCCCGAGAAGTAATTGAGCTCCAACGCTGAGAATGCCGACTACTGCGATAAATACTGCAACCATTGTAGTTGAAAAACCCATTGCAAGTTCGAGATATACGAATATACAACTATATTGACCAGCTTCAGGTAGATAACTTAAAAATACTGTGACACATAGCATCAATATCGTGTGGTCTTTGCCAACCTAAAAAAATTGACATAATAATAGTTATTATTATTCTCATCATCGAATAATTGTGGCTGATATAAAAGGTCATCGATGCATAAAAAAGTTAAAAAACATAGATTGAAAAAAAAAACATGATAAGCTAATGAAATTTACGTAGCACATCGAGAAGTTAATTGAGTTAATATTATCACAAGCGGTATTTTTCCACGATGATAAATACTGTAATAATTAAAAACAGCAAACCGTAGTTGAAATTTTTTCTCATTACCTTGCCTAATGCAGCGAATGGATCAGCTTGTTCCCAAGATATAGGGACAGGCGGACGTGCTTTTTCAGGTAGACTTTCTGGTACTGCTACGAGAATGAAAAAAACATCAAGAACTGCAATGGCAGTTGCTAAAGCTACTGCTAAATTTTCGCCATAAGTTGTCATAGTCCAAGCACCTAAAGCTGGACTTATGACCATACTTGCTGCAAATGTTGCAGATACCTGTACAAAAAAATGTTTGTTACCTTATTAATTATCAAAGTAATTTTAAAGTATTCCAAAGGAAAAATAGTTCTTTATTTTCTTCCTTTGATTCATTTTTATAATAATGATGTAGTAAAATAAAAATTACCAATCCATAAGCTAAGGATCGTTGATTTTCTTCTGTGACATCTGCGACATAGGCAAAAACTACCGAAAAAGTGCATGCAAATACACCACTAATTGATATCATTGCAAAAAACCACCAGGTGTTGATGCTCATAAGTGGGATTGGCGCGCACGTGAAAGCCACAGTGATGAGGAGGAAAAATTTTCTTCCCCATACATCTGATAAAGCGCCTATCAATGGTGCTGATAAGAATGAAAGCAGCCCTTTGATTCCCATTATCAGTCCGTTCATCAAAAATGTATGATCCGGAAATGTCTTGTTTAACACAGATATTATTGGCATCGTTAATAAGCCCCAAGCAAAGAACTCCAAAAATATCACTACCAGTGCATGGTAAACACTGGCTTCTCCCACGCCGGAGCTCTGGAACATAAAAATACATTTTTTTATTAGATTTTAGGCAATGATAGTACCTATTGATACAACATTTTATTTTAGATTTGTCGAAATAGTAATTTGGTTACATCATGATTATTGGCTGACCTTTAGATGTCTGTAACATTTTTGAAAAAGACTTAATGGAGGTTCTATAGTTTCAGGAGCAATTTCTTCGCTATCATGAAGTTCTGAACAAGAGGGATCTAGGCCCTCTGTCCCACCTTTTGCCCCTGGGGGCATGACAATTGGGGAATCTAACCCCTTCTTTATTCTTCTGTGTTGTTTTTCATATAATCAGTTTTAGGGAAGCATTGTTTTTTCTATTAATTCATGTTGCACAATGTAATTTCATTATATTGCAATAGTGAGAAACATACTTTGATCTTATTCAAATTACTTAGTAATTTGGTTGTTGTATAATTCGAACGAATCGTTGCATTGACTTTATTGACTATTATCCAAGTTTGCTCGATCATTAACCATTAATCACTAGCAGGTTCAAAGAAAATAATGATAACTTTCATAAACCTGAGATTAGAGGAACTTGCTCATAAATGTCTGATAAGAGTAAATTTTCCTTCTAACTTATCTTATGATTTGTTATTTCAATCATAAAAAACACTCCATTTTTGCGGTAATTGAGTAGTGGTTGCACGATAAAAAAATAAAAAATTATAATTTTAGGTAGTTTAACAATACTTTTGGAATTTATTTATCAAGGTCACTGTTAGCGGAATTCCTGATCGTATCTTTTAGGAAACAGCCCAAAGAGAGCAAAAGTAAATGATGTGAAGATATTTTTGATCCATAGTCTTTGCCAGTGCGGCTGACGCTTGCGGTCAGCTGACATCCTGTTAATAATTACGTAGATTCTATCACGTATAATTAAAAATCTTCATTTCTTTGAAAATCCAGAGTAAATCACGTCAATCCGAGGAACAATGTAGTGGTACAATCTACATGTAGTAAGTATAACGGACAGAAGTTCAACCAAATCTGGTTTCGTCTGGCAGAGTGTATGAATATCTTTATCATTGATGATATAATAAATTAACCAAATTTAGAGTTGTTGAAACTTTAAGCCCTGCCACAATATTATAATGAAGAAGACACGAATTCCACGACATCAACGGAGTTACTAACGCGTCCGTCACACTAGTAAAAACGACTCTGTATGCTATCGAACGCATGTCGTCCCTGTGACCCGGATCCTCCTCGTCCTCGTCACCAGGCCAGTAGTTTCATGATTCTTAGGGAAATTCTCTTTTCGGATCAATATTCTGACGGACACGCCATTGTCTTGTGATACTCCTTGATTATTTTATGAAAACAATGTCAAAAATATGTTCAATGAGCAGTTTAGACATTTATCGTGAAATCTCTATACACTTGACACCCCGAAAAAATCCAAAATCTTACTGTGGAGTTTTTGTTGCTTTCTAAACGCAAAATTGCATAGTGCACTTGATTTATGTTTCAACACATTCACTTTCGAACTGTTAATCAACTTAATTACTGATTTCAAGTGTCTATATCAAGATGACATTGATTCTGAGATGATTCCCAGCCTCGCGAATCATCTGCTCGCCAGCAGGGTTTTATCGACAATGTGTAGAACTATATAGTTAAATGTTCGTGATAGAACCACGAACCACTGCATTGCCGACCTTTCCCCAAGAGTGTGGGTGCTTTGATCTTTCTCTCCCTGTCTATTATCATTCTCTAGCTCATACGTGTTCCACATCTCTATCTCTATCTTCTAAATATTATACAACTTCTGCGATTCGGCGTTCGCGCATGGGAAATCTTTCTGAAAATTCTGAAACTTTTTTTAGTCATTGCCTGACGGTCTGACATTGATAAAAAATTACATAATCTTGTTTTATATTTGTATATATGATGATTAAATTCTCATTAAATAATTACAGATTGTCGACAAATTCAACTGAGTGATGTGATATAACTTTAATCCACAAACCTCTTTCTCTAACACATTAGCATCGACGTAATGTAGACCATGGTTGAACTGTAATTCTATTGGTTATTTACATTTTGTTTGTAGCAGAATATGATAATCTAAAGTAATTATAATTATTATCGTGATACTAAATATTTATTGATACACGTAACGACATTGATCATATGGATTATTTTTATTATTTTCAACAGATTTATTCATTTATAAAATAAACTTATCTGTCCTAATGATAAAATGACCAGATATGATAAGAATATTTAAATGACACAGGTAACTCGGTAATAATATGAGGCAGATAATATGGAAATATGTTATCCAATCACATATAAAAAAAGTATGACGCATTCATTTACCATTTGAAAAAATCTAATATCTTTAAGTATTTTAATAGCAATACAGATGAGTATAATGAATGTGTAAAGTTCACCAATTGATAACCAATAAATACTTTACAAATGGTGATCTGTATTATTTTATCAATTGTACATCTTCACAAATAGTATTAAAAATAAATTGTTTCATAATGGTTAACTACGTTAACAGCTTGCAAATAATCTGGAAGAAATTGGTTTTTCCTTCATGTTACCACAACAACATAAAAGAAATGTGGTCACAAAAAGATTGGTTAGATGCAGGATGATGCTATGGTATTTGGGTAGCAATTCAATACAACAATAAAATAAATTAGAAATTACCGTGATGACTCCATCCTTCATGATGGATTTTCTACTCCTTATAATCATGTTGACGATTTTCTGAGAGACCTTGGCGGGCATACTAACGCAATGAGCGCACAAACTCTTACGCTTTTTAAGTTTCATCAATCCTTATATTTGAACCAAAACAGTATTAGCCATTTCTTTACTACAAAAATCGTGTTCTTACGAGACACGCTATAAAATTTTTAACTTGAAAACTTAAAATAATTTAAATTAATTATTTATTTAAATTGTTTTCATTGCCACATATTAAAAATGAACTCGACAAAAAACACAATCAGACAACCACCATAAATGCAGTTACACACAAGTGTTGAATGTAAATTGTCATGAACTATATCACAAGTGCAGACTTCCGGTTATCATTTATTTATGTCTGTGTTCAGTTATTACCATCAGTCGGTAATATAAATAATTACTCACAAATGTCGATAAAGCGCTGTATGTAAATTTTAAAACAAAGTAGTTTCTCATCTAAGTAATTTTTAATTCATAAAATTATCGCTTGTCCTTTCCTTCCACTTCCACGCTTCCACTCCACTTTCATTGCACGGAGACGAGGGTTAATTTTTGTCAGGTCTGAATTTGTTTCATATAATTAAATTAAAACTTATATTAGAGTTAATTTAATAAATAAAATATCTTTTACGTAATAATAATACAGGTTATTTGATAATTTTCAGCGGGTAGAGTGCAGAAACAGGAAATATACAAAATGTGGTCGTCAATGATAGAAGCTGCCAAGAAGAATCCTTTTTCTACACCTTACTCTTCGACCCAATGTCAAAAATTGGCAGATAATTCCCAAAGTTTGATACCAGGTCGTAATATTGGTGCTTTCGCCGTAGCAGAAGGTGGTAAGTATTTAAAAAAAAAATTCCAACTTCATTTGTTTCACCTAAATTTCAACAATCGATATCACGTTCACATTGTCAATTAAAAAAATCCAGTATTTGTCAAAGTTATTAATAATTTCACAGTTTTGAGTTCTATCTCTTCTATTTTTTTTTAAATTTGACGTTTCACAGACGTTTCAACAAACTTCATTCGAACTTAATACGTTTGATTAACTGTCAACGATCATGTGACAGATCAGATGAATTCGTGAACAAAAATGTGCTTTTCACAAAAAAGTTTCATAAGTCATTTCTTATTGAAGAAGCCCTGGAATAATTTTTGAAAGACAAGAGATGAGTTATTATATAAGCATAAAGTACGAGGTTAGCTATGTATCTTATTCGCATGTCAGTGGAGCAACCGCGCGGGAGTCATTGCGTAATGGCAACCATTTTGTCAAGGTATTGAGGTCTTTCGATGACCTTGAAGACAATCTACATTAACCCCTTTAATCCTCAAATTTTTTACAAAATTTTATAAGCTAAACCCAGTTATCAATGCTAGAAAATAAAATCAATGTAAAGTACAGAAATAAAAGGTCAAAATTAATGAACTGGTTACTCCCAGTATTCGTAGAGATCATGAACTGATCAGCTGACTAACCTTCATTCAGGATTGCCATTGCATATGATACAAACAATAGCTTAAAATAACAGACCCCTAAAAATACGCAGTGATCACTCAATCAACAGCCTCTTTATTTATTCCTGTGTTGTATTATGAATGACTTTCATTATCAAATGTTTCATGAACATTAATTAAGAAAATGACATCTATTCCTGATTGACATTATCGAAACAAAAATTTTTTTGTCGATGAATACATGGTATTTATGATAATTGTGAGAAATTTGATATTAATTATGAAAAATTATTCAAATAAATTTATTTATCATGATGTTTATTCATTTTTACAGATAGCTGCGAATTTGGATCTAATCATTACTTCCTACTATGTGGACTCGGTGGTATATTATCTTGTGGACTTACTCACACCATGGTAACTCCATTGGATTTAGTAAAATGCCGTATTCAAGTCGATCCTGCCAAGTACAAGAATGTAGTAACTGGTTTCCGAGTATGTTACTCCAAAATTATTTTTTTTTAAAGAACTTTGAATGAATAATTAAAAAAAAATAGATTGATTATTGATGATATAAATTTTAGGTAAGCTTACAAGAAAGTGGAGTGAAAGGTTTAGCTAGAGGATGGGCACCCACCTTCTTTGGATACTCCATGCAAGGAATGTTCAAATTCGGTCTCTATGAAGTATTTAAAGTTTACTACTCTACTCTGGCAGGTGAAGAAATGTCTTATGAATACAGAACATCATTGTATTTAATTTCTTCGGCATCGGCTGAATTCTTCGCTGATATTGCTCTTGCGCCCATGGAAGCCGCTAAAGTAAGCTGACATTTTTATGCATGACTTTTAATCTCTTTGAAAGTAACAGTGTTAATTAGTAATAATTAAATTCTACTTAGGTACGTATTCAAACAATGCCTGGCTACGCAGATACTCTTCGTCAAGCACTTCCAAAGATGATGAGTGAAGAAGGATTAGGAAGCTTCTACAAAGGTTTGGTACCTCTCTGGTTACGACAAATCCCATACACAATGATGAAGTTTGCTTGCTTCGAACGTACCGTTGAATTGTTATATAAATTCGTTGTACCTAAACCTCGTGAACAATGTACTAAGGGAGAACAACTTATTGTCACTTTTGCTGCTGGTTATATTGCTGGAGTTTTCTGTGCAGTAGTTTCTCACCCTGCCGATTCCGTAAGTTTCAAATATATAGCATAAAAAAGTCTTCAATTTATAATTATAAAGATTGATAAGTATAATTATAATTTATATATCATTTTAGGTTGTTTCTAAACTTAATCAAGAACAAGGATCAACAGCAGTACAAGTATTAAAGAAATTAGGACCAGCTGGAATTTGGAAAGGTCTAGGACCTAGGATTGTTATGATTGGTACTCTTACAGCAGCTCAATGGTTCATCTACGATGCAGTTAAAGTCTGGCTCCGCATGCCACGACCACCACCACCAGAAATGCCTGAATCTCTTAAGAAGAAGTACGGCGTGGCTTAAATTCGTACACTTCCAGTCATCGTTGCTGGTCAATAGATAATTGAGAGGCAAAAAAGAGCAGAAAAAAACTAGAGGAATCCACATAAAATAAATTCGTTAACAAGAAAATATCATCACATACTAGCCAATTACAATTTTATTGAATAACAAATAATTATTTTCATTATTTATTCCTCAGTATTTATATTACCGGACGTGAGTCATTCACAAAGGCTATACTGCCATCAATTAATAAAATTTTAGGAAATACATTGATATCATTTTTCGGAATCAATTTATTCAATTTTATTTTGTTCAGGAAATGTTCAATCGTATTATCAAATCAGAAATATTATCATGAAACTGATTATTGTTCAGTTTCGTGATTTAACATATGCTATTGAGTAATGACTGCGTTGTTCTGTAAATAGAGTGATCAGTTAATAAAAAAAATAAAACAGATGATCGCTTCAATTGTTGTTCTATTTAAATTAATTCACTAATTTTTTTACTGAAATTTATAAGAAATTAGAATCTGCTCTGTCACTAAAACAGTTTCATACACTACTGCACATTGATATACAATGAATGTTCTAGGGAGATTTATAGGTTAAAAATGTTGGTAGAAATGACGAGTTATTGTAGAGTTGATGTTTTGAGAAAACACACTTCTTGAAACACCTATTGCGATTCGTCAATAAGATATAAAAACAATAAGTAGTAAACAATGGAAAATAGCGGTGAAAGTGCTGATGATACGGGTCCTCAAAGCGCATCAAGCTATTTTACCAGTAGTGGAGTTCCTGCCAATTACATTGGAGTTCAGTCAGATGATCTGGAAGGTATAAACTTTATTTTCACAATCACTGACATGTTCACTTATAATGAGCAGTTAATACTTTGTTTACAAACATAGCTGAAGGGCATTGTAATTGTCATTAGTATCTTATATAAATAATGACATTCAATTAGTTATTTTCAACGTGTGTTAAAATTGAAATTGAATTTGCGCAACAATAGCGTTAGCAATAACATATAAAACGATTGGCTAGTAATAATTAAGTACTAACAGCGGGCAAACTTGAATAGAACATTTTCTATTTATTCATAAAAATTATTTTATTCTCAGGAATATTCTTCGTTTTTTGTTGTAATAACAATAAACAATTTTTAGGTAACAATGTACAATTATTTATATAACTAATTGATTGCATAAATTATCTTACATTAATGGTATTCTAACATTACGATGGATGACGTGTAAATATCAGCTTCAAATTACGTCTATGCAAGTTAAATCAAACAATAATTGCTTGAATAATATGAATATTGAACAGATAATCACGTTGAAGTTGATCGTGATAATTGTTTCGGATAAAAACTAGGCTAGTTACACTGTCATGGAATTGATATGACTGTTAGTAACATAGTCTGTTGATAAGAAAAAATGGAGACATTTAATTCATGTGTATTATACCTAGTAGCTTTGGAATTTTATATAGAATAAAAGTAAACAAAAATATAAATAAATAGTGTAAATGTTAAATTCTGTATATTATTTTAGAAAAATAATGTAATTAATATAACTTTATTCCAGATGATCCGGAGAACACTGATGACTCCACTCACGAAGGAGGTGATCCTCTACATGGTGGTGGAAGTGGTAGCAATTCAGGACCTCTTAGAGAACAAGATCGTTTTTTACCAATAGCAAATGTAGCAAAAATAATGAAAAGAGCGATACCTGAAGCAGGAAAAATAGCAAAAGACGCCAGAGAATGTGTTCAAGAATGTGTATCCGAATTTATATCATTTATCACGTCAGAAGCTAGTGATCGTTGTTACATGGAAAAGCGAAAGACAATCAACGGAGAAGATATTCTATTTGCTATGACGACACTTGGTTTCGATAATTATGTTGAACCACTCAAAATATATTTACAGAAATACCGAGAAGCTACAAAAGGAGACAATCCACAAGCTGGCATAAATTCAGCAGGTAATGGAAAGACTGATTCTACTAATACACTGTACGAAGAGCAATTATTTGGAATTACTGCATCTAACGCCTCAACGTCAGACACTCCTGTTATATATAGTTATTCATCATCAGACCAAATGCAGTTTCAACTTTCTTGATCATCCAACGATTTCTCAAACAGCTGGTCTTGCCTGAAAAGTTAAAAAAGTTTTTTTTCTTCAGTTCTTTGCACTTTTATTGGATATCATATTATTAATACTCTTTAATTGATCTTTTATGTAAATGAGTGATAAATAAATTATCATAAAAACACTACAAAAATTGCATAAAATATGTTTGGGTTGTTAATAAATGCAAGAGACATAGAAAAAACGTAGCCGATTCTTTATTGTAATTCTTTCAAGCACTATGTCATATTAAACTAGACTAGGCTGTGGTTTTTATTCGTGTCGTGTCGGGAGATTGGGCTAGAGATTGAGGCTAAGCCACGCTATATTTTCTATATAGAACCGGCAGTAGTTATATCGACGTATTTCTTCTCGTCGTAAAATCTCGTAGAAAAATTTTACCGTCACACTCTGTTGTATAATATAAGAAGAATCTTTAAGATTGAATTCTCCATTATAATTTTTAATTATATCTTTGGTGTTTCTCACTCTGGCAATTGAGCGGGTGAGAGGAGAAGCTCGTGTCCTTTAACAGGTTTTGAACATGATGATGATGAAGGAGGAGACATCTTCATCGTTGGAGCTTTTGCTATTTGATTTTGACGCTGAGGTAGAAGCGATGTGGTAGGCTGTCGTGAGGGTGACGTTGAAATTTTTTCTTTTTCTTTTTTTATCTTGTCTTTATCAACAATAACCACTTTGCATGGCTTCCATCGGCAATCATCACAACAATGACATAGACATAAGCATAGAAGAACTCGCAGCAAGCAGCAAAGTAATCCTGCGCAGAGTAAACTAGGTCCTACAAGTCTCAGTTCCGGACTGAGAAAACCCTTTTCACCAGTTCCAACAAAAGATATGACAAGACCAAGTGCTGTGGTACCTAAACCCGCATACAGAACTGTATTAAACGCTGCATTTACTTCAGGACGCCTGCGTCCTGCTTGACTATCGTCGTCGTCATCTTCTCCACTGCTCCCGTAGCAATAACTTGCATCTCTTATCTGAAATAAGATTTATCATTATTTGAAAACCATTTCAAAATTTAATTTTACTTCATATTCTTTGCTTTTATCGAATCATCAGTGTTATAAAAATAGATTTTGGTCTAAAAATACTACTGATACTGTTTATTACTGCAATAATTTATCAATGTCTACATTTTTCTAAAAATTCATAATTGATGATCAATGAGTATAATATGTAAAATACAAGAGTACTATTCATCATAATTAAATTTAATAGTATACATTTAATAATGTTAATTTTTATTATCATAAATAAAAAAAAAACATAGTTTTAAAATTTAATTAAGAATATTCGTGCTTTTAAAAAAATTCGTTCGCATTTAATGTAATTATAAAAAAAGAGAAAGAATGAACTTTAGATGGAAAAAAAACTTTTATACAAAAATAAAGTGACTCAATTCTATGCCCTCATTCAGAATAGAAATAGGTAACAAAAAATGTAGGTCAAATTGAACTTGAAATTATTTTAATCGATAATAAAAATGAAAAACCTACTAACTTTTAAATTAAAAAAAATGAGTTTTCAACTTTATTTGAAATATAAAATCAATCATTTAATATCTAGTAGATATTATCTATACTCTTGATAAAAAAATAATAAAATCCATCATCTCTTTTTTTATCACATGATGTTTCAATCATGATTTCAAATCTTACCCTATTTCTTTTCATCCATCTTCGGTGAGCTTCACACTGTTTAGTTTTATATCCTTCTCGAGAGCCATGGGGTGATACTGGAGATAAAGGTAACGGGGATGGTCTGCTGCAGCCTTGCCATGCTGCTTTTCCAGGACCCTGAGCTCCACACTGTAACAGTTGAACAATGAACAATATCCGGCTTTAAGATGACTGTAATTATCGTACAAAAATAACAAATGCACAGGCTTTTTATTTTTGTCTCGATAGTTATAGTTCTTGAAAAGGACCCAAGACCGGACTTCGATACCAAGGGGCTTGAGCTAGTCTAATAAGTCCCTAAATCAAACCTCCGTAGTTTTCTGATGAGCAACCGTCAGAACTTTCTTGTAAATTTTACTCACCCCGTAAACGTAAGATCTCGGGGGATAACGTGGTAGAGGAGGAATAAGCCTTGTCGCTAAGTTGGATGGCAACTCCCTAAAGTTCGCCTTTCTACGCTGTTTATCACGTCTAATTAGTAGAGCAGCCTGCATTCTGCTCACTCATTTACTTTAATCATCGATGATATTTTGATTCGTTCCTCACGATTCAGTTCTCTTCGATTTAATACATCAACTGTCACTCCTGTAACTCGACTAGTGCTTCAATCCTTCTCCATGGAGAATGTTGAATAGTCTACGGACTGAGAGTCTCATTCATATGTTTTCTTTTCATTCCTTTCATGTCATTGTTACTTTAATAAATCTTCTTCAACACGCCTTGGTCTATTATCGTAAATATAAAAATGTAATCAAGGCGTGAAAAGAAGATTTAGATTTCGCGGCAACGTAATACTCCACCAGACAGCCGATTCATTACTATCTTATTCTATTGATCCTATTGATCATAAAAATTTCTCTGCCTCAATGTGCAGTGCGGGTGTTAAAAGAATGTTATCTAATATTGATCCTCAAGATTTCATCATTTTTCTATGACTTCTAAATTATTATAACTATCTAAATCCTAGTAAATGTATACTTTATAATTAAGTACTAATGATAATAGCAGCTGATATTAGATAAAGTATGAATATATTTACGATCGAATGATATGTATAATTATTGAATAGATTGTCTACTCTATTTTAAATAGAAGAGCGATTGTGCGGAATAACGCGTGTCACTTTATGGGGTTCATTAGCGTCCCGTGTGAAACCCACCTGTAGCTCTGAAGTAGAAGGCGAAACTCTTAAATCGAGAAACGAGGGTGGCGGAAATGGGAAATGGTTGGATTTTAATGGAAGCGTTGGTGAGTTTGCTGACTCCAATGATAGTGGAGGTGGTGAGATTGGGAATTGGATTGGTGAAAGTGGAGGTGCCAAACGATGAGGTGTCACTTTCTCTGGTCGTCGACGCTGGTGGTGATGACTGTGCTGACGATGGTGTTCGTGCGAAGAGTGGAACGTTGAAGATGGTGCAGGATGTGTAGATAGAACGTGCGGTTGTGAAAATTTGGCAGCATGTACTCCAGTTGTTGACCCAGTAATTTTACTTTTTGCTACCACTGCTGGTGGCTTTTGCTGTTTACTTAATTGAAGGCGTTTTTGCTTCCTTCTATTAGCTATGCTTGCTCCTCCAGCTGCTGCATACATTTTTCTTGATTTTATTTCTTTTTTATTATTTCTATTTTTCTTATTCTTGTTCTCCTTCTTCTTCTTCTTCTTCTAGTGTTCCCGCTTTAACGCCGCCGGGACAGGCGGCTACCCGTTAAGAGCAACGCATGCTTCTGCATTCTGAAATGAGATACATGTTCGGCGTGCTAATATTTGATGTTCTACGATTAAAGCACAGCAATTACATCTTGCTCAAACTTCTTCATTATCATACAACATATTCTTGCTTGTGTAATTCATGCACAGGTATGAAAAAAATTCCTCCGTCAATTATTCAATAAAATTATGTCAGCACATAGTTATCATAAAAGTTTTCATGAATTTGAAATTGATTCACTGTTGAAATATGTATGATAAATAAAAAATGCACTAAATTACAACAGCAAATGTGATTTTAAAGTTTCAAGTGTTAAAAGCATTATTATACTTAATCATTTCTATCACGAACATGCTTTATTATTGAAGATGATAGAAAAAAAATATTAATAACATTAATAATTAATAAATAAAAAATAGTTAAAATATAATATTGACTTTCATGTGACGTGAATTGAGTTTATAAGTGGTCGATTCCCGTCAAATAGGTGGAGTAGTAACATGAATTTCGCAATGAAGGACTTTTTCAAATTTATGCGATCGGTTTTTTTCAACTTTTATTTGTATCTGATACAAGCAGAACAGAAATTTATGTATGATTAGGCATTGATTCAGATCAAATAGAAATATGAAATAATAATGAGGGAATACAATAAGACTAAAAGCGTATCACACATATATCAACTTTACAACTCTATAGGTATACAATGCGGGTTAGTGGGTTAAAGCACAAAGCTGGTCCTTTATTCTAGTACTAATGAGATAGCAAAATGTGCACACATGATAGTAACAACAAAAGTAAACTCGTGAACTATCACACTGTGCGATTATCAGTGGTTATCGTGACTGTGAGCAACGAGACAGGAATAATTTAAAGGCTGACTGGTGGTCCTGATTGTAACGTAGAGTTGTGGTACCCGTTGTAAAAAAAAAAACACAATGAATGTTTTTACAAAAATTTTAAAACAAGTAATATATGTTAATATAAACTGGTATATTGAGAGAAAAAGACAAACGCTTGTTTTTTTGGCGATGATATTAGGATTATTAGCAGTAACAGTAGCAACAGGAGCAGCCAATGATGCCAAGAGCAAAAAAAGCAGGCTTTAAGCCAGAATCACACTGATTATCAGAGGTTTATCGTCGCACGTCTAACGATTTTTTTATGCTCCTTGAATTATTTTTTATATTCATTTTTATTCTTTCTCCTTTGCTATTTTCTTTGTTGCCTTACTACACACCGTCCGCCTGTGCGTACACCCACATTCTTCTCATGAAGTCATTGTGCGTTATCTTGATATCATACGAGAGTGACACGATTAGTCTTCTCGTTTATTTGTTTTTTTTTTCCTTTCGTCTCTATTATTTTTTTTCCGTTGCACGCCAATCGTAATGTACGCGTGCGTGATGAATTACGGCTAGGTTTATTTTTCTGTTTTCTTCTTTCACCTTATTTATTAAATATCCAAGGTTCGCCCATCATCCTGGCTAAGCCAGGAGTCCTGGGGCCGTCCACGTCGTCCAGGATTGCTATGATAATCCATCGAAAATATCAATCACTTTTACGAGTACTTTTGTTCATTACATGACAATTGAATCGACAATGTTACACAACACAAACACATTCGCTCCATTGGCGCCAATTGATTTTGCATATACGCTGACTAGTTTCTTTAAATCACTAAAATTAAAAAATACTATCGACAGTGACTGATGAATTTCGTATTGACGAAAACTACTTGTGTTGACTCCCGAGAGTCAAAATCGCGTTTGAGTCGCGACCCTTAAGGATTCGGGACTGCCCCGGTTTCCAGTCACTCACACTCTCTCCCTCTTTTCCTCAGCTAACCTGACGAGAACACCCGCACCCACCCTCAACCCTCTCTTCCCTTTCACGGCATCCAGTCGATATTCTGCTATGCTCGCAACTGTTGACCTTTCATCTTTACACACTACCAACTTATTGGTTTTACTGCGGTACTCTAGTTTAAAAAAGAAATCGTCTTTATCAATCTTTTTATTTAAATTAATTAATTAAAATTATCAATAAAATTATTTTTAATCTTTGAATAAATAATTTCAACGTATTGATTTTTTTATTTCTCTGATATTATAATTTCAATGTAATTGTTATAATAATTATTATACTTAAGTATAATCTATATTAAAAACATATTTCAAGTAATTTAAACGCTTATTACAATGCAATTTTATACGGAGATAAGAAAATTTATCTCCGTTTTCTACCACCAACTTTTTTATGTAAATCCCTCTTTCCTTTGCCAGCTTTTGGTTTTTTACTTCCTATACTTTTTTTACTCTTTCCTTTCTTTTTTTCAACTTCAGAAGAAACAGATGGAGTCGTCGGAATATCTTGTACTTGAAGAATGTCCTTTGTAGTTTTTTTGCTGATTATATCATTAACTAATTCAGTATTTCGCTTTTTCTCATCAACCATGTTCAAAGGAGGTGCTTTTCTTTTCTTTTTTAATCCTGTTACTTTTGTAGTAATGCCTTTAGCATCTTTTTCTTTAGGTAATCTGTAATTTATATTAAATAGTATTATATACATCATTATAAAGCATTTAACTTTCAATAAAAAAAAACTTACTTATTTTGAAACTTTCCTACAGAAGCAGTCGACACTCGAGCGACTGTTAAAGCTGTAGCAAGATGCTTTGAACTAGCCAATTGCTCTGTTGTGGGCAATCCAACTCTAGGTATCTTTACATTTTTAGTTCTTGCCAAATTTCGAAGTCTTTGAAGTTCATTTTTGGCCACTCGCTCTTCTTTTGCTCGACTCGCTGTCTCTCGAGGGTTTGCTTTTGGAGTATTATCATCGCCAACTTCCATTAACCATTCTTTTTGTTGTTGTGCTTTTGCTCTCTTATATCCATATGTTGGAATCCATTGCTAGAATAATAAAATGAAAAAGATTACTTAGTGTAACAAGCTGTTTATTATCATCTCTGAAATTCAAAAAAAAAGGTTATCTAACACTCACCCTCAATTCTTCATCCCACATTAATTTAGATTTGTTCTTCTTATTTTTTTGTATACCTTTTTCTTTAGCAAACTTCTGCCATTTAGTTAAGGGTTTAGGTTTAGGAACAACACGAGCTCTGGGTAAAATATACTTAGGTTTTGGCAATTTAGCAATTACCACATCATCAACACGTTCAGTTGGAAGTGCCCAAATTTTATTGATAAGTAATTGAGTGTTATCTCTAGTTAATGATTTTAAATATTCATCTTTATCAGACCTAGAAAAATAAAAATTTATTTTAAACTATTTTTGTTAGAACTTTATTGTTAACATAAACAATGAGTGACTTTTATTCTAGGTTACCTGAATCTGTCAGTGTCTATTGTATTATAATCTGATACAAGAAGAGTTCCTTCATCAATATCAAGTTCTATAGGCTTATCTACATTAATTGATTTACTTGCATCTTCAGATTGTTCAAGAATTGAATTTACAATATCCATTTTGATCAATACACTTCACTGCACCTCCTGAGAACATGTGATAAATAAAACTTGGTCATCATAACCTAAAAAACAATTTATACAGTATAGTATATGTAAATCTTTTCTCTCTGTCTAGCAAGCACACATAGTATAGATTTTTCACTGTCAGTCTTCTCTTACGGCAATTTTGTTTTCAGTTTGGTTTGACACGTGTTTTTTGAAGTAGTAAAATGTTTGTCCTTGCAGAATTCAAAGATGTTGTGAAAATCCCACCCTGGAAATTTAAAAGGAAATTCAATGATGCAATAACGGATGAGTTGAACCACAAACTTGCTAATAAAGTATTATTAAATTTTTTATTTTGTCGGGAAAATTCTCCAATACTAATTGAAGGTTAATGAATTTTGTTTGTTTATTTGCAGGTATTTTTAAATGTAGGATTATGTATAGCTTTATATGATATTACCAAAATCGAGGAATCATACATTTTTCCTGGTGATGGATCATCCCACACAAAAGTGGTTTTCCGATATATTGTCTTCAGGCCATTTATGGAAGAAATTCTTATTGGAAAAATTCGTAGCTGCAGTGCAGATGGGGTGCATGGTAATTTTTATCATTTTATTATAACGATAGGATAATTTCATCAATTTATTATAAATTCTTAATTAAGTTGGAATGTTTTTCTACACATGGTGAATTTTACAGTAACTTTGGGATTTTTTGAAGACATTATAATACCTCCACACAAGCTCCAAAATCCCTCAAGGTTTGATCAAACAGAACAAGCGTGGGTTTGGGAGTATGATACTGGAGACGGTGAGAAGCATGATCTTTTTATGGATGCAGGTGTGTAAAGGTATCTTAGTTTAGAATTAACTTTATCAAAGAATTCAGATAAATAATATCAAATAATAAATTATGCAGGTGAACCTATAAGATTTAGAGTAGTTAGTGAAACTTTTATGGAAACATTACCAATATCTGGGCCAACCGGAAGCAAAGAAGTGGAAAAACCTGAAAATAAATCAGTCTCACCTTATGTTCTCAACGTAAGTATTCTTGAAAAATATATTCGAATTTAAATGATTTATTTAAATCATATGTTACAGGGTGCGATTGATGAGCCAGGTCTAGGTCTTTTATCTTGGTGGGAAAATACTTGAATATTTTGTATGTAAGTTAAAAATAAAGATTATTTTTGATCATTTTTAAAAATTACGAAAAAACTGAACATTTAATGAACAACATTTTTATTCCACTCGCAATATTCAATTTAATTCATTTATTTTTCCTTTATTCTTAAAACTAATTATTTTACGAGCAGAGTTACAATAAAATGTATTTTTTATTATTTATTGTTCATTAATTTACATGATCATGACATGATATTCTGTATCATTAATCTGTTGCATATTTAGTATTTGTACAATATATACAAACATTTTGCAAGTTTCGTTAGCACATGAATATATCATGTAACAATTTGAATTTTTGCGGATTTGTTCTTTTGTAAAAATTTCATCCAACTAAACTATTTCGCTATCTATAATCACGGTCATTAAATGCGCCGAGTTTGGTAGTCATTTGCAACATAATTACTTCAAATTTTATTACTTTTTTTTTTATTTGCATATACATAAATATCTCTGCCCGTTATAATTGTTTCAGTCATTGTTATTTCTTAAATGTAATAACAATTGCGATCACACAAAATTGCACTCTAATGAATAATTATAATTACCACATTTATTCGAGTAAAGTAGATATAAAGATGTTAATAAGAAAAAATATTAAATAGAACAAAGTTTTTATAACACCAAGAGAATTCTAAAGGTTTTAAAACGTTTAAATTACATATAATGTGATAAGGTAATATATGAATGGAATAAACTCACTCCATAGACGTATTGTCAAGTAATGTGAAACATAAATTATTTCTCAACAATTCAGTTATTTAATGTGACCCGGAATGTCTTACTTTTCATACATACTTCAATTTGATCTTATAACAATATTTTGTCTTTTAACAGCTTCTTTGACTAGTGATTAGAGCAAATTTCTATCTAATTCTGAAGTTATTAAAGCAGACAGTCTGGAAATTATCATTTGTTAATGGGCTATTGATGATGGGTGATATTTAATAAATGAATATAATAAAACAAAATAATATAAATTTATCACAGTCCTAGCTGGCGTGCCGTGGTCTTGCAAAGTATATTTTGATGTATACTTTGCGATCAACTACTATATTAATAAAGCCACGAGCCATCTAAAATGATTGTGGCTGAGTTTGTCAAAGATCTACGCCAAGGGTCCTTTGCTGATATCAACGAGTGTACTCTTGAACGTATTCTAGTTATGCAGCGAAGCTACTTTCTTCTATTATTATTGCATCATACTTTTATCAAGCAGAATATTAACAATCAACGCATATTAGCAAATAAAAAGCAATTAAGAAACTTAACAGATACAAAAACAAATCGAAGATACTATCATTGAACTCTTCGGCGTAGACAACTCATAAAAATAGTAATTATCTAAAGGGTGATAGAGCGTGAATTAATGAATAATTTAGTAATTAGATAGTTGATGGTAAACATTTGTAAGATATTAAAACATAACTAAATACATAATATACAATCTTGTAATTAAGATTGCAGTCTTTCAAAAGAATACTTTGATGTTGTAACGAGTTGTTGGTTCGTATACCACTTTTTATATTTCATTGGACGTTGACGAATATTTATTAATTGTAAAAAAATTTGTTTTATTTCTCTTTTTTATCCAATTTGTTTTTATTCGATCACCAAACAGCGTGGCAAATGTTCTCGGAGGTAGTCAAAAAGTTCTCGTGAGGTACCAGGACAATTGGTTAATTCTAATTCTTGGAGATGCCGTAGTTGAATTAAACTGGAGAGTCCACTACTTGTTAATAGAGGACAACCTGAAGATGAAAAAATTTAATTGAATATTGAATTTGAAAGTTTGATGAATTAATAAATTTCTCATAACGTGATGAATTACTTCAGTCGTGAAACTCACTGAACAAATGAGATATTGATGAATAAAGCTTACGTACCAGCAACTGAGAGAACTTGAAGTGATCTCATGCTGCATAGATGCTGAAGACCAAAGTCTCTTAGTTGTGAACACCATCGCAAAAAAAGTGCGCTTAAGGATCCCATAGTTGATATATATCCAACGCCAATGTCCGTAATATGAACACACCTTTGAAATAAAAAATAATTTGAGTTTGAGTAAGGAATGTAACGACAACTGCTTTTGGACGTTGTATTCTAGTCACATCGAAATTTACGCTTGAATCGATTCGCGAAAGTTTTCAGTCTGACACTCAATTAACACTCATGGCAGAGATTCAATTGAATTGGCAGCTGAAACTTAGATGATATTCGATCATAGACCCTTTTCACCTGCCAAAATCTCCGCGTTCTCAGCATAACATTCAATTTACGATTGTTGTGCAATCAGTATTCTCTAACTGTTTTCAACATGAGTCACTAGTAACTCTATTTTTATTTTTCCTTCATTTTATTTATTGTTTTATTTTGAAGATCTTCTACTAGAAATCTCAAACCTTATTTAAAACCAATAAATTATAAGTAAATCGTGGACAAAGTCTATTTATTCATGTTTGTAGACAAGATTTATAACGACATGTCGTATGCAATAAACTTGTATATAAATGCCAAAAGTCTTAAGTGCAAGATTAAAAAGACAAATATTTCAGTTTGTCATTTAGTTGAATAATTTATCAAGATCCTATCTTGTTTATTCTTTTTAATGTTCATTTATATCTTGTAAAATTAATTGTATTATTTTTTAGATTTATTTCATTTTCTTTTTTTACTAAAAAAAACCATTTTTTTTTTGAAAAAAGAGACTACAATTGATTTATCTGGAGCTAGCTAAGCTTCAACAAAACAAGTTAAGTCAATAACAAAAATTTTATTGCTTTCTTTACTCAACTAATTTTTCTCAATATAAATAGACTACTGGAAGTTTATATTTAATGGAATTGCCTAATATTAAGCCAATATTTATCATACGATATTAAATTTATTGAATGCAAAGCTAATATTAGATATCCATATAAAAGTCATTCTATATTAGGCAACTTCCTTCGCCATATATGGAGTCGTTTTATTTTATTCTTTTGTTCGATAATTTTTTAACGAACCTGTCCAGTGTTAATTCTTCTAGTTGATTAAGGTCACAGGCAATGTACTCCAATGCTGCGTCAGTAATCCTTGAACACCATCCTAAATCTAAGCACCGAAGTCTTGAAAGATTTTCAGCAATTAATTCAACTCCATCGTCTGCTATTTTACTGCAGCCTGATAGTGAAAGTACGGTGAGATTTGGCAGAGAATGTACTGAAATCAAAATTGTGTTGATTATTGACATAGTCTTGATCTAAAATTCCTAGGAGTGTTGATTGATTTTCCATTAATTATGTATAAAAGTCATGATCATGACTCATACTATTTTTTATGTTATAAATCAATATATTATTAACTATTGATTGACATACATCAGAATATTATGATGATATATTTTATATCGAATAAGGATATCCATCTATTTATGAATGCAATTTTAATGAGAGCTCTTGGCTATGAAGAACTGACAGCATAAAAGCAAATCAAACTTTTTATGCCTTGAAAATTGATTGAATTTTAATTTAAAAGCTGAGTAAACTTTTGTATATTAATTATTCCTAATTATAGAACCGGGAATAGAACTTTTACAAGTAACTTTAGAAACATATTTTTCATTATATTAAGACTCTAAAGGTTACAATTCATTCCTAGATTGAAAAGAATTTTCTTAAATCAGGATTCCTTTAAAGCATCTCATTATTCTGGTTATATTTGAATTGCTTTTACGTTTCACGGTATTTTAATTTAGTTGATAAAAGTGTCTCGTCGTTCTGTTAAATGATCAAAGTTATTTTAAGTGAGCTTAATTATATTGAAACTAACGATACAAGTAACATTTAGATTTAAGTGAAAATAGAATATCAAAATGTTTAAATATTCAATCTATCTACTCTTGTCTCACAATTTCCGTATTAAATAACTTCAATAAATTTCTCGAGAGCATATTTGTATCGAACTAAAAATACATCCTCATTTATGGTATTTATTGAAACTGGTTCACTAGTTCAACTCAAATTAAATTCATTCAAAATGTCTTACCAATATTAACGACTCCATGATTGGTTAGTTCCCAACATGACTGAAGTCTTAAGATACTGAGAGAACTATTCTGTTTTGCACTAAAATAACCAAGCGCTGCATCTGTCACATGATAAGCTTGCAGCGAAAATTCGTAGAGACTTGGTAATAATTGAGCAACAGCACCAACTGCCTCATCAGCAACATTTATACAATCAGATAGAGATAAAGAGACTATCCTTGGTGTAAGACACGCCCAGAGACCGGCTTCTGTGATCTCATTACAGCCGGCAAGCTCGAGTTCAAAGAGAGCCTGCAAAAAATGATAAATACGTTGCAATTACCAAGTGCTCATACAGTATTTGTCACGTAAATTCATTGAATATTATCAATCTCAACCTGAAGATGATCTAAAAGAGCCTCTAGACCTCTATCAGTCACGGCACAACATCTTAACGATAACGAGTGAACATGACGTTGTGCCAAAGGAAATCCATGAGTTAGTTCAGGAATATCCTCGTCAGCAGCACCAAGAAGAACCAATGAATGAAAACCTCTTCTCACTAATGAGTTATAAAGTTTTGTCCTTGATCCTGGAGTCATTCCTCGAACTTCTCGACATCTTATTACTGGTACTAGACCTGCCCAATATCTTGGTCTTGCATATAAGACATCTCGCCACCGAGAGCAGACCTATTAAAAAAAGATTCTCTTGAATAAATTTTTTTCTTTTATTAAAAATATAAGGTTACTTGATTAATATTTTTTCAAGAACTTTTAAGCGATTTATTATTTAGTTTATTTAACTTGAAATCAAATTAGATCAATATTCTTGCTTTGGATACAATCATATACTTTATGAATAATATTAAATTAAAAAAATGTTTCTGTAATGGAATTATTTGTCAGGTCAAGTTATTGAATTACAACCATGGAGTTTTAATATTTAAAAAAAGCTTCAATAACGAGTTAGTGAATAAAGAATCAAAAAGGTGAACGATCGAATCCTTGACTGATGTGAATAATAAATATATACATTTCTTTTTTAATTTATGAGATAAACGTGTTGATTAGCACCTCGATATCAGTGTTGAATGCCAGATTAGATAAAAAACTAATCATAAAATATATTATAATATTATCAATGAGAATATCAAATATACTGATAAACTTTTTTATTTCATAGGTAATCAATCAACTTTTAATTAAATGAAAATAAATCATTTTAATTAATTGTTTGAATTAGAAGCATAATAGTCTTTCATAACTACTCATAACTTAATCAAGAAATGCTCATTGTTTCGAATGAGTTTATTGTTCTCCCGAGTAATTCATCATTAAAAGTTTCATGCGTTCATAATGATAATTACCTGAGCTAGAATTCTTCTCTCAGAGGCGTTGAAGTAGAGAAAAAAATGGCTGAGAAAATGATCATCAAGCATCAATTGCTCCCAAGACGTAGGTGGAATATATCCTCCAGTACCACCACTAGCTAATGGAACTGTTTTTATTCTAGTTTTTCGAGGTATTTTTACCCTCGTCATAGCGGTATTATTACTCAGACCCTTGTTGTTGGATACATTAGTTGGATTATTAACAGGCGTTGGCGCACTTCTGCTTGGCTTCTCTGGAGTTGGGGTAGTGTTTGTATTCTGGATACTCATGTAACCCACTCCACCACCGCCGCCACCTCCACCACCACCACAAAAGACATTTGTCACGCGTTCCATAACACTCGTCTTTCCACCCCCTGTAAATATTTAAACATGGTTATTCCTTCTCTAAGTAAAAGTTTTCATTTTTAGTATAATTTCAGGTAAGCCAAATCGATATAGTTTGTACACTTCTGCTGAACACGCAGTGCTGGCTCTAAAAAATTCGTGACGACCATAAATAACAAGAGTATGATTAAAGTTGCTATTTAAATATTAATGAACATAAAAGGATGGTAAATAAATATGTAGGTCATACTGCAGTGCTCTGATATTTTATATATTGTAGCCTAAAATAATAACAGAAAATTGTAACTACGTAATACAAGACAATAAGGAAATGTCGAATTAATTAAATAAAAATATGGAGAAGCGAGGTTTATCATACAGATAAAGAATACAATGTTATAAGCAATAATAATAAGTCTTACTAAGACACATAAAACATTTGTGTAAGATGCCCGGAAATTCCACTCGTCTTTCATTCAGCGAATGTGCTTTGTCTTTAGCTCAAAGAATTATTGTGGTTGATATTAAGCGTGTATTTGTGTGTACCAGATGTATAATTGACCTCGTCCCTATGATCCACTGAACAGTTTTGTGAAACATTAATACTTTTTTCCGGCTTACCTTTCATTAAATACTAGGATAATTGTTCATTTTACAAATAATATTTCCCACTAACACTATTTAACTAGATTACTTATAATATTCGTAAGGATTACGGACATACTTACGTCTCTAAGCTTGTTATATAAAATCTAGACTTTTTTATTGTAATAGTCTATTTAAATGCAATAAGTGTTTCGTTTTATCATTTTATGAATCAGTTCATAAATTTTAATTCTTTCATTGATAATTAGTTTTAAATTATTCAAGAGTTAAAATAATTTGTAATAATTTTAAGTATTTAAAAAATCATGTTGTTATTAATGTTGATAAATGGTTTTATATTTTTTATTTCTCGGAAGGTGTGAAAGAAAAATGAAATAGAAATTGAATGAAATTATGCAATGGGGATGATTAATCTAACGAAAGGAGATCGTGTCTCATACCCTCAGACTGAATTGGCAATAGTCCAAATTCACCGAACGAATGTCTTAGTACGGAAGACATTGTATGTCATTTGGGATACAGATAAATTTTGTCTCTTCTGAGAAAACTCTTGGAAACTTTAAAACATAAGTCAGTGCTTTCGAGGATGCATGGAACGAGGTCAGCAATCAATGACAATCATTTTGAAAAATTCACAATTGTTTGTGATTGGAATACAGTATTTAAAGTATTCTTTTGTATACTTGGTCAATGAAGTACACGATGAATACGCTGCCAACTACTATTGATTCCGTTGCAGTTATTGCAGTGATTTTGTTCTTAGTTTTTGTTATATTTCAATTGCGGAAACGCTCAATTGTCAAAGTGTTTGATTGAGAAAGTTTAAATAATCAGCAAAGAAAATGAGTTGAAAAAAGAAAAAAATGATAAATTTTCTTTAGTCTCTCGTTGATCCTAGTATCTGCCAATTAACTTCTTTTTGTTACCAGGAATCTCGAGTATTAAGCCATAAATGCTGCATGAAAATAAATCGTAATTCACTTCACTACTACATAAAAAATTTAAGTAAAATAAAAACAAAAATATGTTTTAGTAAAAAAAAAAAATTATAATAATTAATGATTTTTTAATAAATCTTTATACCATGGTGTTTCGAAGTTCGTAACGCCAATCCGTTGATTCTTTTAGAAAGCTCTGCACTTGCTCTCTCAACAACACCTTGTGCTGATATTGAAGACATATCTTCACTTTTCTTAAAGTAATATATTCTTCTGTACTTAAAACTCGCCTAGTTTTTCACGTTTTTCTTCGATAGTCAAGACAAACTTGCTATCTTTGTGATGCAAACGATTCTCATCATATTAAGCTTAAAACAAAAGATTTATAAATAAAATTTCAGTAATATTCCAATAATAAACTATGTTATCTTGCAATATTTTATACAAGGATTTAATAAAAATATATATAATATATAGATATATGTATATATAATTTATATGATTTAATAAAAATAAATCAAACTTTTTATTTAATATAATAAATAAATGATTAACACACTGTAAGAATCACGGCTCACGAGTAAGCAGTGTTGCTCGGATGGGCGCCTAAATATCTTGAGAAGAAAAGACACTGAGAGTAAGGTAAATCAATACTGCCGGAGCGACCGCAAGAGCTTGCACGGGGGTGGTTGGCGTTTTATCCAAGTAGTTTCGTACGTGTCGGCTGTTCTGTTTCACGATTTAATATTTCAAATAATTTCACACTCTGTCACATTGTTAACATCAAAGAAAAATTGTTGGCAACTTTGTTAAATTATCATTCTGAAACATATAGCATTTTAATTTATCTTTCTTGTACAAAATCAAAACGAGAAATAACGATAAGGTTTTGTTTATGGACACAAACTAGGGGTAGATTGCGTACGACTAAAATCGATAGCCCTTGGTTCGTGTTCTTGGACATACCTATCCCCACCAGTTTCTCCGCGAGTACGAGAGTTATCACGACGCGCTTGCGTGAATTTTCCGTATATTCGCGGTCCAATTCAATGTTTCCCTGTAATGATTATATTTTGCAATATAATAAAATCTACTTTAATTATAAAATAAATTCAAGGTTTTTATTATTAATTAAAATTGAAAAAAAATCTTGTTAACATGACAAATGAGAAATTTTCTTCATTTATTTTAACATTAAAACATCGTTGTAGTTGATGTACAACCGTGACTAAGCACGAGGAAGGAAAACTTAACGATTTAGACGATCTTCAAACCAGCCATGGAGTTTTCTAGTGTCTGTAATAAATAAAGATAGAAAAATACATTTATTAATTAAAAATTGTTATTAAAAAAAAATAATCATAAGTCATCATCAAGTTATTGAGAATACCTTTAGATCCCAAACAACTAGTTGTCCATCTAAGCCACTGGTACTAAATTGACTGGAAGAAATTCTACGAACGCATGTTATCGTATTTTGATGGATACTATCAAGAGCACTATCATTAGATTCTGTTCTTGCTTGGCGATCAAGTGATTGGAACTTTCTCATTGCTGAAATACCAGCAGCTTCTTTTTTTTGAGAGGTATCCAACTTCGATACGAAGTATAATTGACCATTTAAATCGAGTGAATAGAGCATAGGCATACAACTGTGACCCTACAATTGATATAAAAAAATAATTAAAGTTGTCCTTACATTATTGACCAGAAAAAATGTTATAAAATTTAACTTACCGCGGCTATTATTAAGGTAGGCCCTATCCAAACGCAACTTAAAAATGGTAAATGTTCTGTATTAAGTCTCATAACAGCATTTCCTTTCGTTGCATCAGCAACGCATATAGAAGAATTATGTGCGACCCAGCAAAGTTTGTTCCCACAAGGACTAAATGCAACTGAATGAATCCAACCACCACCATTGAGAGAATTTGGAAATTCTGCGAGTAAAGAACCCATCGCTGATTCCGATCCCCATACTCCAGGGCTTGGAGCATCTTCCATTTCTTTTATATAAGCACCAAACACTCGAACTTTATAGTCTGTTGATCCAGAAGCTATTACTTTATTGTCCGGATGCCAATCTATTGCAGTAACCGTTGATCTAATTGGGCGTTTAATATGTTTTGATTGCCACCAATTGTTCCCTGATACAAAATAACTGACAGCTATCATTCTATCACCCGATCCAACCGCAAATTTATTTTCTGTGAAAGGAAAATATTTCTTTATTGTTAGAATGTATCTTTTAGCATTATTTAAAGTTATTTTCTTGTTGTAGTACCTAAGGGAGACCATTTTACACAAACTGCTGCACGATTCATTCGTAAAATTACCCAAGCTGGTATCCATTTTCCATTACCATCTTGGTTCCATACATAAGCATCTTTATCAGCACCACAAGTAACTATTCTATTGGTTTTTGGAGCCCAATCAAGACACATTACATTCATATGATGAGCTTCTAAAATTTGCGTTTGTTTCCAGCCTGAATTTGATTTTTTATACACATGAACTTCATTACTATTTGGGCATACAGCTACTTCTATATTAAAGTAGAAGTCATTTGATAAGTTAGTAATAAGTACTATAAGCAGATAAATATTCATAATGAAATAAACAAACCTGTTTGATCTTTATTCCAAGCATGACAGGTAATAATATCTAATCCTAAATTGTGAACTTCCGTCATGATTTTTTATTGTTTATCTCACCGTAAATAAAACAAGAAAAATTGAACAGTTTTGCAACAGCAAAGTACAGATAAATGTTTTGCGGGATGAATCAGTCGGAGGAAATTCCGTGGGTGCGGTCGACGTGGGAAAAGATAATTTTACGTTAATCAACTGATAATGTTATCCTTAAACCACCGGAAATTCGTGGACTATGGTCAGTCTACACGAATTTCCAAGGTGTCTGGAATTATCAGGGATACTTCACCTCCTCGAGCTTAATCAACGCTGAACTCGCGTCGAGGGTGACAGTTTTTGCCAAAGAAGGTTATCTTCCAAGCACGTTTCGTGAAGAAAAAAGCAGAGGGCATCAATAGTATGGTTATTTTCATCGAATAAATATTTACGTAGAAATTCTGAGCATACGAATTACTAAAAGTTTTGTTGACAGTTCGAAAGAAAAGCCCAGGATGGCGCAGCTAGACTCTTCAACAACATGGGAAAAAGTTGGTAAGCTTGTATGTTTTGCAAACTGTCTAAAAGGGCGCCTGCCTAGACACAGGCATGGCTGTATTTACCTTATTTGCGTTAAAAAAAGGGTTATCAGTAAGTGGTAAGCATGATTATTTGTAATTTTTAATTTCTAATAATTCCAATATTTTACTTTACTTCATTTTTGCAAAAACACATTTATTAACACTATTGTTTCATCATTACTTGTAACTTACCTGGATGACAATTCTTTATTGGCTGTGTTCAGCAGAAATAATGTTTTGCAACACTAGTGCAGTATTTAAAATCTAGAGAGCTCTATGGGCAAAAGCTGTAGATGTCCGGTAAATAAATTTATTCGCCGGTTTTAACCTTTTAATATAACGAATTCATTGAATGTGTTTAATTGTTAACAAAAATATAAACAAATCAATCGTACAATTTTATTCATTTCAATTTCAAAGATAAAAGCCGATAGTAAGTAAAGGCAATGGATAATCCGAATAAAATTAAAGCCGATAACGCTGCTACAAAGAAAATTGAAGATTTGTTAAATAATCACAAATATGAAGAACTTTTAGAATATGTAAAAAATACTGTTAATCACGATAGTCTTGATTCAGCACTCTGGGAAATTATACCAGAACTTATAGCTCAACTTACTGAAGGAAACTATCTTGTGAACAATAAATTATTTCATACTTGTGAAGAAATACTTGAAATAATTGCTGAACGGTATAATCCTGCTGAAACAGCCGTAATATTTTTGGGACAAGTTGACAATATTAAAAATGTTAAATTTAATGCATTTCTAAGGCCTCTAGCAACATGTTTACGCAAATCAAAATTACCGAATTTAATCGAATGGGTTATTAGGATGATTAAACTTTATGTTGAAGAATTACCCCTACCGAAGAATATAAAGCCGACTATTGAAGGAAAAATACCTACAGAGGAAACAGATGATACTGTTCAAAATTTGATGGAAATCTGTGGGGATATTCAATCATTTTTTAATGTCTTATTTACTCATGAAAGTGCTCAAGTTCCTAAAGTAAAGTATATGTTAGTACAATTATATTTAATCTTGTTTGGAGATCCTTTTTCTCATCTACCTGTCAACTCTGAAATAGAAGATTTATATAAACCATTAATTGAGCGATTGTGTCAACTGAATGGTAATGCTTTCGATTTTCTATTTATTATTGAAGATCGAAGTCATAGCCGTACAATGAAACCAAAAACAGATAAAGAAGATTTGCAAACTACCAAAGTTCAAATATTAAATGAAGTTACGGATTTAGCATTTGCTAATTATTTTTATATTCTTATGACATCAGAAGCTGTACAAGATTTTATTCCACAGGTTTACCATCCCCATTATTTGATGAATCCTCTGTTTTACTTAGGAAATTATCTTTTAAAACAACAAAAATATATACTGATTTTTAAAGGCTTAAGTTTAATTGATGTTGTTCTAAAGCGAGTAGAAATTGAATCAATTTCATACGAAGTCTTGCAGTCTAAGGCTTTCACAGATTTGTTTACCAATTTGTTCCAAGTAATGATTTATTGTGATTCAGAGAATGAAAGAAAACAAGCTTTACAAATTTTCCGAGATTATATTAAACGCTTTGACATGAGGGCACGTCACTTAGTATTTACATACTTATACGAGAAAGTGAATCACTCTGGTTCTCTAGCTTTGGTGACCAGTATTCTAAAAGAAGCAATAATACAATCATTAGACCAAGTGCCTCATTGTGATTATTTCATTGGTAAAAAATTGAAAGTTCTTATGGAAAAGATCTGTCACCTTCCCAGTGGATCTTCAACTGATCCTATAGAAATAGCTGATGAAGTCATGGCTACTTTGAATCTCATACGATATTTAATTTTGCGCGATAAAACTAATATAACAGGAATTTGGACATGGATAGAGATAATTAAAAAAGAATACTTAGAACCTTTGAAAGAAGTAGTAGACATAGCAAGAAATCACTGGACAGTAAAGATTAAATATTTGGAAACAGAACAAAAAAATAAACCTCAAGCATCAAATACTGATATAAACAGCGATATCACTTTAACAGTTGGTGGAGTAAATTTGCCACCGATGCCAATTGCAGAAAAAATTAAAACGGGTCATCAAGCATTGAATATTCTTGATATGATAGAAAGTATAAGGATTAGAATAAATGAATGTATAGAAGATAATATTTCACAGTGTAAATGATGATTGATGAATAAAATATTCATTATACGTTTCTAAATTCTTATCTTTTTATTTCTTCTTAGTTATTGTTAGATTATTAATGTTATGATATTAAATGATAGTATTAAATTCTCCAGGCATTAGAAGTTTATGGACTTCTAGGCTTTTACTTCAAGGCCAAGCACATCCTAATGAAAGTGCAACTGCTGAAGAAAATAAATACGAGAGCGAAGAGGATTACGAAAAGAACATTAAATCAAAAATTCTCGCTGCATCAATACCATTTGTACAAGAGTTAGGATGGAGCCAGCAAGCTATTAGTGCAGGTTTTCATTTAACTAAGATTCTTCAAAGCAGCTTGAAATTTTTTTACATACTTTATTTTGGAATTATTATTTTTAATCAGGTGCTGAGTCTATTGGATACCCAGGAATTATTCATGGAATGTTCCCTAATGGCGGAGCAGAACTAGTTCAACATTTCTATGCTAGTTGTAATGCAGAATTGACTAATATTCTTAAAGCTGAAGCTTTGGCTATTCAAGCAGATTCTGCAAAGACCAAAAAACCGCCAGAAGTTCATGTTAGAGATGCTTTGGAAACTAGGCTACGGATGTTGGTGCCATATAAATCTACTTGGCCTCAAGCGATGGCTCTTATGACACTACCACCAAATGTACCTACTGCTTTAGCGAATTTACTTACTTTAGTTGATGATATTTGTTACTATGCTGGTGATAGATCTGTTGATGTAAGTCTTGGCATAATTAATAATTTTTTTATTTATTATGATTTTTTTTAATTCTATAAAATTAATGATTACAGCTTAACTGGTATACAAGGAGGATAGGTCTTGCTGGAATATATAAAGCTTCAGAACTTTACTTACTGCAGGATAGTAGCGAGGACCATAAACAAACATGGGAATTTATGGAACGACGAATTGAAGATGCTCTTCAACTTCAGCGAGTTTTAAATGTCGCTTCTGAGATTCCTCCACCTGAACAAGCCATTAATAGAGCTACTGAAGCAGCAAGTGCAGCATTCACAACAGTAATTTCATTTTCATTTTTTTAGTTATAAAATTGTATATTGATTTTAATTTTTTTTATAAATTTCAGGCCCGCAATATCCTTGGTTTGAATTGGAATAAATGAAGCAAATAAGTAAAAAGTATTGCCAATAGTTGTAGTTATTTATAATGACCTTTAGTTTTTATAAAAGAAAAATATCTAAAAATGTAAGTCATGAGGATTTCTTGCACTAAATAAAAATCTTTTGTTTTATTTTTAAATTTTAACGTATTTAACAATTTTTTATTCTTACATTCGTATTAATAATAACATTATATATTTATTTAATTAGAAATTTCACTAAATCATTAAAATCATTATTTTTATTTATGAGTCAATACTTAAGTTGTTATGATATTATTTTTTGCAATAACATATTTATTTGTGAAGATTTTTTTATTGTCATAACAGAAAAATTCTCAACTCTAAATTTAAAAAATTTATCAAAACTTATATAATAAAACACTATTATGTTAATAAAAAAATCTTTGTTATAAGTCTTGAATCAAACTAGTTTATTAACTGTGATCTTTGTGTTATAAACTATGAAAATATAATTTTCGTAAACATGAGCTCAAACACCTGTCGATAATTATTTTAATGAATCGACAATTCAGTCTTCAAATTCGGCAGAAAGTAATGCTATTTTAGTACGTAAATTTATTAAGATTTTTTTCGGACAACGTAATATCAACTGATAAATATATCTTTCGATGCCTTTGTAACGATTTGTATATGTTTATAATTAACAAGTATTTTCGTGGAAAAAGTAGTGTAAATCGATCAATAGATATACGGAAAGTCGATTACATGAACAATTGTTATGTTTATATTAAACTGTGCAATTATATGAGAATCGTAAGAAAAATCTCAGCTTTTTTGAGTTTTAATGAATTTTTTTATACTATTTCCCATGTGTGACCTTAATGACAATGTTTATGCAGAATGTTAGTTATGAGATGTCGACCGTTTATCTATTAAGCTTCGTTTTAAACTAGATTCGTTACTGATTATCATTATCACGATATACATATCACGAAATATGTATATATATATATCTACTTATTGCAAATGCAAATACAGCGAAATATATACTCAATATTTATATATACATATAGAATTTTTTAAATTGCTGCTATGTAGGTTCATCCTCTCATAAAACAATCTCATCAATAATAATCTTCCTCAACATATCCTTTGATAGGTTTTGGTAATGGAAGTTTGTGAATATTATCTCTTCGAGTATTTTGTCTTATCACGAAACGACAAAGATATTGTAAACTTCTAACTTGATTAAACCGACTCACTGGTTTTGTCAAGCGTACTGGAAATGCTGGATGGCCTGGATATCTTGGTCGCGAATAGCAGAAGACCGAGTACTTACTAAAATTCATTGAATGATTAACAAGAGCTGGAACCGATGAAAATCTTCCACACTCTCCTTGGTCACAAAGTGAGAACATACCACCACTATGTTCTACTCTTGCATGAAGTAATTTGCCAGCAGATTTGAAGCTTAGAGTTAGCAAATGTCTAAATATGTACAAATTGGTAAAAAAATTATTATTAATGTAAATTTTATTTAATATCAAAATTAGTACCTATCACTAGAGGAATCTCGAATTAAAAATGCTCCATCAGGTTCAGAAAGAAGTAGAGCATCAGCTTGATCTCCTGACATAGGCCCCCAGTACCATCCATATTTACTTAATTTTAATAATTCTTGCGATAAGGTTGATTGACCTTCTCTTCCGTCATTTTCATTTAGTTGTATTCTTTTCTCAGGATCCAAATTATCTTCACTATTATTTACATTTAAATTTGCATCCAAACTAGATTGGTTAACAGTATTTTGTGTAATATTAGTATTTCTGTTTATTTGACTTGGATTTAATGACTCTTCACTTCTCACGGAAGTTCGTGTTTCAATTTTTGCAGGGTTATCGATATCTCTGATTTCAAGTCTCTCATCATTTGTTGAAGATCTTTTATTATTACTTGTTCCTTCTTCAGAAATTGGAGAAGTTTCTATAGTGATACTCTAAAAAATAAATTAATCAAAACCTGAATGAAGTAAAATTTCTATTAAATCTCCATTTTTATGTTAGTCAATTACAAATTAGACATCAATATTACTCTAAAATATAAACAATATTGTCATTATAAGTAAACAAACCTTCCGTTTTGATTTGTAGAAGTTTTTAATTGATAATTTCTTCCTAATATTTTTAAAGAAACTATTGGCTTTTTTGTCTTCGGTTGCATTATCAGAAGTAAATTCATGAGATTTGGATTTTGTTAAATTATCCGGAACACTTTCTCCAGAATCCAATGATTTCCAATGAAGGGAAAAGTATTTTGGATTAACTTTGCACAACCTTGAACCTCGTTTAACTTCTGTATTGGTACTTGAACTTGATGTCATTATTAAAATTATTATTGTTATAATACTAATATTTTTCAATTTTTTTCTTGTAAAAATTTAATAAATAAATTAAAAAAACTGTTCACAATAAATACTGCAATGTGAACACTTTTTTCGATTGAAACGCCTCCTCGAAGTTATGATTGAAACTACTCGGCAGCAACAGTAGCCATTTTTAAAACGCTAATGGCCGTTATTGACGGTTGTAAACAGTGCTTAATTAAACACACCGCGTCACTTGTCATTTTGATAAATGTAAATTATAATAAGGCAGATAATAATCGTGATAAGCGCTGATGTCGTTGCTTTACGCGCGTAAATAAGAACAAAAGGCGGGATTTTGGTACAGAGGTTAGAATAATACAAAGTAGTGAGAAGGCAGGGACATTGTTGAGGTTGTCCCATAAACTTGTGAGGCTGAAAAGATAAATAATTCATTTAGATTATTCAGAAGTAAATAAATTAAAGTTGTATTGTTTATTGTCGCGCTGCAGTCGTATATATCAGTATATAAATAATGTCGCAGCCGTCAGTTACTGCGTATTTTAATACGAGAAAACGACAAGCCACTGATGAACTTAGAAACAAATCTAAGGTAGTGGTTTTGGAGCATGAGAGGATGAGAATTACATGTAACGGTGAAATTAAAAAGGAGCTAGAAGATGATCCAAAAGCTTCATTAAAAGAAAAAGAGTTTGAAAGTGCCTTAAAAGTTGTCTTCAAGTCATCTGAAAGTACACAACCTTCTAGTGCCTCAGAAAAAAATTCTGCTGTTAGGAATATACAATTTGATGCTCCAAAAGTATCATCTTCAAAAACTAGAATGACGAGAGCAAGATCTTCGAAATTAAAAAAAATCGTTCAACATGAAGGGCAGACTGATATTAAAGAGTCATTATTCAAGATGGGTGAAGAATTAAAGCAACAAAGTAATGTGCCTTTTGAAAAAAAAGGACTTTTAAGTCCACGGAAAAATTTGTCGTCCAAGAAAAATACAAAAAATCCAGAAAAACAAGAGAAACTGGTAGAAAATTCTGAACAGAAACCTGCTGCGGGTTCTGTGACTCCGAAACAAGGGTCATTAATGGATAAATTAGCGCAGCAAGATTTAAGTCTGACAGAAATTAAAAACAGAATCAATAAGTCTTCACGATTAGCAGAATTACGAGCTAGGATTGATCAATTTAAAAAATGTGAGGAAAAGCTTGACAAATTACAACAGCAGGGTCGAGAAGAACCTCAATTGAAAATTAAGAAATTTGAGAAGATTGAATTAGAAATACCAGTCAGGTAAAAAGTTACTTTGAGTTGTTTTTTGGAATATTATTTGTAAAAATAAATATTTAATTAATTTCTTTTTTAGTCCAAGTAAACTTGCTCGATCACCATTGAAAACTCCAACGAAAAACATTCAACTTCCATCAACAGCAAGTCCTCAGCGGCGTTTATTATTTTCACCAAAGGAAACACCTCCAAGTCCAGTAAAATGTAGTCCAACTAAAGTTCCTGCTTATCAGAGATATCAATCCCTTATAGAGAGCGGTGCTCCAGCTCTACCTTTACCATATAGCTACAGATTTTTGGCTGAGATTTTTAGATGCGTCGATACAGTATGAATTAATTTTTTATTTTTGAGATTCTAGTTACAATATGACTCATTTATTGATATAAAAAATTATTCTAGGTATCAGCAATGTTGTTTAATCGAAAGGAAACCATTACCTTCAAAAAACTCAAACCAGCTGTTCAAGAACTTCTGAGACGTAACTTTGGCCTTGAACATTTAGCTCAGATAAGAAGTGTTTATCCAAATGCTTTTAAATTCAGTCAAGAGAAAGTGCGATCTTTTGGATCAGCGTCAAAAGAAAAATATGAGCTAGTTATAACTCCAATTTTAGAAAATACTGATAAAACTGGAAATAGTTCAGAGGATGGTAGTAGAATTAGACCGGATACAATGGGTCCAGGAGTTATGCTGGAAAGAAAGCGCAAACTTTACAACATTCTTTTAGGTATTATTTTTGTCAACAGAATATTTTAGGTCATGTTGATTCTTTCAAATATAAATTAATATAATGAATTTCAGATAAGGTGAAATTGGAACACGAGAAATTTTTGTTAAGTTTGGAAAATCCAATGAACATTCCGAAGGATAAAATCACAAGATGGCATCCAGAGTTTGATGTTGATAATTGTCCAGCAATAGAGCAAGCTGAATTACCTCAACCTCCTACTGTAGAGAAGGCTACGTCAGCTCAAGACGTCCTTGGTAATAAACCGTAATGTTTAGATAAGAATGCAATTAATTCGAACATGCAAATATTGACAGAGATATTTCGCGACATTAATTTAGTCAATTACATAAATTTAAAAAAAGGTGATAATATATTTGGAGATTCTTAAACAGTATTAGCAATCTGTAAATACTACAATTTTTTGAACTTTCATAAATCGAATTTGAATTTAATAGCTATTCCATACACACTATATTTCAAAAAATGTTATCTTTTGACAATGGCTTTGAAATTATTTTGACCACAGAAGAAGCGATGGCTCGAATTCGTGAGTTATGAGAAACTATGGAAAAAAATATTTACAAATGAATTAATTTTTATTTACAGAGAAGGCAAAATCACTATTCAATTGCAATACACGCATGGAAAAAGCTTTGCAACATTTAGCTGAATCTAAAATGACATCAAAAAGTACTGAAACCTCAGAGACCGTAAAGACAACTGATCCACAACAATCAGGATGCTCAGAAAAAATAAAAATTTCAGGTGTCGATACTCCACCAGCCACACCTCCTACACAAGGTGATTTTATTAATCCAGCACTCAAAGGCATTCCAAAAGCGTTGCTAGAACGGGTAAATATTTGATAATTTTAAATAATTGTTTAACTGTATTTCCCATTAGTCGATTTTTTGATAAAAATATTTTCATTTGATATAGGTTCGTGCAAAACAAGCTGCGAAAGCTTTAGAAGCAATGACTAGGACTCCTAATGCAGATAAAGAAGCAACTATTTATTCCAGACTTCCTGAAATGTCCAAAATTCTTAGAAATATTTTCGTAGCTGAGAAAAAAAGTGTACTTCCTTTAGAAAGTGTTATTAACAAATTGGACAATTCATTTAGAACAAAGTTATCCTCCAATGAATTAGAAGAACATATAAGACTTATGTGTAAATTACTACCAACATGGGCAAGTATTCATAATGTACGAAAACTCGATTACCTCAAGATAGCAAAGGATATTGATATTGCCAAAATAGTTAAAAGATTTGAAATTATGGCAAACGATAAAATAAAAGCATGATTTTATTAGAAATTATTAATTATTTGGCTATACATAATAAATGAATGATTTTGATTTTTTTCACAAAATCATCTAATATCGAAATAATTTATATAATTTATGTGTGTGAGACTGACATTGTAATCACTTCGTATTGCATTTATACTGAAATATTTCATTCCTCGTAATTTTTATATGTTTCCGATCTTTTTAAAACGATTATTGTTTATTTTTTGAAAGGATAGAACAAGTAAATGAACTTTCTCTATTTTATACAATGTTCGTTCAAATGTAATGAAATTAATTGAACAAATTATATGATTCTATTGTGGACTATAAATGTTATGATATGGTCTCACTTATAAACAATAATATAATAATATCAATTTTACTCGATTTTTATTAATATTCTAATAAATCCTATAATTGTAAGACACGTGACGTTTTTACGAAAATAAATTTATATCAATAAAAGTAAGTTTGAGCTTTATTCAAAAAATACCGCGAGTTATAGAGGTTATTATTAATCAATATGGCCGCGAAATGGCTGTGAGCCTGGTATTTGTTTGATCCGGTAATAATTTGCAATTAACAGTTTGTAAAAAACTGTGATTTAAATGTTTTTTTATGATTGACAATAGTCACAATGTTCTTGACATTAATTAATTGTGCTAAAAAAGCCAAGAGCAAGTAAGTACTTCATCTCGTTTTTTGTAAAAAATACTTTTTAAGAGCAAAGTAAGGTTAAGTGAATATTAATACACAATTCTATTATAAATATTTTTTATATTTTTTTCGTTTATTATTAATGAAATTCTTTCTATATTATCTTTACATTTATAATATGTACATCGAACAATGTTATTCAAATCAATCAGCCGCATGACAAAACAATGTAAGAAATATTTATTCAGTAAAATTAATGTAAAATATTATTGATACTTTTTTCAGGCATATATTAGTATCATGTGCAAGCCTGGTTAGTGGACATCGAGTAAACAGAATTCGAGAGCGATTGGGCGACAAATTAGAATTTTTATATTTCGATCCTTATGGTAACCAGAACTTTATTACTTTTATAATGTGTTTGAATTAGTAATTTTTCAATTGAAGTAAATTATAATTTTTTTTCTTTTTCAGTTCAAGAAAAAGTTGTGTACAGGGAACTGAAAAAACTTAGAAGTATTGATTTCATCAAGGACAAAAGATATGAAAAATTAGGTCACATAAATTAGAATAAAAAATGAGAAAGAAAAATAAAAAGTTGCATACTTAATTTTTTAGTTGTGATTTAATAACAAGATTGATTTACAAATTTATTAAATGGTAAGGGAAGTCACAAAACTCCCTTTCGACATCTCCCTAACTTTACACAACCGTCACAGGAAGTCGCTATAAAATTGTCCCAAAACCACTACACAGATTCTGTTCAACCGACCATGTAATTTCAAGATCACCCTCGTTTTGCGGTAAGATAGCTAAACTAAAGTAACGCCAACCGCCTCTGATCTTTTTCCGAGTCCACTTCAATTCAAATTGTAAGAGAAAAAAAAGTCTTAGAAGTTGCGACAAAACAGGATCGCTTGAGACAGCATTGTATTTATTTTTTACTTTTTTACATTAGTTTCGCGGCATTATGCAGTCAGCAAAGGGTTCACAACCAGTGCATTCAGGTTGATAAACGCGGCATTCTAACCCTGGAGGACAATAATGTGACAAACACGGGCTATCTTGAATCATACATGGACCATATGCTAAAACCAAAATTCACATTAACTCTGCACAAATCTAGTATCATGTCTTTTACTCACTTTCAATACAAACATTATTTCTGCAGCAGCCCCCGCAGCAAGCAGCATCATCAATGCACTGAAAAGTTTTCAAGGTATTTATTAATATTTGAGAAGATCTATTACCAAAGTTAACTTACATATCGCCCAGGAAAAGCACAATCTTGTGCTAAAGTAGTACAGATAAAAATAAATATCAAATAATATTTAGAAACCATGTCTCACGATATAAAAAAGACTATTTCAAATATTAATACGTTATAAAAACAGAGACCAATATATTTACACCTGCTTAGTCTGGAGGTTTATTTGAAACTGTGTTATCATTGATTTATGTTCAACTGCTAAGGCGTCGATGAATGTGGACAATTTGTCTAAGTGTCATCATTCAATTATTCCTCGCCCAAGGTTATTTCGAATTTTCATATTGATCATAACATTAACTTGTACATGAATGATATAATAATTTATCATGCATGCAATATAGTATTCAATCTATTCAATATGCAAGTACTCTTGATATTCTAATTAGTAACAAGGTGATATCAATTTTTAAAACACGATAAAATCTTCCTGCTGTCAATTGTTTTTTTTTATTTGAGATTTGACATTTTTTATTAAATTTTTCGTATATCTTTTCATTATGGTGTCGTATAATATGGTAAGATATTTTAAATGTTTGCCTTCTTTGAATTTAATTTCTATCAAGGATTACCTGGTAAAGAGTGCATTTATTTGGGCTAAGGGAGAAATTTCAGATTATGGGTTTGGTACAGCTTATAAATGGCGAAGTTTACCAGGGGGTTTACAAGAAGCTAGACGTACTGGAAAACCTATTTTTTTGCTTATTCATAAAATTACTTGTCCTTCATGTCAAAAATTGAAAGAAAAGTTTTCTAGATCAATCAAGCTTATTGACCTCAGTAATTAGTAAGTCGATTATTTTTTCACCTAATAAACAGGTTATATTTAATTGATGTCATTTTATTTTTAGTTTTGTGATGATTAACGTTGAAAATTCATCTGATATATTATCATATTACAAGGAATATACTCCTGATGGAAAATATGTCCCGAGAATTCTTTTTTTCACCTACGATGGTCAACTCATTCATAATGCTTATAATCGTCATCCCGATGCAGATCCTAATCATCGCTATTATTATAGCTCTCCTGCACAAATAATTGATGTAATGCAGCAAGTTATTGACAATAAAAGTAGAAATCCTCTACCAGAATCTCCAACAACAAAAAGTTAGAGCATATTTCCATGACAACAGAAAGAAGACTTAAATATCATATAATCAGAATGGTATTATTGATTACTAAGACATTAAAAAATGAAGTATTGACATTAATATTGGTTCCAATAAATTAGAAAAAAAAAATAGTTCTTACAGTTTGAATATTTAGTGTTTCATGTTTTTTTAATTCCATTGAGATATTCAATATTTTAATAGAAGTAGCCTTAAAAATTGGAAAGTCAAAAGGAGCAAATAAATATATTTTGAGAAAGATTGAAAATAGGGGAGAAGAAAAGATAAGATTAGATAAGACAATGTAAAAGATGATTTAGTAAGGTTTCACAAGATAAAGAAAAGGAGGCAAGTGAAAGGGTAAGAGCTTTCTCCAGCCCTTATATTATACTACAAACGTTACTGAACCTTTGCTTCTGTGAATTCTCTTTGATCCTTCGTAAGGTACCCAAAGTTGTATTATTTCCACAGTGCAGTCCTTTCCACGTTTTCAAACGATTTGAGATTCGTGGAGGCGTAAAACTCGTTCTGATTTCTCTGTCTTTATCTGACTTACCCTCTTATTCACATTCCAAATCAGGGCTTTCTCTTTGGTATCTCCTTTGCGGTATGCTTAATGATGTTGCCACTGCAATTCTTCTTCTCTTTACTATCTCATCTTGTTAAATTGTTGAATAAAACAGAAATGACTTCCGTAGAATTCTAGATGACAGACGATTCTATTTTGTTTGTAGTTTCATGTCGTCATGATTGTCTCACTGTTGAAAAACGAGCTTTAGACTTTTTAATATGAGTCTTAAGTAAAAAATATGAAAATAAATTTTTATAAAGGAAAATGTTTTATGAATAAATAAAGCTGTTTTAAAATAATAAAGGTAAAATGTTAAAGCAGTTAATCATGAAGAGGGAGGTGAAATGTGCGGAGGGATTACTTGAAGAGTCTGTAGTTGGTACGGCCACCATTTCACAGTTTCCTCAGGTTTAAGAGGCCGAAGCTCGCGAGTTGTTCTTTGCTTATTACAGTGTGCACTGTGCTAAATGAGCTCCAGCTTCAACTAAAGTACCCAGTTAAATCCGTTAATTAACTACGTTATATTTTTACAATTTTTTTTCCCTTTCTTCGGCATATATTTTTATCCCACTTGCTCGAATGCCGAGTCCACTAAGGAGCTTCAATAGCACCAGTGGACCCAAGATATATGAGTTTAAACTCACGTGTTTCGCATGTACATGCCACGTCTATTTGCTCACACATTGTTTACGTAGTTGGAGCTCGACGCGTGGTTAAAACCTGCCTACATTTTCTTTTTTTCTTTTTTCATCAACTTGAGCTCGTGTTAATGTTGTGGATACCCGTGTTAACTATGGAGTGGATTGTAGCATATATACCGTTTTATTTTCAAATTAATTATCGTCAAACTTTGAGTATTTTTTAAAGCAACAATTATTCTCAAAATATTTCTTTTTTTTTCTGAAAAACATTTTTGGAGTATATTAACTAATATTGATACATTTTACTTTATTTATTAAAAAATATCAACACTATTTATTAGAATTACTTAAAATTCTCAAGTCGACTTAAATATTAGTCTTCAAGATGGTAATGTTTCAATGTAAACCTCATTCAAGTAGGGATAAAATCAAACAGTAAAAATCATGGGTACTTTTTCCTAGAAAAATACTGTTTTAAATGGAGATGATTTTAGTCATATTTAATCTTTAAAAATAAATATCCGCTTTTCTACAATAATGTAACAAATAAAAGCACTTTATCTTTGTAGTAACAGTGAGTATAATTGAAATAAATAAGATTTTTGTTAAAATTTATTTATTAAGTATTAATTTGATATATTTATATTAGATATCAACAGAATACCTTTCAGTTATCGATTTTTCTAGAATATCTGAATTCAATCGCAAGAGCCGTCGCACCAACTGATGCTCAAATTGAAATAACTTTGAGACCTCAATATCATCACTAGATATCGGTGGTGCTAAAGCTTTTGCTTCCTAGCTGCAAGAAAGAAAATGAGAAGTGTGAAGAGTAAACGGGTATCTTCTCTGTGCTTACTACTACTTCTTTTCCTTTGCAGTAGTCCCCTTGCTCTTATACTATCTATCTCACTTTCTATCCTCTGCCACTAAAAGACTCTTGAAATAAATTGAAAATGGCTGGCATCTCCCAGCTGCTTCGGATAAGTGATACTGACTTCCACCCTCTCGATACGTTAGCCTACATACCAAACAATTTTTACTCATTTCGCTTAACAATACTACTCTTCGATTAAGTTATCTCATCTTTTCTTATCTCATTGTTTAAATTGTTCATTCTGTATCAATCATTTCTTAACCAGACATTTTAATTTAGTTTTTTTTTTTCAATTGATTAAATCATGCAATTTTCTATTAACGATAACATGAAACAAATTGATCAGATTCACACTTGATTATTTAGATATACATGAGTGAAGCCGCAGTCGCGGATCTCGGGAATAGGTATTGAGTCGACGAGTATCATGCGAATGACAGCTAGAGCTAATTGAATCTTGACTCTATCTATCTGTCGACTCGAGCCTGAGACTCGAATCTGCAATGCCCTCATCCCAATACACCCCCGTTGCTTTCAATCGCAGCATCAACAATTGCCATTTACATTTTCTCCATTGGTGACATCGTCAGTGGAAATGAATATTGAGGAGATGAGTAAAAACTAAGCCATAGATATAAGGGAGTGATAAATACATGGGGTGGTATTGAGAATTTTTATGACTCCTTACTGGGTCATTGGCAAAAGTCGTCAAGAGAAAGCAATCCCAGTATTATATTCATTGATTATCGTATAGAATTCGCGGAGCGGACGATCCTGACGATTCCTCGATTGCGCAATCAAGATGGCATCGGGAATGGCATCCTCCTCAACCACCTCCTTTTCCACTCGCCCCCTCGATCTTTCTTACCTTCGACTCAAACTACCAACAAGTATTTCAATATCCGCTCCAATATATTCCCAAGTGAAGACCGAACTGAACGTGTGTGCAGTTATATTGGATTTTCTCACCACACCTTCTTCTTCCCCTCTATCACTACCACTTTCTTCTTCATGTTTTTTCCAGGCTCAGGGAAATGGATGTGTTGCACACGTATACTTTTTTATTCGAACGCGTGAATCGAATCGGTTTTCAATGTACTCTCTCACGCACAGATACATAAACTTTATCCTTTTTTTTCTACCCTACTACTCTTCTTCATCACTCTACTTTCAACCCCATCGAATTTCCCTTCGATTTTGCACACCGTTGCAAATTCTTTTCATTTCTCCTCTTACACGTTCGACCGCTATTAACTGGATAGGATATTTGGATACTCCCTTCATAAACCACATACTTTTCATCCTCCAAGTTTATTCTTTGTTGTTATTAATTAATCTAACAATTTATTTTGTTCACTTTTCTATCATTAGTAATGACTCTGAAACTCCATCACCAGAATACATGGGTAAAGTTCGTTACTCTGAAATTTTATTAGATAGAAGTAAGTTTGATTCAAGTAAACATCATGATCCCCCATTTGGGTTTAATTCAAGCCAAGGTATTCTTAATCAAAAATTGAAGTATTGGAGTCACTTGGAAAAATTAAATTTCTAGATACTGAATGAACAACTTGATATTGAATCGATTGATAAAATATGAAAGAATCAACGAATTCATTGGAAAGTTTTTCCTGAGAGCTACTTTCTTGGCATATTAAACAAGAAAAATACCGAGCTTTTACGAAGGTTCTTTTTCAATTGAATCAAAGGTTGGTTGAAAAGAGCGATAACGATCTGTAGGTCTCAATATAAACAAGTTGGTTGTCCAATTAAAGGCTGATTAATTCTCTATGGCTAGCATCAAGATTTGGTATGTAAGAAGATATACCGATTTCGACTCTACATTTATAATAGTTTTGATTCGAGTACGCTGATGCGTTCCCAGTGTATATGAGGTCAATGGACAAGATATGAAATAATTTACTCAAGCGTGAATCAATTCTCGTATAAAGCACCTGGGCATACATGCTCTAACCCTATTTTGTTCATCACTAGTTCTCTTTTTTTTAATTTATTTTCTTCCATTGGTCTTTCTATTGTTATTTCTCTAGGATACTAAATCAGACTTACGCCAACATGAATATCAAATTTTAATGTATGCCAGTTAAAATTCATCTGAATTTACTCATGCATATATTATTGCTAAGGATAATCATCTTTTTAAACTTTTAGCTTTGTGTTTTACTATCGTCAACAATCTTTACCTTTTCAAACTAAAGTAAAGAAGCATAATGAAGTTCACTTGAGGAAAAGTTCTAATCCAAAGGTGAAATCAAATATTTATTCAAAATTTCATATTTACCGATTTGATTTATTCAACAATAACTACACATCTTAAGTGTTTTTATTATTTTGTTTCATCAAAAGAATCACTGTAAAAAAAAATTGGTAAAAATTTTTTTTGAATCACAGTAAACCAAGAAAAAAAAGTGTCGAGTACATTTTTTATTTGCTGATTGTTTTATAGCCAAGAAAAAACTCTAGATATTTAGGTAACTTTAACACTAAGTTTATATTAGAAAGACCACATCGATCTTTATCCAATCGATCAAATAACAAGATACGATGAAGAAAAAAAAAACGATTTTAGACCCAAGTTCAACAGTACGTCTTTTTCAGGTCGACAGCGTGGGACAAAGTTCCCCCACGTTAATTTATCTCATGAAGATCTTCGAATTTAAAGAAGATTGAGATTTAATAGCCAATACAATTGATCGACTGAAAATTTAGCCTCAAGTAAGGATCTTCCAAATGTCTATAGTTACGGTTGAATATAACTACTTATTTTCTAATACGAAATTCAATCTCCAAAGGGTTTGTCTTCTACTCCTACTCTCATTCTTTACCTCATTTAGTTTCAAGTAATAGTATAATTTCAAATTCAAGTGGAGTTTTACGAGGCATACAGAATCAATCAAAGATTATGAGAAGTGTATTAACAGGTCCATCTCACTCTAACTCTCTTCATTGAAAATAGCGTGTTTGCGACTAAAATGTACTCCACCCCTTTGTCCACAAATTCGAAATCATCATTGTCATGATAGT